AGAACGTTACCCTATCTCTAAATACCTCGATACGTAGCCTATTCTCTCTCTCGTATTCCTAATATTACATCTATAAGGACGAGTAGAAATCAATCTACTGTAGTTACGCAAAGTTACCTACCGGGAGTACGTAGTATACCTTATAAAGTACAAAGACGGTCGTTTTGCTCGATATCTAAGGTAGCGTTATATAGTATTTAATACCGAAATGTATATATAGACTAAAAACAGCTCTTAATTCTTTATTAAACTAAACCTATAGTATACTAATACTACTCTAGAAGATATTCGAGCCGCGTTTAATACGCCCGATAACCCTATAGTAAGGGCATTGTTAAATACTATTACTCGGTCTATATCTGCTCTCTGTTGAACCCCCGCTTACTATATAGGAATAAAGCGTAATCTTGAAGTATACTATCGATTTAATAGTTGCCCTAACTTCTTCTTTATATTTAGCGCTACTAACCTATAATAGGATTTACTTATAAAACTAATACTAAACAATATATATTATTAGTAGAAAGCCGGTAACTCTTAGGAACGTATTCGCTTATCTTGGATTAATTCTCTTAATAACCCGCAAATTACTATAGCCTACTTTTAACAGCGATTAGATCTCTTCATTAAGTATATTCTTAAGCCGAAGTTCTATATTAAAGACTACTAGTACCGCTTTAAGTTCTAGAGCTATAGTAGTATTTACGCCTATAGCTTTGCTTAGTCGCAAGCTATTAGCCCCTTCTATATAAACCGTAACGAAGACTATAATTAATTTACTTCTATCTAGGGGTTTTTATAAACGGCGGGAGCCTAAATTATAAACGGCGGGAGGCCTACGCTAAGGCTAAAGCCTAAGGCTGCTGCCCTAAGCTTAGCATACATCCAAAATTACCCGCTCTCTCCTCGACGGTAATATACATCAATATACAGCACAACACAGCAATAGAAATACAGCGGCGGAGTATTAGATTTGTAGTAAGAACAATATACTCGAAAATGTACATTAATACATATTGTATTAATATATTGTTAATAGTTGTAGGTAACCGAATTTTATCAATTTCAGAGCTAATACCTAATATATTAGGACCCCTTGCAAAAGTTATGAACTATACTATACTAGGGGTATTGCAGCTGCTTTTAATAGTAGCTACTTATAGGCTAGAGAATACCTATTAACTTCACTTCTTAGCGGCTAGTAGGTAGCCTCTAACCTGCCCTCCTCTTCTATAGCCTAAACCGTAGTTTTCTAATACGGCTGTATACGCGCACTAGTTGTATAAACTTATTGTCTATATCTATATTACCGTTATCTTCTGCCTCCTCTTCGAATAGGGGAGGAGGAGGAGGAGGAGGTAGTAGTAGTAGTAGTAGTAGTAGTAGAGATAGAGGTAGAGGTAGTAGTAGTAGAGATAGAGGTAGTAGTAGTAGTAGTAGAGATAGAGGTAGTAGTAGTAGTAGTAGTAGTAGAGATAGAGATAGAGATAGTAATAGAAGCCTATACGCACCTACGTACCTACGTACCTACGTACCTACGGACCTACGCACCTAGGTACGCACCTACGCACCTATGCACCTACGCGCGCGGGCGTACGAAATTGGCTGTCGTTACTCGTTCTATACTACTAATAGGCAAGCCTGTAGTGCTTATATTTGGGGCGCCCGCCATTTAGAGAAAAATCGCCCGCTATTTATAAAAACCTATTGTTAGCCTACTCTTTATTATTACGCTGCCTTACGTTCGTACGAGCGTTGCTAGCTCTTGTTAGTTAGGGTAGAGGTAGTATATAGTTGTTAGCGAGTACTGCGATCTGCGCTAATATAGCGGCTTATTGTTATAGTAATTAAGCGAATTGCTCGTTCGTAATACCGTAACTAGCTAGCGCGCTAGGCGCTCGTTCTTGAACTATCGTCGTTACTCTCGCTTAGGGTATTGCTATCGCTCGGGGTATTACTATCGCTCGAGGCGCTACTATCGCTAGTCGCTAGGTTAATATACCGTATATATTGGTATATAGCTCTCCGCCTATCTTATGTTTATAGCGAGCGCTATATACCTGTTTAGTAGCGAGACAAGCGTACTTACCGTATATACAGCCCTTACTATAGTTATACTAAGTTATACCTAGAGGTATAGGGATACGACGTCTAGACTGCTGCTAAATTAGGCGCTAAGGCTCGCTATTATAACGCGCAAGCTGCGTTATTCGCGAAGCGACCTCCGGAATATAGTACGGCCGGCCCCGGAGCGAAGCGGAGGTAGCCGGCCTATAGAGTATAGGAGGGAGTACGCAAATTAAGTCGCGTATACTAGATTTTGGATTAACGTTCTAATTGGCTATAATCAAAACACGTATGTAGAGCCGCTAGGCCGCATTCGTACGTATATTAACTTCAACTTTGTAAGCCTAAGGACGCGCAAATAGCCGCCGAGGTACGAGGTTAGGGCTATTGTTACGCTGCCCGCTGCAAGCGAAAGGCCTGCTACAAGCGATAGGGGGTACAGGGGGTCTCCCCTAATTGTCTAACTGATTCGTAGTACTTGCTTTCTACTCGCAGTTCGAATCAAATCGTAGAGAGACCTCCGGAACAAAGTACGACCGGCCCCGGGTAAAACCTAAGGCTATAAGGCACAAAGGGGCTTAATAAGCGCACTCCCGCTTCGCGAAACATTGGATTAGGTAATACCTAATATAACAGCATATTATCCTCTATATTAGCTTCTAGCTAAGTTGTATCCTCTATCTTAGCTCCTAGCGGCGTCGTATCGCGGTTGTTCGGATTGAGTCTCTTAGAGAGTATTAGTTTACGCCGTAAACTTAAAACACTAGTATTCGCTATATATAAGCGTACTTGTCGTACCGAGCGTTTGCGGAAGCGTACTACGGCCTCGAGTACTCTTACTACTAGCTCGCTATTGTCTAATAGCGTATCTAGAATATACTAGAATATATCGTAGCTACGAGGTATTATTGCCTCTAGACTATCGAGCTTATAAGAGCAGTCTATACCTATTGTCGTTATAAACACGCTAGTATATATACTACGGATATAGTAACGGTTGTTCTTCGCCTACTCGCACTTAGTATTACGGGAGAGTAACGTATATACAGAAACCTTATAGTATTGATACAGCAAGTACGATAAGGAAGGAAGGCTAGCTATTCTAGCCGTCCTACGAAAGAAAAGGAACGGAGTGCGGCAGCCTAGCTTAGGGGCGGCAGTACGCTATCCTATATAACTAGTAGTTATACGTAACGCTCTAGATCTTCTAGGGCACTATCTTAGGGCTCGTCCCTTATAATACCCTCCGACCCCCTACTCTCCGGCTAAAAATAGTCGGGCTACGTAGGAAAACAGGCTCGTCTTATCTCCCCGACGTACCTTCTCCTCTTTATAATCGCAATAGGGGTACGCGTAAAAAGCAGTAGCTTTCTTAGTTCCTGCTTTACTTAGAAAACTATTTACTTTCTTATAGCCTTAGGACAATATCCCCCGAATCTAGCTAATTAGAGGCCTCCGTTCCGTAGCTTTACTTTTCCTATTATTATAGCCGGATTGAGCCCCTATTGTTCTCTCTCCTATAAGAGAGCGCTTTTCTTTATAAAAAACCCTCTCTTCTTCTTCAACCTACTATCTCGTAGGCCCCCCGCTTTCCGCCGCCCTCCTACCTCCTCCTCCTCTACTACTACTACTACTACTACCTACCTCCTTTCTCCTAATAGTAAGTTCCTTTTTCGTCGGTCTCCGCCTTTTTCTAACCGGATTATAGTAGTTCGAGATTACTATTGCGTCCGCTACGCTATAGCCGGTATTGACTATATCGACTAACTAGAAGTACCGCTCTCTGCTCCTTTTTTATAGGGCTATACTAACTCTTGATAGCCCTATACCAATGCCTATATTGTCTATAAAGACAACTACGAGAGATGCTAAGAGATATAAGTCTATCGGCCTCTGTCCGAAAACCTTCGGGTTCCTCCCCGGTCGGAAACCTTAGAGGGCTAATTTAATATTAATACAGACCGCTCCTTGCCTATACCGCCTATACTCGCTAGACCCGAGCCCCTAACGATATGCCTTACGGAGCTCTCGTTCTGCTATACGCTCTATTAATAGTAATCGGTGTCTACTCTTGTAACAATCGGCGCTAACGTTAGCAGCGATATAGTGCTATTCTACGCAACGATCTACTGTTAACCGTAGGCGCCTTTGTGTAGTTACTATAGCGCTTCAAGATTTCCTTCGTAGTAATCTCCGCCGTATTGCTAAAGAGTAAGGAGTCGTTTAGTATTATTGCAAGATCCTCCGGCACCTCGTATATGCTTTCGTTGTATTCAATCAAGCTATAAACAGCTTCGATAGCTAGAAAGCTATCTATACCGCAGGTAGAACTCCTCCTGCTTTTGTAATTAGTCTTCGTCGCTCCTAGGCGCAGGCAATCTAATAGGCTCCGGTAGTTTTTCGTCGGTGTCCTTGTTTTTAGCGAAGATACCTTAGGGCGGGCGTTTTTGGTCGGCCTATACTAACTTCTTAATATAGGCCTAAATAACTAAATAATTAGAATGAAATAGATAAATGAAATAACTTCCCTTAACTTAAATAAACAAATCCTAATCCTAACGCCTATCCTCCTATATTTCTATATTCCTCTACTCTTTTGCTTCGGCCTATATAGCCTACGCGTTCTAGGAATTTCTTACCGGCCTATATCTCTTTAGTTGTTTCTCCTATTTTTCTCTTAGGCCGTTAGCTATTAACGCGTCGCTGTACTTTAACTCGTAGGCGTCGAGTGCCGTAGTATCTACAACGTACTCTAGTAGTTCCTACGTAGGTTCGTAATATCCGGCCTACTTTACTAATACCTTACGCTCCTTCCCTTTTCTCTTAGGTTTGTCGCGAGTATATAGGATTTCTTCGACCTCCTATTCTTCGTACGATTCTACTAAGATAGGGTCCGGTTGTTTATTATCGGATTCCTAGCCTAGTAGAGGGTCTTATACAGCCGGTCTTAATAAGTCGGTATAGAATACTAGGTATATATTACTAGGAATCCCCGATAATCTTACGGAGACCGGTAATAAGACCTTCTCGACTATATACTTCGTATATTTAGTATCTAGGCTTTTCTTTAGGTATACCGTCGTATAGTTTCGGAGGTCGAGCTATACCTTATCTCCTTCTTAATAGATAGGTACGGGAGTTCTCTTTTTGTTAGCGCTATTCTCTTGTTTTTGTATAGCCTCCGCTATATTAGCTTAGTATATATTAGTAATTTTCTTAATTTTCTCGATAAACGTAGCCGCTCTCTCCGAGGCTGCTAGCGCTATAGTCTCGTTAAATCCCGTATCTAATACTACGGGGAGAGGTATATCGTAACCGTAGATAGCGAAGAAGGGGCTTATACCGAGGGCCGTATAAAAACGTCCGTTAAGCGCTAATTAAGTAAGGGGAAGCTACTTCTTCTAGTCTGTTTATTCCTCGTTAATAAAGTTCCGTAGGTAGGCTTGTATTTCCTAGTTCAATCTTTCTAGTCCTCCGTCGGTTTAAGGGTAGTAAGCGGAGCTTAATCTTTGTTATACGCTAGTTAATTAACAGAAGGTATACTAGAAAGTACTCGTCTAATTCGTTCCTCGGTTACTAGTAATCGCCCTTAGTAAGCCGTAATAACGTACCTAATATTCTAAGAACCTTTGCGCGTAGTCCTCGGCTTTTAGGCTAGATATCGCTTTAATTACTATAGTCTTGCTTAGCCTATCCTTAATAACCTAGAAGTATACGTTTCCCTTAGAATTCGGCAGATCTGTAATAAAATCTATTAAGATCTTCTAGAAGAAACGATTAGGGACCGGTAAAGGGCGAAGGAGACTATATTTATATTCTCTCTATACCTTATTCCTACTATAGTAATTATAATTTCTTAGGAATTACTAGACTTGCCGAGACTATAGGGGCTAATAGAAGTTCCTCCCTAGGATATAAGCGGTAGTATCCCGGCCTAGATATCTATAGAGCGGTAAATTGTAGATAGACTAGATTAGCTTAGTTCGGAGTATATCGTAGTCTTATACCTCGGTCTCTATAGAATTGTAATCGGATTCTAGGGCTACTAGGGTACTAGGTACCTAGAGTTTCCTATAATACTTTAGCCGGTTGTCTTCGTCGATAGTACAATCGCCTACTTATATCTTTATACGTACTTCGGGTAGAAAAGTACGGGCTCTAGTCTAGATAGCTCAGAGTACTATCTAGTAAAGCGAGTCCTTCTCTACTATTGTCGTCTAGAGTTAATTTATATCCTCCTCCTAGAAGGGTCCCTTAGGGACCTCGTTTTTATCCTCGGGGACAATCTCCGATAGTTCTATTAAGGGCTCTGAAATAGATAGGTTATAATCCGCGTCCTCTAGCCCGGCTAAAATAGGTATAAGAGTTAGCTAATTCTTTAGATAGTCTAGTAATAGAAATTATCGGAATTGCGAGAGTTTATTATCGGCTCCTAGGGTGTCTTATTCTCTTCTCGAAAGTACGTCCGGGATAATAGCTTCGGCGCCTAGCCTATAAATAATAGAGAACTGGAAATTAGCTAGTATATCGGCCTATCGAATTTATCTCTCGGATAATTACTTCTTAGTAACGAAGTACTCTAGATTCTTATAATCCGTCTAAATAGTAAAGGATCTATATACTTTAAGCTCGGCCTTCTAGAACTTTAGATAGGATATAATCGCTAGTATTTTTTTTATCGTAAATATCGTAGTTGATTTCGGCTTAATTCAACTTTTTCGAGTAGAAGCTTACTAGGCGAAGGACTCTATTCTTTTTCTATAGGAGTATACTACCTAATACGAACCTACTATAGTCGGTCTCTAGGAACGTAGGAAGAAGAGGGTCCTATAGTATAAGTACTAGGGAGCTATAGTATTTCTCCTTTAGAGTATAGAAAGCGGTCTCCTCTTCTTTTCTCTAGGAGAACGGTACCTTCTTACCGGTAAGTCGAGTAAGCGGGGCTACGATCTTAGAGTAGTTTAGGATAAACGAACAGTAATAGTTCGTAAATCCTAGGAATCTCTAGACTTCTTTCTAGGTACCCGGAGTTTTCTAGTTATATACCGCTTCTATCTTCTCGGGGCCGGCTTCTACGCCTTTTCCGTTAGCGTAAATAATAAAACCTAAGTAGTTAATCTTTTTCTTTATAAATTTATATTTCTTCGGGTTAAGGAAAAGGCCCCTATCCTAAAGTTTATAGAGTACAAGACGAACCTTATAGAAGTGTTTCTCTCTTATTCTATTTATAAAGATTATAACGTCGTCGATATAGGCAGAATAGAAATTATTAAGAAATTCCCTTAATAATAAGTTAATATACTACTAGAAAGTAGCTAGAGCCCTAGAGAGACTAAAAGAATAGACTAGCTACTTAAAAAGCCTAAATCGAGTTCGAAAGGCGGTTTTATACTTATATCTATAGGCTATCCTAATATAGTAGAAAGCCGCTACGACGTCTACCTTAGTAATCTACTTAGCCTTCCCTATAATTTTCAAGGTCTCCGGTATAAGGGGCAAGAGATATCGATTAGGTTTAGAAATCGAGTTTAGGGCCCGGTAGTTATAAACAAACTATAATCCTCTACTAGGTTTCTGTACGAATAATACCGGAGCCTCCGCTACTAAACTACTCAAACGTATATATCCTTTTAATAGCTATCCGTTTAGCGCCTTCCGTAGGATAAGGAGTTCGTCCTTAGATATTCTATATATTAGGGCCTATAGTAAATCTCGTAGGGTCCTATCGGGATTTAACTAGAGCTCGATTTTATAGTTAATCCCTTCTTAGTATAGAGCTAATTTGTCTACTTCCCGTTCGAAAAATAGCGGAAGTATATTATAAAGCTTAGAGGGGATAGTCTTCCTTAATTCTTCTACTATAGGAGGATCTTTATCCTTTAATACCTTCTCGATATCCTTAGGAAGGATTGCGGCTACTATCGAAAATTCTCTAATAACGGTTACTTCTTCTAGATACCGGCGTCCTTCGTTAAACTATTAGCCTACGTTTCCGTAATAGAACCGGCGCTTTTCTAGCGCGGTCCTAACCTTATTCTACGTTTTCTATAGGTTCCCGAGTATTAGTAGGAAGTCTAGATCTAGTACTATATATATATATAGATATTCTAGGGGTATCCGTCTATTTCTATCTAGAATACGATAACTCCGGTTACTTTCGAGTTCTCTATTCCCTTAGAGGCTCCTTTGACTTTCCTCTCCTCGTTACTAACGTATAGTAACCCGAGACCTTCTATAAGGTCTCTATTAATTATAGCAAAGTACTAATATCCTTTATCGATAAGAGTATAGGTACCGAAGTTTTCCTTAAGGACTATATTAGTATATATAAGCTCTCCGTTTATAATCTTCTTAGCTTTAGGCTACCTATCTACTAATACTTTCTTAGCTTCTACCTCCTAACTTCGAGAGGGAGCTACTCTTTTCCCTCGTCCTCCGGCTCTTCGAGTACGGCTTCTACTATTACTACGTTTACCCTCGTTAGTAGGACCGCGGGTATATATAGACAATCTCGAATACGGTATCTACTCGCTCTATACCGGAAACAGAGCCTTACCTCCTAGCGCCTCTCTCTCTCGGTAGTATCTACCTACTTCGCTCTTTGTTTCTCTCTATTATTGTCTCGACGTTCTATAGGTATTTTTGGTCGGAGTCCGTTAGACCGAGTCGAGGTTATAACGGTATCGCTATCTACGTCGACCTTATTTGAAGGCGTAGTATAGGATTAATTAGAGGCCGGGATATTTAAGGCAGAATCCTTATTTCTTTCCTTCTACTTCCTATTCAAGATCTTAAACTAGTCGGTTTCTTCTAGGTTAGTTATAATTCTTTCGACTTCCTCGGAGAACTTGTAGTAGTCTATATACTTAGGTATAGCGGCCGTATATAACTTAGCTAGGTTAGAAAAGGTATTGTTTAGATATCCGATCTTTGCCTTATAAGAGAAGTTTTCTCTGCCTACTATAAGTAGGAGTCTGTCGAAATTAAGCTAGTATTCGTACTAATATTAGCTCTACGAGTATTTTAAATAGGAAAGCTATTCTAAGGCCTTAGCCTTCTCGTTACTATCCCTAAACATAGTATCGAGTTACGATATAAAAGCCTTAGGGTCCTTCGGTTTACTATCGCTATTTTCCTAGAAGTATCGTATCCTTGCTCTTTCTCGGGCCGGGAGGGTATTATAAATAGTATCCTAGTAATAATCGACGGAGAGCGTTGGTTTAGAGGTAGAGCGTACTTAGTAAGAGCTTCGGAGTTATATAAGGTAATCGCGAAAGGTATCGGCGTTCCCGTCCTAATAGGCCGGTTTCTACTCTCGGGGGCCCGACGATTCTCGCGCGGATTACGACTGAATTATTGTAGCTAGGAGCTACTATATTAGCTCTAGGCTATTTACTTAATTTAGTAGCTCTACTCCTTATAGGACGTTCTCCGTAGTAGAATAAGCGGGCGGCTATAGAGTAGTCGTAGGGGTAGATTACGCTTCTCTAATAGCGGTTTCTATCGCTTAGAGCCGGTAGTATATCTATTCTATTACGCCTATTAATTCCTCTAGTAGGATACTAAACTTAGGGTACGCTATTGTTTGTCTAGCCTCCGGTACGTTTCCTTCGGAGGACGTTATTTTGTTAATCGTACTTATTGTTATAGGAGAGTAACGTATATACAGAAACCTTACGGTATTAAGATAGCAAGTACGATAAGGAAGGAAGGCTAGCTATTCTAGCCGTCCTACGAAAGAAAAGGAACGGAGTGCGGCAGCCTAGCTTAGGGGCGGCAGCACGCTATCCTACGTAACTAGTAGTTATACGTAACGCCCTAGATCTTCTAGGGCACTATCTTAGGGCTCGTCCCTTACACTTAGCCTCTAATTTAGCCTTCTGCTTGTATGTATATCGGAGGGCGCGGATTCTAATTATAGTGTTAATACCGTAATAGAATACCTTGTCAATAAACTGTATAGATAAGTTGTTCTACGCTACCGACAGCGTAGTATTGTACCTGTCGATATAGCTATTATAGAACGGTCCTAGCTTTATAAAGAAGGTAAGTATATTATTCCGAGCGCTCTAAGTCTATTGCTTTAGGCCTATATAAGCACCTTCGCTAGTAGAGGATATATTATATCTATAGTAGCGTAGTTGGTTCGTCTAGGCTTTAACGCACTTCTCTTGATATACCTACTAGTGCTTCTCTAGGTAGCGTACTATCTCGTATTCTTATTGTTGTCCGAGACGTACTTATTAAGCTCGATAGGCCGTACAATCTTATTAACCTTATCGTCCGCGTCTATAGTCCTAGTATCTAATATAGCTTCGTCGCGCTACGCTCGATCTAGTAAGGCGCTATAGGTATCGTTAAAACTCTTCTCGGTTGGTAAGTTGCGACAGGTCTTATATAGAGCTATGAACTTACTAGCGAGCTCGCTAGCGATATAGCGTATTCTATCCTCGCTCTTCTGCTATCCGAATAACTTATATACCTATGCCTCTATAGCTGTATCTATATACTACGTACAAAGCATAGATTAGATACTTAGAAACACTAACTTAAGTATATTCATAGTAGCTCTATTGCGATTATAGATAATAATATTAGGTTCGTCGATTCCGTACTCCTCGAAAAGGCGTAAGAGTATCTTAAAGGCCTATTCGTATCTATCGAATGTCTCGTCCGGTATAAGTATATAAGCTAGAGGTAGTACAACTCTGATACGTATAACAAAGTCGAAGTATAGTAGTAGTAGGCTAGATAAATAGATGTTATATATATAGTCGAAAATCAGTATATACGCGTTGTCCTTATAGATACTTACAAGCTAAGGGTATACGAAGAATACGTAGCGTAGCCTATCGCCGCTAACTTCGTAGGCCGAGAAGAAGTTGTTGTCTACGAGCTCTAAGAGCACTTTGTCTATAGGGGTAAGTATGTTAATTATAGTATGCCGAATACGCGCGAACTCGTTATAGATATCGCGTAGTATCGGTATAGCCGCTATATCTAACAGGCCTGCCTTAGTAATAAACTTATCCTTTGCTATAGTACGCGCTAACTAGGGGGATGCTCCGGTCTTACGATAGCTAGCAATAAATGTAACAAACCTATTATAGCGCTCTTAACAGCGGAAGAAGGCTAATCTAGCTATAGAGATACTAAGGTAATTATACTTAGTATATTAGCTAAGCGAGAATATCTATTCGGTCTCCGAAGGGCTGTCCTTATTAAGGGCGAAAATAGTTATTATCGCTATACAGTCCGATTTCTGTATATACTTCTTCTTTAATAGCTTACGGCCGAGGACTAGTTTATTCTTCCTATCTCCCTTAGCGCACTTTAGGGTATACTTCTATAGCTTACCGCTACTGTTGTACTTCCGGCTACCGTTCTTCGTCTACCTAAAACCGTATCGCTTACTATGCGTATTAATGTATTAATAGGTATCTGACTCCGAGGCGAAGCGCTAGATACGTAGTTTCGGGATCTTATAGCGTATAGTAGAGACTGTAGCGATAGAGGCCTTATCTTCGGTCTCGGTATTACTCTCGTCGGCTTTAGAGCGATTAGCGTACTCTTCGCTTATATTACCTACGCTAAGTCTATTGCTTTCTCTAGCCTATAATTAGTTCGGCTCTACGTCCGGTACTAGCGTATATATCGTATTAGTCGCTACTATATTAGCGTCTGCTGAAATCTCTGTCTCTGTAACTAAATTATCGTCGAGGAGCCTATTAATAGACTGCTCTAGTTCGGCGTCTATTAATACAGTACGCGCGAGCGTTTTATTAAGTGTCTCTATGTTAATATGTCGAGACTAATAGGGGTAATAGGAGTAATAGGAGTGATAGGGGTAATAATAATGTATATATAGGTACGATACTATATTGGAGGTAGAGGTAATGTTGCTATTCGGCTGCATAGGTTATATAACTACCCTAGCCTTAGCGTAGGCCTCTAGCCGTTTATAATTTGAGCTCCCGCCGTTTATAAAAACCCAATATAACGCCCTCTATAATATTATATATATAAAAATTAGGTACAAAGTCAATACTGCCTAGATATACTAACTGCCTATTACCGGATAGCGGTAAGGTATATATATAAGCAGAAGGCTAATCTATATAATAAGAGTAAGTAACTGTTATAGGAGAGCAACGTATAGATAGCAGTCTTATAATATTAATATAGTAAGTACAATGTAGAAGGAAGACTAAATACTTAGAACCCTCTATATAGGAGAAGGGACGGAGTACGATAGCCCCTACTTAGGGGTAGTAGTATGCTGTTGTATATAATCTAAGTACGTAATTTCGGCTATAGATCTCCTAGAGCACTACCTAAGGGCTCGCCCTTTATAGTAACAGCAGAATAGTAACTACGTCTATAGTATATATATTAGCGTATCTTGAAGGTATAGAATAGGTATATTGCGCTTACTACAAACATAAGATTAGGGGAGAGCTATAACCTGATATATACAGTATATAATATAGTAGTTAGCGATAGCAATACCTTAAGTAACGCCTCGAGCAATAGTAGCGCCTTAGGTAATAGCAATACTTTAAGCAATAGTAATACTAGTAGTATAAGAATATACTTCGCTAGCGGTACTAATACTAAGCACGCTAGCTAGTATTATAAACAAGCAACTCGGTTAGTTCCTCTAGTAATAATAACCCGCTATATTACCGTAGATTTACTCGACGTACATACAAGCGTTAGAGTATAGTAGTAGAGGATAATAACAAGTTTGAGGAAGAGGTAGAATCTAATAGTAATATAGATAGCTGGTGTATATGTATATAGCTGTATCAGACAACTATACTTTAGGCTATAGAAGAGGAGGGCAGGTTAGCGTATATAGAACCTCCTGAAAACTTAGAAGAGAGTGTATACGTCCGGACCTCTAGAGTTCCCTGTAGATAGGAACATAGCAAGAAGAGGGATTATCTATATTGTACTACTATCCTCTTTAATACTACTATATCTTACGGTAAGACATTCAATTTCCAAAGGCTAGTAGCATAAAATTAGCTCTCCAGATATATCCTCTTTACAGAAAAGGTCCGACTATAGAAGAGTATAAGACCTCTAGAGTCAAGATTCTTTGTCCCCGAACTAGGCCTTAATAACTAGATAAATCAAGTGTAGTCTTATTTAAGCAAAAAGCTATTCTAGTATATTAGAACAAAAGCGGAATATAACTACTATAGCTATAGCACTTGCATCGTATAGTTAGAACAAACAATAGCTGTATTACCTTAATTATTAAGATCCGAAACAACGACTAAGACCTTTTTACTAAGTCTAATTTTTGAAGCATACCCCTCTTATATTTTATTTTTAGGTAGGTGCGCTCGACAAGTTGTAATTTAACGTATTTAGAGCTGCCTCGATTTAAGATTGAAGTAGCTAAGGGGCAATTATATGCGGCGGAATGCATATTCCTTTGCTGATGCCTCCCTACTTTTAGAAGAACTGAGGCAAGACAAGGTCCCTAGGGAATCAATAGACGGAGGTAGAGATAGAGATTCCTACCTAGGCAATTAAGAAATAGGCTCGGAAATGGAAATACCTAGGTAATCAAGAGATAGAGATGGAGATGGAGATAGAGATAGAGATAGAGATAGAGATAGAGATGCAGATGGAGATGGAGATAGAGATGGAGATAGAGATAGAGATAGAGATAGAGATAGAGATAGAGATAGAGATAGAGATAGAGATAGAGATAGAGAGATGGAGATAGAGATGCCCTACTAGGTAGGCAATTGAGAAATAGACACAGCGACGGACACGGCGACGGACACGGCGCGATAGACACACGGCGCGATAGTATGTCTATACAGCGCGATGGACACACAGCGCGATATAGACATACCTAGCGATAGACACGGTACGATCGACACGGCGCGATATAGGCACGGCGTGCCTTGGGCAAACTTGACCTCCCGCCATTTAGATTTTTTGCTCCCGCCGCATATAATTCCCCTAGCTAAGCTGACTTTATATAGTAGCAGGCAAGCTGTTTAGAGAAATCGCCCGTTATTCATAAAAGTCCTCAAGATATATACAGTGTATATAAGACAGTACTATATACTATATATCTAAAACAAACCGTATACTACATACTGTACATTATACACTATATACTCATATTTTGAATGAGTACTATATTAATAATAGACTTTGTCTTTACCCTCCGTATACTACGTTTTATCTGTTTTATATTTAATAGAGGGTTTAAGCTAATCTAATTGCTTTTCTAGGGACAACTAGATCAAGTTGATCTAGAAAGTATACTCTATTGTTCTAATAGCTAGACTTATCAATTCTGATATTGTTTTATTATAGTATCTAAGGAAGAGGTTAGAGATATCGCTACTCCATACAATAAGTTCGATATTCATTATAGCTTCTTTAGCTTTATTATAGGCTTATTAGGTGTAATAGTAATCTGAAAACCAATCTACTTGAGGCCGAAGTTTATTATTCAAGAAAGAGTCTCTAAAAGCTACCCTACCCCTATTGGATATAGTATTCCGGTTTACTGATCAGGTAGCTTACCGTAGCTTCACTAAGGCAACTGGTTTCCTCTTCTATAACAAGGCTCTAGACCATATAAGTTCTCTAGAGTTACATTACACCTTTTAGTAGCTCTCTCTAGAAATAGTATATATGTAGTTTCTAGAGGTCTCTAGAGTTCGGTAGGGATATCACTTTAGAAGCTTTTAGTTATCTATAAATTTATAGGTACTCAAGTGAACTATTTACGTAGTTATATAAGCTTGTTGATTGTTATATTAAATATATTCGACTTATAGGTGACTTAGAACAGTCTTAATACAGGGCAGGATATAGTACCTAGCTTCCGTTTGTACTGTATTGGAAGGAGAGCTGGCTAGTGTTCAACAATTACTACTAAGACACCAGAAGTAGGCAACTTTATAAAAAGTTAAACTAGACTAAAAGAAGCGGGTAAAGGAAGAAGGGGGCTCTTATTTCCACGAGAAGAAACAGCCTGGAAAAAGCCTCTATACGTACAATGTTTTGGTTGGCGCTTAGCTACAGATGATCGTGGCTTTGACATGTAAGTATTGCGACAAAGTCCACTGGGCGAGATCCTGGCGATCAACAGGCCAGCACAATATCTATCTAGTACATGGCATGTGTTTTCCGCGAACTTTACCTCAACTCAGCGCTTTGAATTGCAGCTGTCTGAGGCTGCATATCGTGCTAGGACTGGACGCCTCTTGCTACACCAGCCTAACGACATCTACTCAATCCTGCCACTTGGGAAGCTTCATAGTCCCGTGCTCGTTGAGATGCTTATGCATGTCGAACGCGTTCCATAGCAAATGCGGCTCATGGCCCCAGCCTTTTCTCATACACTCAAACTCAGCCTTATCAAAGTAATCCTTCAGGATCGGATAGTAGTCTGGATGAGCGCACTTCTTGATGATTTCTCGAGCTCTCTCTTTAGGCGACATGCCTCTCACATCGGCAAAGCCTTGCTCTGTGACAACAACGTCGAGATCGTGTTCGGTTTGATCCACGTGCGTGCACATAGGGACGATGCAAGACACACCAGTAGGATCGGTTTTCGAAGGGCGGGTGGAGGGCGTGTGCATGATTGAGTACTTGGCCGATCGTAAGAAATCAGCGCTGCCACCTAGGCCGTTAAGCATTCGCGAGCCCATCACACAAGTCGAATTGGCATGCGCGTAGATATCGACTTCAACAGGGGTGTTCATGCCGATAACACCCAGTCTTCGAATGATCTCAGGCGAGTTGGACACTTGCTGGCTGCGCAGTAACAGTTTTGGTGCATAGTCCTTGTAGCGGTCGTAGAAGCGGTGGAAGCCGTCTGGAGAAAAGCGAATCGAGGTAGCTGTTGCAAAATCCAAGTTACCGCTGTCAAAGAGGTCAAGAAACGAGTCTTGAAGCACTTCGGTCCATACTTTCAAGTTTTTGAAGTCTGCTCCGCCACTCGCCAGTCCTCCCACAACTGCATTAGCAATGTTTCCAATCCCTGATTGAATTGGTAACAGGTTTGGAGGCAGACGGCCGTGATTCACTTCATGTTTCAGGAACTCGATGAGATGATGAGCAATGGCCTTGGAGTTGTCGTCTTCTGGTGCATTGGGCTGTGTCTGGTCTGCATAGTCAGACTCCACAATCGCTACGACCTTCTCTGGATCCAGAGGAATGTGTGGTGTGCCAATTCGATCTTCGGGCGACATGACGAGGTATGGCTTTCTTCGGGGCGGCAGGTCAGTCATAGTGATATCGTGTAGTCCCTCGAGGTTCGGCGAGGCGGTATTGACCTCGATGATAATCTTGTCAGCCATTTGAATAATCTCTGGACTCGCTCCCACTGATGCTCCGGGAATGATGCCCCCATCTTCGGTGATGGCCGAAGCCTCCACGATAGCCACGTCCAGCCTGTTGTTCTCCTTGTTCTTGGTGTAGAAGCCATACATGAGATCGACGGGGAACATGGACAAATGCTTGTCGAAGAACTTGATGTTGCCATTGTTGATGCCCTTGGCAATCTCTTTGCCCACTTGATGCGGTGCTCTCCGCTCAATCATGTTGTTCCGTGCCCATCGATTCTCCGTCTCTGCCCCACTGGAAGCACCCACAAAGAGGTGGTACTTGAGCTTGCCCTGCAGATTGTTTCTCTCGACATGCTCGGCCAACGCCGTGGGCACTTTCTTGGGGTAGCCTACGCCCGTGAAGCCCGACCAGCCGATGTAGGAGTTGTGCGGGAAGAGGTCAATCAAGTCCTCAGCCTGGGCCAGTCTGTTCAGATAGGACGGCCTCCGCACGCGACTCTTGAGCAATGCCGATGCCGCCATCGCAGCCAAAATGGGTACCTACGCGAGGATGAGGGAGTGAGGGAGTGAGGGAGGGAGAGAGGGAGAGATGGAGAGTAAGACCTAGGAGAAACAGAAGCAGAAGCAGAAGCAGGGGGACGACTGATCAGTATGGTACCACCGTAGTTGAAGCATTAGCAGAGTAGTCTGGTACCTCCTACGCGGGTACCCCCAATATCATGCATGTCGCGTGAAGGTCCACTAGATACTGCATTACCATAGCACTAAATTACCTCACCCCAGCACCAGCTTCTTTTCCCGGCCGAAGCTCGGTCGTTGTCGCGGCTCTGTGCGGATCCAAGCAATGAGACCTCATCGACAGATCAATGGTATGACGCTGATGTCAGACGGACGGCAAGGGGCAAACATGCCCGGACCATCTTCTCATCCATCACCGTTTCGTGGCGCACTACTATAATAACAAGCTGGAGAGACTGATGAACGACGCTGCACAATGGATCCCACCGGGCTACATATATCTCTCTCTCTGTAAGTGTACCCGCCTATTAAATCATACCCGCCTCACCATCCAACTTCTCCAGCACACTGAGCGGACATAACTGCCTCGCCAGACTGCTCCTCTCGGCAAACGTCCAACTTCCATCATCGGCTACACACGAAACCGCAAGAGTCTTCGCCGGGCTCATCACATACTCCGACATAGCCTTCTGTCCCAACTTAGCCCACACAATCTTCTTGGAGCTACTATTTCCAGGCCCCTCGAAGTGGAACCCAGCAAGTGAAGGTGGCTTCCAGCTTGAGACTTGCTCCTTCCGATACCGCACGATAGGGTGCATGAACTCATTCGTTGCACCTGGTGTATCACTGTACCCTCCGGGAGTGCGTGTACTTTGGCCAAGAAGTCGGAAGAATGCACCTTGTAGACCAGCGAAGTTGTCAATGATCTTGCCACAGCCCCAGCCGTCCGGGATGCCGTTCTGTAGAAGAGCTTGTGAGTGCTCGGAGACGATCATGTCGAGCGCGGCGTTCTCAAAGGTCAGTGCGGTTCCAATGTTGTCAATCTGGTAATGATAGTTGTCAGTAGCTATTCGTGACTGTTGGTATCAAGATGTAGGGTGAAGACGTACCATCCAGGCAAGTGTATTGGCTGCAAGTTCGCTTCTATCCGAGCAGCGCAATGGGTACTCGGCCTGACCGCCGTTGTTAGCATGGACACCTGGGAACCAGCATTGTTCAAGATGTTGCTTGTCAGACGTCTTGTGCCACATGGTGGGCGGAAAAGTGATGCGCTTCTCGTCCAGAGCGAGGGACTGGAATGCACGTTCGATGTCTTGGGGAGTGTGGCAATGTGTCAGCTTGAATGCTGCAGCAGCTTGGTAACTGCGGCTTGCTCACTGTTCGATAGCCCGGTGTCATGGAAAGCGTACTCCTGGTTCAGCGGCACGCCTATCTTCTGAAGTAATTTTACGCCAGGCCACTCCGGAACACCCTAGTAGTGGCCCGTCAGCTGGCCTTGCCAACGAAGAAAAGAATGCTCTCAAACATACGAGGGCTCCCACCGTCTCCCACACACCCACAATCTTGATGGGGACTTGGGATGCAGTCAACTTGAGCTTTTTACTGTTTTCATGGTACCATGCCGTGTCCTGAAACGAGCCTGTCCTTCGTCGATATGCTAACCACATGTCATGGAAGTACGACATGTTCACCGCAGAAAGAATGCCTGCACTGGAGATCAGGCCCACCGCTGAGCGGACAGTGAATGCGCCTCTCGAGAAGCCAAAGAAGAACAGCTCATCGCCGAGCTCATAGTTGTTAGAAATGAAGTCGTAGATTTCCGTCACGTCCAGATCAAGACCCCATCCCAAACCGCCTGTGACCAATGGATGCATCAGTTGAGATCATGGCTCGAGAGGTCACGGCCGACACTGACCTTCTATCGCCATCGCAACAGGGAGACTGGTACTTCCCAGGCCAGAAAGATACAACACGACTTGCTTGACCAGCTGCCCATCGACATTGATGCCGGTCGGGGCAACAGCACGAGCAAGCTTGGCGACATTGGAAGGCGCGGAACCATTGCCGGTGTTCGCTGCGAGCCAGGTGCCATCACAGCAGATGATGATGCGCTTGTATGTTGCTTGTATTGGTTCGGCCATCACCAAGAAGGTATATACATGTAAGATGCGTCTGTGATGAAGATCTTGAGGTATCCGATAGTATGCTCCAAAAAACGACGATAGATGATGTAGGTAAGGGATTTGGCTAGGCAGGTAATTACCTAGATATATGGATGTACTTCTATGGGGAGAATGGAAGCGCACTCAGCTGAGGCATTGTTCCAGTCGATCAGTCAGCGAGCCCAGCCGTGCTGATCTCAGCCAGGTGCATGAGATTGAGAGGTAGATATCTACCTTATCTACCCGTATCTTACCTATCTAGGTAAGATACATAATGTAGATCCAATGTCATTGTGCGGGTCTTGGCGAATCCATGGTTAGCATTTTCCCTAAGCAAGTGAAAATGGCCAGCCTAGGAGGCTGGGCAGGTACGACATGTATACACCCAGACCACCTAAAGTACCTAGCACTGCATTACAGTAAGCGGATACCGTACATGTAATGTGGGTAAGGTACACAGAGTGGCGCGTCAATAATCCAGCACGTGGTGAAACGGAGACACGGCACGCGAGGCCACCCACGTGCGACTTGTCCGACTTGTCCTTTTTGAGATTGCGAGGTGGATTACAAGAGGAGAGAGGCCTCCGAGAGGAAGGACGCAAGGTGGAGGTAGCACGAGTACTCTCAGTCTCAGCTCGTTCAGCGGTGCCTGGCCTGGCAGAGCTTCTTGGCATCATCATCATCATCATCAAGAGTCGACACATGTAATAAGGTACCTTACTTGCTACCTTACCTACCTAAGGTACTCAGGTACTGTCACCTCAGGCAGGCTTTCAACAAGGCCTTTAATCAAGTCGTTGGAGCATGTCGAGCTTCCACAGCTATCACAGACGCAGTCTGACATTCCAGTCTTCCATCTCGGAGGCCATTCTCGGTCAGCTTACCACCACATATACCACCACCTCAGCCGAACTGACATGACGAGGCAATCGTGTTGGACCGACCGGTGTACATAAAATGAGTTACTCCATCTTGATGGAGCTGAAATATTGACTACATGTAGCTGCAAGTCGATGTTCCTCCAGGAGCTGGGGGTCTGGAGAAAGCGATATGCCGCCGACCTCTGTCAGCTATGCTGGCGCAGTGCAACATGTGTTATGGGTAAATAGTACGGCTGTGAACACATTAATCAGAGGCTGAGGCTGTGGATGCCTGAGGGCTGTGTTTCTAGCTGGGTTGCAAAGCAGGAATATGAAGCTTTTGCCGGGAGGGTGGTGGAAGGCCCATCTTACAGGAGGTATCGTACGAGCAAAGAGGAACAGATATGTGGATAGGTACATGTAGGTCAGGTATGTACCGTACCTTACGTACCTAGGTATGTACCTAGGGTACTGTTAGGAGGTCAGGTAGTCATTAAGGTATTGCACCTAGTAGGACTCTAGGAGCTACATGTGCCTAAGGTATGCAAGAAAGAGTTATGCATACATCTTTTATGCCTCAGCCCTATGGACCCCACTTGAATAAGGTAAGTCGAATAGTGCTAAGGTAATCTACCTAGTGGCTTGACCTCCACAACTTGACTGCCCTGCTCTTACGCCATCCCCCGTTGCCTCTCTCGACACGAATTAGGTACCCTACCCTACCTAGGAGGTCACCTACCCAACTGTCCATCCGTGAAGGCCACACAGCGAAATCGCCTGCTACCTCCAGCAGTATCGCCGCCTCTCGATCATCCTCCTCCCCTCCTCCATCTTCATCAACACCCCCCGCCCCGTCTCCTCTCAGCGACGGCACCAATGCAGGCTCGCGACGTATCGAGCTTGTCTGTCGAATTCGCCCAAATGCCTGATCGCTGAAGCCCGTTCCCCTCCACCCACTCATTCCCAGCGCCGACTCTCGCGTCGCATCCACATAACATGGCCGCCATGGAGCGGCGAAGAAAGCGTACGCATTTGCACTGCGCTGCCCGGCAGGATAAGGGACGACGTCGCCATGTACTGACTACTTCACTCAGGAGACTTGAAAGAACAGAATGTACGAGCGTGGAATGGCGAGCATGTGTTTGACGTCCAGGGCTCGCTGGACTCGAACATGAAGAAGAACACGGCATTCATCAAGCGCCTCCGAACTGCCATCACTTCTTCCAATACGCCCACCTTCCTGCAGGAAATCCGCTCCTTGTCCCTGCACAAGTACCTCACCGAAATCATCTCAGCCTGCTATGAGGGCCTCACGAAACTCAAGGTCGCCGCCGACATTTCTGCAGGGGTAGAGATCATCAGCGCACTGCATCAGCGCTTCGGGCCGGACGACTTTACCTCTTACCTGGGATGGTATGTTGGGAGGGGTCTGGCTACTCCGGACAGAGCGCAGCTGAAGGCCCTGGCTGCCGATGTTCGCGAGCGCGAGGAGAAGGATCGGATACTGCGGCAGAGGACGCTGCTGCGTGTAGCGACAGAGCTCTGGCTAGTTGGGGTTCTCAAGAGCCTGGAGGATATTGCGCAGCCCGCCGAGGCTGGAAAGGTTGGCAAAGGTACCGAAGGACCAGTCAAGCCCAAGGTGAATGGTACGAGGCCGGATGTCGCTGATCCGGAGCCATTTCCACTGGAAGTTCTCAAGGACATGCTGAGCCATGATCGCGAACATGTCAATTTGCCACTGGTCGTGCTATTCGTCAAGACTTTCGCGTGGGACATCTTGGGCTCAAAACATGGCAAAACTGAAGGACGACAGAAGATCGCCGACGATGGCGCCACTACCACTGTGAGTGGCAACTTCGACTCTGCCACTTCCACTGAGCACGATGATGGTTCTACGCCTGATCCACCTCTGACTCCACCGGAACTACAACAACGCTTTCGGAACATTCTGCAACGTTACTTTGATGATGTCAAAGCACATATCCTGCGCGACCAGCAGCGACTCACAGCTCAGGGAAAGCGAAATGCAGAAGCATACGTCAAGTCCGGTGAGGTCTTCGAGGATCGCCAAACCAACCACGAGAAGGCGCAAAAGTCCCAGGAGAAGCTTGTCTCCAGCGCACAAACCTTGGCAGAAGTGCTAGGAGCAGAGATGCCAGATTTGTCTGAGAAGGATAGCAGCCACGCCGGTCTGGAGGGCAGCATTGGGCTTGTCAAGACCGGTGAATACCTCCGCGGACAGGCTGAGGGTGCTGGTATCTGGGAAGACGAGGATGAGCGTCGCTTTTACGAGAACCTCGTCGACTTGAAGGATCGAGTGCCTGGCATTCTTTTAGAAGACAGCAAGAAGAAGAAAGCAGAGAATGACGAGCAGGTTGGCAAGAAGGTCGAAGAAGGCGCCGACGCTAAGGAGAAACCAATGGGAAGCGACGAGTCTTCTACTGCAATCGCGAACAAAACGGTCGGCGCTCAGGTTGACGCACTGCTCGCAAGGCTACACGAGCTGTCCACGAAAGATCAGGTCGACCAACTTGCAATCGACTTTTGCTTCCTCAATTCGAAAGCTTCGCGCAACCGTCTTGTCAAGGCCATTGAAGACATACCAAAAGGCAGAACAGATCTGTTGCCACTCTACGCCCGTCTCATTGCTATTCTGGGACGCCACTTGCAGGATGTGCCTGAGGCAATCATCAAGTATCTTGATGATGAATTTCGCAGTCTCCAGCGCCGCAAGTCCAAGGACTTTTTGGGACAGGTGCGGATGATCAACATGCGGTACATTGCAGAATTGACTAAATTCGGAGTGGTGCCAGAACACGTCATCTTCCACTGCCTCAAAGTCTGCCTGGATGACTTCTCCCGGATGAACATTGAGATTATAGCAAATCTTCTTGAGAACTGCGGAAGGTATCTCCTACGCAACCCAGAGACGTCGCCGCGAATGGCATCGTTCCTGGAGACTTTGCAGCGCAAGAAGACGGCTCAACACATTGGCCAGCAGGAGCGCATGCTTGTCGAGAACGCCGTTTACTACGTCAATCCGCCAGAACGCGCCGCTATCCAGCAAAAAGAGCGCACGACCCTGGATCTGTTTGTTCGCAAGCTTGTGTACACCGATCTTAGCAAGAAATCTCTCGACAAAGTCATCAAGCAGATTCGGAAGTTGCATTGGGAGGAAAGCGAGGTGGTGGATGTACTTCGCAAGATCTTCGTCAAGCCTGGCAAGATTCGCTTTGGCAATATCTTTCTGCTGGCCATGATGCTCGCTGCCCTCTATCGCTTTCACACCGGCTTCGCTATTACTGTGCTGGACGAGCTGCTCGAGCGCGTTACAGTCGGTCTCGAGATCAACGATTTCAAGTACAACCAGCGCCGCATTGCGGAGGCCAAGTATCTGGGCGAGCTGTACATGTACCGCGTCGTCGATTCGGCGCTGATTTTCGACACGCTGTACAAGATTCTCAACTACGGACACGCAACCTACGCCCAGCCTGGCGAGGTATGTGCGATGGATCTCCCAGACGACTACTTTCGTATTCGGCTCGCCTGTGCTTTGCTGGAGACCTGCGGTCATTGCTTCGAGAAGGGCGCGGCTAGAAAGAAGCTGGACTTTTACCTGTCCTTCCTTCAGTACTACATCAATGTGAAGGATCCCATTCCCATGGACATTGAATTCGTGGTGCAAGACACGTTTAATGTCCTGCGACCGCAATGGAAGCTGGTGTTGAATGACTTTCCCGAGGCCGCAAGAATATTTGGAGAGGCGTGCAAGCAGAACTACCAGGACACGGCTGCCGGCAAGATGCAGGAAGCGGAAGAGCCGGAGGACCCAGATGCCGACGTGACTCTATCCGATGACGAGCACCGCGAGGGCGAAGAGCACTTGGCCGACGGGGACAATGCGCCTTCTGGAAGCGATGATGGCAAGGCGCAAGGTGATGATGACGAAGGACGAGCTAACGAGCAGTCGGACGAGGAAGAGCACATTGTGGTGACCAGACCCGAAGATCACCGAGATCCCGAAGCCGATGCCGAGTTTGATCGCGAGCTCGCCAAGCTCATGGCCGAAAGCGTCGACTCCCGCAAATTTGAGCGCAAGACTGCATTTGATCTCCCGCTCCCAATGCGCCGGACAGTGCGGGACGCCGCGACACCCGCAGCTGCAGGTGGCGACGAAGAGACGCCCGCACCGCCGTCAACTAACGGAGCGGGCACGATGAAGTTTGCGCTTCTCAGCAAAAAGGGGAACCGCCAGCAGGTATCGTTTTGGAGTCATGGTATCCCACGACATGGGCCCCGACTAACGCGGCCATAGACACGATCGATCGACATGCCCTCCGATTCAGCATTTGCAGTCGCCATGCGCTCACAGCAAGAAGCCGAGCGCGCTGAGCAGCAGCGCATCAAGAACCTGGTCCTCAATTATGATTTGACAAACGACCAGGAAGATGGTGATTAACTTGTCTTTCATTACGTTCAACATCCCGCGAATCGCGTTCGCCTCGTCGGCACAGGCCCACTCAACAAAAGAGGCCTGGAGCTGAAGTTGGAGGGTCGATTTCAACATAAGACCCCCAACGACAGCGACGAGGAGGACAAGACCAGCCACCCCCTTTCCCCCTCCCCCCTCCTGCCTCAAGCAGAAAAAGCCCGACCATTAGCGCTACAAGAAGACATACTGACTGACGAGACAGGCTCTTTCGAATCTTTGCACAACGGTCCGCGATACGACAAATCCGGAAACACGCGCTCAAAGCAACGCGCAAGAAAGTTGCAACTTGGTGACATTGATTGGTACGGACGCACTGCTCCTGCTTTTGCTTTTGCTTCTGCTTCTGCTTCTGTTGTTTCATCGGAGCGTCCGGAGGGTCGGCACAGTCTCGACGGATACGCCGTCGACAAGCAACAGTCGAGCCGCGGCCGTCGTCGGGCTGACCTTCGCTCGACGCGCAGTGATAGCGCTCAACAAGCACGAGCACAAGCGACAAAAGGCTGACCGGCGTGAGCGCCACTTCACAGGACTTAAGCGATTTCGAAGACACGGATTATCCATGTTGTCCACGAGCCCCACACATACCGACGATCACATTCAGTCGTCGCCATCAATGCGTCGTGGCATTCCCATACGATAGCAAGACTGCCTTTGCTTGTCTTCATTACGACGCCGACCACGAGATGCAATGCTTCGAACCTGACAAATCGAGCACTCGACCCCTCCAGTCCATGCCCGCCATGTCGCTACGTGTGGCTGCTGCACGAGGGCCTTGCCCGTCCCATTGGACGCATGGTCTGCAGACAAGAGTACGATGGAACAGTAAAACGAGTCTGTCGTCGGGTCGGCTTGTGCCAGTATCGTGCGGGGAGCTGGAGAAGAGTACGAACGAAGCCTGCAGGGTGGCTACAGAAGACTTGCGAGAACATGGGATTCGAGTGGTTCAGTATATCGGCAGATAGAACTACAGATTGATAGGGACGAAGTTGGAAGACAGTCGTTCGTTAACACAGATCTCCTTGAGTTTCACAAGAATCAATAGTGTATCTAAGGCCGTTCCAAAGGAGTGCGCATTCCAACACAGGTTCAATCGTGTATGCATGAGGTAACTATCGCAGGCTTTCAAAGCTTTCCGTCCCACTCTGATCATGTAGGGATCCATCGGACTTGACCTCTGCTTCTACGGACAATTAGTGCTGTCAATACTTCCTCTTAACGTCGCCTGCAGGTACTTGACTAACCTCGAAGCCACACACACACACACACACATACATCACATCACATCACACAATTCTTTTGCTTTCGTTTCCCATCGTTTTAATGCGCCGCGGTCGAGTCGTAGCCTCGCCCACCAGTTCCCGGAGCATTCGCCAGTGACTGCTTCATCAATTCGCGCTTGTAATCATCCTTGCTGGAAGTCTGTCCACGATCGAGACTGGATCCATCCGCTTCGTCTGATGCCGATTGCTGAGACAGTGCGAGCTAGCGGCAAGTTCACATCAGCAGGACGTTCGAACGAAGGAAAGCATGACGAAGCCAGCGGGCATGGACAGTGAAGAAGATGGTGTGTACTGACAGCTTGCTCGTAATGATGGGTTGTCTGACGCTTCAGAACTCCAGGCTTCTCATTTCCATGATCGCAGCATGATGATGATGATGATGATGATGATGCTGCTGCTGAGGGTGTCTCGGTGGGCTTTTGGGGGGAAACGAGGGAACGTGTGGCCTATCCGTCCAGTCTCGTCAGCTCTACTGATGATGCATTCTGGCTCGATGCCGAGACAATCGAGATGAAGGTGTGTCTGTCATATACCATAGCGCTTGCGTTCTGATAGCTGTATGGATGAGAGCCCGAGGTTGGCGACGCCATTTCTTGGACTGCTTCTGCGTGGGGGAGCTTGAAGGTCGTGTAGTTGGTCTAGACGGTTGGAGATGGTGAAATTGGCCGATGGATGGGATGAATGACTGGTATGTACCTTAGAAGTCTGCTTGCTCCAGTCCGATATGGCGGGAAGGTCAGTGTTGAGAAGTGGATGACACGAGAGAGTGTTTGTTGACGGGATCTCACACCAGTCGTCCTTACCGGGCAACATTAATGTAGGTAGAGCATCAAAGAGGGGAGGAGCAAGGCGGTGCTACATGTACATTACCTTACCTTTAGGTACCTACTTGTGTCCTTCTTACCCTTACACCTTGGATGCATCCTTCAGTGCCTAAGGACTAAGGTTGTCTGTCTGTCGGGCCCGAAATTGCATGACTTGGAGCGCGTTCGCTTGAGCATCTTATAGCTTCAGCCTTCTGGCCAGAAGCTATAAGCCCATCTTGAGCTATAGGAGGTAAGATTATAGCTTTAGTTATAACGACCCACATTTAAGAGCGAGAGTTTACGTAGCGTCAGCTTCTGGCCAGAAGCTATAAGGAACAAGCGAACGCGCTCTTGATATTTATGAGGACAATCGTACATCAGTTAGCGTCCGTCTCGACCGAGCCTATCAGATGTCTTGTCTTCGTTCAGGCAAACATTGTCGTTTGGCCCTCTACCACCCTCCCCTCCATACTCTTCTGATATCGTGAGGACCATTCTACATCAAGTTGTTTCTGTCCTGGACCACTCCCTTGCCTCAGGAAGCAAAGGCCGGAAGCTGGGTGGTCGCAAGTCCTGCTGTAATACTCTTCTCGCAGAGCTCATGTGAAGTTTCGCTATAAAATGCACTGGCCTTCCCGATCCAGAAAAGCAGGACGAGCGGAATCCCGGTGGCAGAAAGACAGCAGGCTGGACTCACGTTCGGGACCATTATGGTCATCTTTCGAGTGTTCGCGGGCTGTAGCCTCTGCACAAAGGCATAGATCTGGGTGCGCAATGTCCAAGTAGAATGTATTATCTGTAGTAATGCGCAAGGTCATCGGTCAGACGCTTGTTCGACCCAATGGCGGGTGAGTGACGTGTAACCAAATGGTTCCGCTATGAGCAGCCATTCGGAACTTCATGTGAGCCCTCCGGACATATGAGTGACAAAGACCGCAAGTGGACATTTTTACTCACGTGGCTCCTGGCCCTTATATTTTTCTTTGCTTTTTTCACTCGCTATATGGGTACTTTTGGTGTGGTATGCAGCAGGATCTGAGCCTTTTCAAGACGTAAGGATGTCGATGGCTGTCACAAGCGAAGAGCGCGAGCTGTGTTCGACGTTGCACGCTAAACTTCGAGCTGGCCATGCTGTAGAATGATTGTCCAGCCTACCTGGGTAGATTGATCTATGCTGCCCTGCTCTTTGGTCGACCGCTACCAACTCTCTTCGCCTGTGGTCGCTGGAGATGTGTAGCTGGGATCCAGCTCTCATCGTAGCCCATTTGAGCGCTAGAAGTGACAGCTGGACCATCGGCACCCACCACGGCAATTTGTTCGCTTGGATCAACTGGCTTCGAGCCACCGCTAGAACGCTTTGCACGCTCTCCGCCTTTGCCGCCGCGCTTCTGTTGTGGGAAGAGAGTGGTGATCCAGGTGCTGTAGATGAAGTAGATAGTGCCACCGAAGGCAGCGAGGACGACGAGGTACAGGAAGATGCTGAATGAGCAATTGTCGGTTAGCGAGTGTTCAATGGGTCCGCGAGGGCGAGCAGGAGTCAATCTTACATCTGAGGGTCCAGAAACGAGGTGGGTGCCTCGACCACGGATACGTTCTCCCGGAAGACGGTAGACGTGAACAGGTTCTGACCTCGCGAGACGACGGCCCTGAGCTCCAACAGGACATCTTGAGGCTGCATAACAGTAGCATACGCGTACGTCAGAGTCTCTGCAGTGCCCGGGGCAATGGTCTTGCCGTATTTGGCAGAGGTGAAGTTGCGGACGCTCTGAGGAGGATCTGGTGCGCCTGCAGTGTTGAGCGGGCTGTAGAGGCCTCCCGTAGCAGCCAGGACGTTGATGTCGGTGGCCTCGTTGTTCGTGATGGTGATGAGAGTGCGCGTCGGACGGCCATTGACCAGCTTCACCCCAAACATCTCGGCGTCTGGGAATGACACGTTGAATGTCACCTTGAGGGGCTGCTGATCTCCGTCGGCGACGACCTGCTCAACCTGGCGCAAAGCATTAGATCATGGCGTACACTGGGAGTGCTGGATTTATGCTTGGTATACCTTGACCGGTTCCTCTGATGCTTGCGCGAGCACATTGACCGCACTGAGGGCCGCAGCGGCGAGTGTTGCAAGCTTGAAAGATACCATAATGCTCCACGAAATCCAATATATCGGTATAGGTAGTGAGGTGTGTCAATGGATTGGGAGTCTCACAGGCGGGAAGCGTGAAGATGCCACGAGACAATTAAAGTAGCTTGAACCCGCAGATCCACTCAAGACCCTCCGTCATTAGGTGGACTTGGCGACATGCATAAAATGTCAGGTACCTAGGTACGTTAGGTAACTCGCCCTCGACTCATAATTCATTGACTTGTGCAATTCTTTTTTGGCGAAGTCGACTTTCTTCTGTTCGTATACCTGGTATATCATGTATCTTGAACCTACAGGTACATATAGCTGTGCACTACCTCATCTCAAACTCCATATCCTGTCCCGCAAGCATATCCCAAACATACCTTACCTACCTTACATGTAGGTAAGGTACCTAGGTAGGTTAGGTACAGGTACCTAGTTTCCAACTTCCTCGACATAAGCATGTCTCTTCGGATCAACAACACTTGAGCCTGCCTAACAGACCTTCGTCCTCACCAAGCACTCAATAGGCTTCCCATCGCTGGCTAGTTGTTGACAAATGCTGTCTTGTCTTGTAGGCTTCCTCGAATGCACTTTTTCGCATGACATGCCGTCGCTTACACAGGGACTCGAGCTGAGCATCAATGCAGGAACGTGTGCTTCTCCAAGGCGAGTGTCATGCTAGGACCCATTGTCGCGCTGACTCAGTCATCCGCAAAGGATCAAGGCGAGACATAGATCGTGGGCAGCTCTGTGGGCGATACGGATGTCCAGCCTGCCCTATCGCTGATTGCACTGCTTGCCATTTCGTTTCCCATGCCTACAAGTCTGAATGCTGTTGTGAATGAGCAGAGAATATAATACAAGCGCTATACAAATTCTGCATAGCGCAACAAGTCATCGCTATGCCGCAAAACTGTGCATTTCTCCTCTTCGTGCTCTTACAAGGCAGCATTGGCGCCAGTTTGTCCACCAGGTTGCATCAGAAGCTGTGTTATATTAGTAACCATGGCTATCTCCCCATAGGCCTTACAATTGAACAACTCACCTCATTCGCACTCTGCTGCATCCTCATCTCTCTCTCCATCTCCTGCACCTGCTGTTCCTCGCTAAAAGCCAACGCCCACGGCACACCGAGCAATAGCGCACTGGTGCTAATCACCCACAGGCTCTTTCCGCTGAAGCTGGCAATGCTGGTCGCCCAGGAGTATGATGTCTCGGCGGCGTTACTCATGCGCTTACGGTAGGTCGGTGGCACGATGTCTTTGAGAGCGTAAATGCGATCGAGGAGAGATTCATCGTAGGAGTCATCGTCGTCCACGTCAGAGACATCTGAGTCCGCTGGGAATAGTCTATCAGTACTCGTAGCTCGTGATGATGGTCGAAGAGGCGCATACAGGAGCCATCGTCAGTGTCCCATTCATCCTCGTCCTTCGGGCCTGCCTGCTCCGCGAAGAGCTCCTCATCTGGCACTTCTTCGAGCTTGACCATCTTGAATGCGCTTCGGCGGTGTCTTTTGGGGGTGGAAATACGTTTAATATGCGCTGTCTGGAGTGACAGGATGGATGCAGATGTTCTTCAATGACGGACCTACTAGATGGTCTTTTGGATCGCTCCTTCCAGGTTCCTTGCAAGTTTTAGCGTCTCCACCTAGAAAGTACTCTAGCGCCATTCTAACACCTCCCGCGAATCCCTCCTACCTACATAATGTACCTGCAACCTCCTCTGGACATCAACCTCTGTGATTGAGATTCTGCACGCTAAATACCCGACCTTATATGTATGCTTTTATGACATATCATGTGAGCAATCATGGACTCATGCTGCCCCGGGAGGGCGAAGAGAGTGTGGTTTAGAATTATCAATGAATTCGACCGAAATGGGTATGAGAACTGGTGTTATAAAATTGTCGGATGATATTGGGAAAAGAGCTAAGAAGGAGAGTGAAAAAATCATCAGGCCATGTTTGTAGTGACACTGGCAGATAGTGAAGTGCAGGCAGAGTGGCATGCGTGGAATTGGGCTGCCACGGTCACAATTGTCGCAACGCCTACCAGAACGCCTGCTATGTCCAACGACCCAGCTCAGGGGGATGGATTCAGCTTCTAAACTCCTCCTCGACTCTCATCAGCGCCTTATCCAAGGAACGAATGCCCGCTTACTTGATACACGCATGTTTCTTGGCCCTGCGAATAGTGGAGGAGAAGCCATGACAGAACGCTCGAGGGTTCTGAGGTAAATCTCGCGAGTCTCAGCTACGACTGTCTCTCGAGTAACTTGCTGCCCTTCTGTCCGGGTTAGGAAAGCTCCTCTTTTCAAGTTGGTTCCCGAACCTCGTCAGGCAATTGAGCACCCGAAATTCCAGCGCATGAAATGATGACTTTGGCCCAGGATCTGCTTATCCGTCATGCATCTCGGTAGTGTATCTGAGTAGATCGGTCGAGCCCACTTCAACCTCACTATGGGTAGAGAGTGACCGGCGTTATCGCTTCTGGCAGGTGTCAGTAATGGTGTTTGAATAGGTATCCCAAGAATAATAGAGAGGCATAGACCTGGGTTAACGTGCTCGGGGCGAACGAATCAGTCGCCAGTGGGAACGAAACCATAATCGATCTATGACCGTAGGAGGTACCTACATATATCCATGGATAGAATGGACACGAGGTAAATGTAGGTCCAAGGGTCGTCCGCAAGGTTTAGTACAAACTGCCCCACCGGATGGCACAACACCACTCACATACTGACAGGTGAATATGTATATTAAGTAGGTAGATACATGTACGTATACCGGTAATGGTACCTTACCGTACCTGACAAAGAGGGAGAGGCTAGAACTAGGAGGTACCTGTACCTCCTACCTCCTACCTAGTGCGGTAAGGTAGGTAGTACCTTGGATGAGTAAGGTAACGAACGGTCGACGCCGCACCAACAGAGCAACCTCAATCCCCAGCTTGCATGGACATGCCACATGGACTTTACCTTATTGAACAAGTGGCATTGCTCGTACCGACTCGCACCTTCACATTCGCCTACCTTATTCTCATTTCTGATACGTTCATGTATGCTCCCGACATGATAGCTCCTCAATAAACCCCCAACTTGTCTGTCATCGCTCTCCCTCACGCTGGGCGCTTCTCAATCACGGGCACTAGGTACTAATCTACTGTAGCAACAGCAGCAGACATGTCCTCGTCAAGGAATCCGACCATCAAGCGAATCCTCAAGGAAGCTGCAGAGCTGGCCAACACACCCTCGTCCGACTTTCACGCCGCCCCTCTCGAGAACGATCTCTTCGAATGGCACTTCACTCTCCGCGGCACCTCTCAGTCCCCATATGAAGGCGGCATCTACCACGGCCGCATCATCCTCCCACCGGCATATCCCCTCAAGCCTCCGTCATTCCGCTTCGTTACACCCTCGGGCAGATTCGAGGCTAATCGCGAGATCTGTCTCAGTATATCTGGACATCATGAAGAGACGTGGCAGCCTGCATGGGGCATCCGGACGGCATTGGTCGCCATCCGGAGCTTCATGGACACGGAAGCTAAGGGCCAAGTGGGCGGCATGGAGGCTTCGGCAGAGGTACGTAAGAGGCTGGCTCGACAGAGTCCGAAAGCCAAATGTGCCACATGTGGGAAGACAAATGAGGAGATTATGGCCGAGCAGGATGAGGCTGTGAAGGAGGCCGGTGGAGACGCTGCTCAGAAGACGGATGTGGTGCCAGAAGAGCTACGGTTGGCTTACAGAGAAGATCTTGGGAAGTCCGGAGACGGGCCAGGGAAGCAGGCGAACGAAACCGCAGCGCTGTCATCTGATTCCAGTACACTCCAAGCGTCACCAGCAGCTGTAAATGCAGACGTACGGCCTGCTCAACCTCAGCCTGCCTCTTCCTCTTCTTCTTCTCCTCCTCCTCCAGCTACTGCTCCAGTCGCGCAGATAGCAGTACACACCACAGTTGCTGCTACAACGCAGCAACCACTCGCTCCACCCCCTCGAGAAGAAATACCTGCCTGGATTGACAAGGCTATATACGGGATTCTCCTCGTGCTAGGATTCATGTGCGCGCACAAACTCTTCGGATAGAAATCGGCAAGGCCTGATGGAGAGAGTCTCGGAGCACGAAGTTCTGTATAGATGAAAGATGATACCCTGTCTGTATGTTGGTTTTGATGCGATATGATTTTTTTTTACATGTGAAGGCTTTCAATGTGCTCCTCTCGCTTGCGTTACAATACACGCGATCTCGGCGGCCTCATGCCCTGGGAATGAGATCGCTGAATAGACGGCAATAGACTTCCCCTCAACACGGGATCGACCCTCGATACTGAATGCTGGATGCTGGATGCTGGTCCGGGCACAAGGTCTGATGAGGCGTACCGATATTGCCTTGGCCATCGATGAGGGGGGAAGAAGGAGTAGAAGAAGAGGGAGAATAAGGGGCATTCTGATCTCAACCAGCTCCATGTGCTACTACTAAAGAGATCAAACCTGTCAGTGGTTCGGATGTTGGTGGGCTGAGATCGTCAAGTTCCACGAATTACATGATATTGACGGAGCTCATAGACGCTTGTGTTTGGAGGCATGTGCAGTACCAGGTCCTGACTGACGGCAGAGGGCGAATATCTGGGAGAGGAAGAAATGAATGGAAACAAGAAGAGAGGGCTTGAAAAGGGCAAACACCTGGGTATTGTTCAATACGAGAGAGCTGCTCCTGCAGGTTCCACGAGCTCATATCGACCGATCATGTACAAATCTCCTCTCTCAACGCCGTGCCAAATCGTCAACTCATCTTCTACGTATACACAAGTTATTCATAGCCTCTCCGGCCTACCGGTTAGGGCACTTCTCCCTGAGCTCATTTGACCCCATAAGATACCGAATGTCTCTGCCAAGACGTGCTCATCAGGCCGCTTTCGTGGGAGCAGCAGCGGCAGCGGTAGCAACCAGCCCCTTCCCACTTCCGGAATCGCCCTGATGTTGCAGTTTCGCCGCCGCTTCTGGATTCAAAGGTTTGTTCGGATCATATCCCACAGCCTTGACAATTCCCAGACCCTTGGTTCGACCCTCTCGGAATAGAATCCTATCACCAGCAGCCAGAAACTCGGGTCTTTGCACAAATCGAAAAGCCACAGTGGCCCTGTCGCCCGTTCGGATATAATCACGATCGATATCAATGATGGCACAAGTCTGACTGACAGGACCTACATGTAGCATCGCCTGGTATTTGGTCCGAATGGTGGTAGCGTGGGAAAGAATCAAGACTTCAGCGACGAACTCGCGGTAGACTTGGGGTTTGGGGGCTTCGAGATGGGGGTTTGCGTCACTTTTGGCAAGGAGGACCACCATGCCTTTGCGGACGTCTTTGCGTCTGACACGGCGGAGGGCGAAAGAGGCACTTTGTCCGGCTGTGGCGGCTGGAGTGCTGATGCGTTTTCGCTCGATGGATCGGACTGTCGTTGTGGTAAATTGGCCTAGACCGTCGGGACCGACCATGACTGTGTCGCCGGCGTGGACAATGCCGGATTTCACCACGCCAGAGACGACGGTTCCGACAAAGGGGACCGAGAAGGTGTCGTTGACGTGGAATTCAAAGGGAGCGTCTATGTCGTACTTTCCGTGATGGGGCAGGATGTTCATGAATTCGCGAACGAGGTCCAGAGATTCTCCGGTGACGTTCGAGACTTGGAAGATGGGACAGATTCGTTGGCTGACGAATTGCGTTGCTGTGTTGATGCATTCTTCGCGAGTTTTGATGAATATGGGGATTTTGCGAGCTCCAGGGGACTTTAGGATCTTGGTTAGTTGAGTGATGGTCTGTTGCAGAATTTGAGGTGGGCAGATGTCGATTTTGGTGATGACGACCTGGGATGGACGATTAGCAGATGTGCAGATGATTATAGATGGCATTATAGATGGACATCAATCCATATTGCGGAGCTGTTTCACTTCACTCACCATGACAGGCACATTCAACGCCAGGGCAATGCCCAGATGTTCTTTCGACATTCCGATCAAGCCATTATTCGCAGCCACCATGAGCAGGCAATAGTTCGGCTCACTCGAAAGCAGGCCGAAAACTGTCGTCCGTAGATACCGCTCGTGTCCAGCAAGATCGGTAAAAGAGATGACTTTTGCACTCCTTTTTCCAATTTCCTCCCAGCTCAGCTTTCTTCCTGGAACTCCCGACACGACCACTTCTCCTTTCGTGTCGAAGCCCATAATCTCCATACCCACACTAGAAGTCCGTCCAGACTCTATTTCGTGCTTATGGCGGAAGAGATTCACTCTCGCCTTACCACGACCATCGTCCAGACCCCCTTTCACCAACACGCCTAATAACGTACTTTTTCCCGCATCAACATTTCCCACCACTGCGATACGAGTCTCGATTTGATCGTCGACGTCCACCGGCCGTCGTCGTATCATCAATTTCCCAACACAACCTCGCGCTTTGTTGCTCTCATTCCCCACGTCGACGGGACTGTTTGGGACGTTTTTCGTCATCAACACTTTCCAGTCTGCTTTGAGCTTCTCCACGATGCCCTGTAATCGAGCGATCGCGGCATCCCACTCCTGCTCAGTGAGGAGTTGACTGTCGCCATTGTCCTCTAAGCCAACATCGAACAGACATTCATTATGGCCTTCGTCTAATCGGCTGCTGATGACAGCCCCCAATTGCGTGATGCTCTCCTCTTTCTCCGTGTCATCGAGAAGCAGATGCTTGAGCCGTACTTTGGGCTTATCGTCGCCGAGATCGAGCGTATCGAGAATGTCGAGCTCGGCATGTTCGGTGTTCGAGCCGGTCGTGGTGTCGGGGCCATTGATGGGAGGCCGACGTAGGGCCTGTTGCTTGTTGACGTAGTCGGCGAAGTCACTGAGAGCCTATCATGTTCACGACTTGGTCAGTCCGACAGCACACTCAGCGGCACATCAATGTGATGTCTGAAAGGGCATCCATCCATACGTTCTCGCCCGCTCTTCTGTCCTGCGCAGTCTGCGGCACTTCTTTGTACCGCTCCGCTCGGGTTGCCATGATGATGATGATGATGATGGTATAGTATGTGGTAGAGGATGTCAGCACGGAGTCGGTAGGATCATTGCCATTACCCAGAAGGTGAGGTGTTGGTGGTGGTGGTGGCGGCTAATAACTACATGTAAGGTAACATGTACTACTCAAAGGAGAATAGTAGATCGATCGTCTCTGGGGGGGTGCAGTCATCGATGGACTCATCATCATCGTCTCGAGTGCACGTGGGGCAATTGGAGCAATCAAAGACGGTCGCCGTTTTGGGATTATCCGATGCAGTCATATCGCACCTATTGAATACATTATTATTCCGACGAAGACGACGACGTGATCGGTGTCTGTATTGAGCAAGCCTTAATTGCGTGTATTGTGTCAGATGTATATTACAAGAGAAAAGCAGATGTGCCACTTGGTGTATATATAAATGAGGTAAATGAGGTATATATATACTACCTGAGGTACGCAAGCACTTCGGCATCAGCTCCGCTCCACTCCATGAGTGCTGACACTACGAATTGTTCTTCGCCTCTCTCAACGCAGCCATCACATCCACCCTGCCCGTCTTCCCCGTGAACTTTTGTACCTCCAGATCATCAAGTCTCATAAACACGTTGTGCTTCTTCTCGTCGCCAATCGTAAATTTTCCCTGAGTTTCCTTGTTGGATGTGGCAAACGATTCAAGCTTCTTGATCGGTTCCGATTGTATCACCTTGACACCAAACTTCACATTACCCTTGGTATACTCGTGACCAGGGTAGACCTTCGTGTCATCTGGCAGCGTCGCGAGAGTCTTGTTCAGTGCCGTATCCATTTCCTCGGCTGTGCCTTCAAAGAATCGCCCACAGCCTCCAATGAAGAGAGTGTCTCCTGTGAAGACTGCCTTGTCGTTGCCGTCTTCGAAGAGATAGCAGATGCTGTCTTGCGTGTGACATGGCGTGTGGAGGGCCTTGACTGTGATGCCCGACCCGATGGTGAATGTCTCGCCGTGAGCAGGTGTCTTGGTGACCTTGTCGCAGTCCTTGCCACCAATGATAGGCAGTGGGTAGCTCTGCAAGATCTCCTTGTTCCCTCCGGCATGATCGTGATGGCTGTATGATTGTCAATACGAAGATCCAGGACTCCCGATCATGATCCTTACTGGTGGGTGTTGATGATATTGGTCAGCTTGACACCACTGTCAACAGCCTTTTTCAACGAAGGCAAGACTCTAGACTGTTTGTCAGTCCCATGGATCATCACTGCCGTTTTCCTTGTACAAGCGATATTCACTCTGATGGGTTTGCTGGGTCGATAATGACACCTTCTTTCGTCTTGTCATCCGTCACGACTGCATTTCATCAGCATCCTCGTCTGTGGTTGTGTTCATATTCGCAGACAAGCACATACGATAGGCATAGTTGTTGCCACTCCCTTCCCCTACACGGCTCGTCTTAGTGCACTGATCATCCATCTTGATGTCTGGTCCAGCTTACACATGGGAATGCTTTCGATATGCATCTTCCTGGCTTGTTGCTTTGGCGGATCAGCTACATGATAGAGGAAGGCAGCGAGAGAAGCAAGGCTTACAGCAAGAAGTGAGTGAAGGATGGGGCGTCTGATGGAACTTCTCACTGCTGTCACCAGATTCATTGGCAAATGGGTGTATACCAGCAGACGAAGAGGAGGAGTGATCTGATCTTGCAGTGTACCAGTACCTCCTACATGTGTATAGACATTATGTATCTTACAGGTACATATACTTGACTATGATGTAACTAAGCTGTCTGCTTGGACCAGCATGTGTGACGTGCCCGCGTCGAACAACTTCCTGGATCCTGCCCGACGCCCGTGAAAGAGCATCGCGATTATCGACAACTACAGTCTACAGTACCTGAGTAACAGTACCTTACAGTGCTTTACACCGCCTGGGAGAAAAACACATCTCTTCACTTCGACTCTCGAGGGACAAGTCTTAGTCGGCGCTCTGCACATTCCTCCACCTGCCACAGATGCCCGCACGATGACTTCGAGGCTGCTGTCCTCGCGGCTCTCCTTGCCCACCAAGACAGCCCTCGCGCGAACACCACCACCTCGTCCCATTCTAGCCACCGCCCGCTGCCTACTGCCTGCCACACGATCAACCACCCACTCCGCCTTGTCTGGATCCCACAGCCCTCTACGAAGATGGACACAGCGCAAAATATGGCCTGCGGGCGCAAATGCCATGCACAACCTCCCTGCAGTCCGTCACGCTTCGTTCGCGCGCGTCATACCGAAACTGTTCGTCAAACTGGTGCGCATACCGGCCATGATGGGCCTGACGATTGCTGGTGGCCTCGCATACGTTCAATATCAGACGGCACAGGCAGGAGCCTATGCGGTGGATCTGTTTGGCAGAGCGAAGGATGCTACAGTGGGCGCTGTGAATGGTGTCCTGGGAGGACTGGGAGATGTGTTTGCGCAGGTCAGCAAAGGCGCTGAAAGGACGAAAGAAGATGCGAAAGCGATACAAATGCCGCAGTGGATGAAGGATATCTACGAGGGGCGGGCTGACCGTGAAGAGGGCGGGGAAGGTGGTGGTGGCCGTGGCCGTGGACCGAATGAGCCACAGCAGAGTAGAGTGGGCGCTGCGGGAGCGGGCGCTGCTACTGCTGCTGCATTCGCACTGGATTCCGATGGGGAAGAGGACGACAGGGCACGAGATGAAGCGGCGAGGGACGACCAGATGATGCTGCTCACGAGGAAAATGATCGAGATACGATCGCTTCTGCAGACTGTCGGGCAGTCAGAGACCATGACCCTCCCATCCATCGTCGTGGTCGGCTCACAGTCGTCAGGGAAGAGTTCAGTGCTGGAGGCCATAGTAGGCCATGAGTTTCTCCCCAAAGGCTCAAACATGGTGACCAGACGACCCATCGAGCTCACTCTCGTCAACACGCCGAACGTAGCAGCAGAGTATGGCGAGTTTCCCGCTCTTGGTCTCGGCAGAATGACCGACTTCAGCCAGATTCAGAAGACTCTGCTGGACTTGAACTTGGCTGTACCTGAAAAGGACTGCGTTTCAGATGACCCAATTCAGCTACGGATATACTCGCCCAACGTCCCCGACCTGTCTCTGATCGACCTTCCTGGATACATACAAGTCGAGGCCTTCGATCAGCCCACAGAGCTTCGCACGCGGATACAAGATCTCTGCGACAAATACATTCAACCTCCGAACATCATTCTCGCCATCTCAGCTGCGGACGTCGATCTTGCGAACTCGACCGCACTTCGAGCAGCACGTCGAGCAGACCCCAGAGGCGAGCGAACAATCGGTGTTGTGACCAAAATGGACCTGGTCGATCCTGTGAGGGGCGCCCAGATCTTGTCAGACAAGAATTACCCCCTTCGATTGGGATACGTCGGTGTCGTGTGTAAGGTGCCTCAAGAATCGAGATCCCTGTTTTCTCGAGGCGCGCAGAACATCACAAGTCTGATTACGAAGAACGAGTCGGCCTTCTTCAGCGCGCATCCCGAAACATACGGCCCCGAGTCAAAGGCCAATGTCACTGTTGGCACACCAGCACTCCGAAAGAAACTGATGCATGTGTTGGAGAGCACCATGTCTGCGTCACTCAAGTCCACGAGTGAGGCCATCCACCACGAACTTGCAGAGGCATTGTATGAGTTCAAGGTGCAATACAATGAGCGAACACTGAGCGCAGAGAGCTACCTTGCGGAATCGCTCGATGCTTTCAAACACGAATTCAAAAAGGTATCAGAGCAATTTGGACGACAACAGGTCCGGGATATCGTTAAGCGCGAGCTTGACCAACAAGTGTTGAACCTGCTCGCTCAACGGTACTGGAACAGACCAGTGGACGACCTTAGACCCGTCGATCAGAGTTCCGAATCGATACAGGAACCACTCCAGAGCCTGCCCAAAGCAGATCCTGAAAATCCGCTTTGGCATCTCAAACTCGATGCTTCGACATCGACCTTGACCAAGCTTGGTATCGGACGATTGGCAACGACCGTAACAGCACAAGCTCTCCACAGCGCCGTGCAAGGTCTCATCTACAGCACACCATTTGCATCACATCCTTTCGCCGTGCAAGCCATCACAGCAGCATCGGAAAACATACTCAAAGATCTCGCCTACGACACATCGGACGAGTTGGAAATCTGCGTCAAGCCATATAAATACCGAGTCGAAGTCTCTGACCAGGAATGGAAGCAAGGCCGCGAAAACATCTCGAAAGTCCTCAAAGACGAACTACAGTCATGCGAAAGCGCACTGAAGAGTGTAGAAGACCAGATTGGCAGCCGAAGGAAAGCCAAAGACGTTCTCGCCTTCATCGATCGGGTACGAAAAGGGGAGACAATCCTCGAAGGCAATGGGGTCGGAGGTGCGGGAGGTTTCTCATCAGCACTCCTGGAAAAGGGCAAAGAAGCCCTGTTCCTCCGCGACCGTTCCGACATCCTTCGCATGCGCTTAATGGCCATCAAGAGTCGCCAATGCGCTCAAGCCAGCAACAAATACTACTGTCCCGAAGTCTTCCTCGATGCCGTCGCCGAGAAACTCACATCTACAGCTGATCTCTTCCTCGACGCGGAACTCTTGTCGAAATTCTATTACCAGTTTCCCCGTATTCTGGAAAAGTGGGGTCGAGATCTAGATGAGAGTACGGTTGAGCGGTTCGCGAGAGAAGATCCCAAAATTCGAAGACATCTGGATGTGGTGAGACGTAAAGAGTTGCTGGAGCATGTGCTGAAGGAGATGGAGGGCTTGAGACAACTGGAGGCGCGGGAGAAGAGGAGTAGTCAGAGGGGGACCCAGACTGATGAGAGGAAGAGGAAGGGATGGTTGTTCTAGATGAGTGAACCCGTTCGAGGTTGTGTACAGACTACAGGGCGTTCGGGGTTCTGGTTTCAGCAGAACATGATATCCACGATGACTGACCAGCAAGGGCCGGGCAAAGCAAGCAAGCAAGCGAAGTATGTATTGAGGATTTCAGATTCCGCTCTATGGATGCGCCAATAGATCTATCTTCAGCTGATTCTACCCATGTATGCGCGTCGTGTATTCTTCTGGCACTGAAATACCTACTAACGTTGAGACTTGCTCGACAAGACGTCTTCGTGAGATCGTGCCAAATGATCTAGCTCGGTGCCGTTTCCTTGTCCGCTGGTGCTTCACTTGTTGAGCCAGCCTTGCTGGGCCTACGCTCCTTGCTACCCGCACGTTCTCTGCTACCCGGACGGGCACCACGATCTCTCTCACGCTCACGACTTTTTTCTCGGATTCGATCGCGACTCTGCTCGCCATCTCTGCTTCGACTTGTTTCGGTTTGTCTTCGCGGAGACTCTTCTCCAGGCCGTACACGCTTGCCGCCTGGAATGTAGCGATCAATGTCACCTCCTCGATCTCGATCGCGTTCGCGTTCTCGGTCATCATATCGTGTCCGACGACGAGGCATATCGCGCTCATCGCGTATGATGGATGCCAATCGGTCTTTATCAGCTTCGATCTCTCGCTCCCGATCTCTGGGACTTGCTTTGCCGTCGTCTTCTCGAGCACGTCGCCGTGGCAGTGACCGCGACCTCGAGCGCTCTTTACGCCGTGGGGCCGAGCGAGAGCGTGGCTTCTCGGTCTTCTTGTCTTCCTCTTCACGAGCTCTGCGCGCCGCTGGACCGCCTGGAATATAGCGGTCAATGCCAATCGGACTACGACTGCGATCGTCGCGTCGGCGGTCTCTCGATCTATCTCTCGAGCGGTCGCGGCGTCTCACAGGAGACCGCGTGCGTGACCTCTCCCTTCGACGCGGCGGACTTCGACTGTCTCTGCGACCTGGTCGGTATATGTTCAGAACTCTACGAGGAGTTCTGCTTCGCGCGGATCGCTCTACGACTTCCCCTTCATCGCGCTCGTCCTCGCGCTTCCTCGGCCGTACTCGTTCCCTGTCCTTGTCGCGCCCTCTTTCGCGGTCTCTGTCGCGATCATCTCTGGGACGTTGACGAGCCTTCCATGCTTCCCGCTCAGCACTAATGTCGCGGTAGAGAGATTGCCGCCGGTCCCGAGGATCAAGGCGTGAGTGGCGGTCATCAGGCGTGGGCTCGCGTCGTCGTGCCGAGCGGGCGGGCGACGGCGATCTGGCGCGAGCAGGACGTGCTCGAGACGCCATCCTCTCTCTTTCCTTCTCCCGATCCCTATCTCTCCCCTTGTCCCTGTCTCCCTCCCGATCCCTCTCCCGGTCCCTCTCCCGGTCCCTCTCGCGTTCCCTCTCCCTGACTGGTGGCTCGCGATCGCGTCTAGGTCCCGTTGGCGCCGAGGGAGGAGCCTTGGACGATTCCGACTTGTCAACCTTTTTCAAAGTCAGAGAAGTAGGCAGTAAAGGTTGTGAGCGGTTATCATCCTTTGATCTATCGTTCTTTGCACCAGAGAACTGCCTGAGGCGTGACGGAGGTTCCATGCTTTCGCTCCTTTCCAGCTCCGGACGTTTCGCCCTCTCGGCCATCCTCTCGCCCTCCTTGAGAAGTGCTTCTAACGCTTCAGCTTCCAACCGCTTCTGTTCGCGTTCGGCGCGTTCTTTTTGTCGACGATCGCGCTCTTCTTTTATTGTTCGTTCGCGCTCCTCGGCTTCTTTCTTTGCTTTCTCGCGCTCCTCGTTGAATAGCCTAATTCGTTCCTTCTCACGCTCCTTCTCGGCCGCCTTCCAAGCTTCCCGTTCGGCACGGCGTTTCTGATCTCTCTGCAGGCGCTCCGTCTCCTTCTGCAGCGCTTCCTGCTTCTTTTTCAGCATCTCAAGTTCCTTGGCCTTCTTTTCCCGGGCCTCCTTCTTTCGCCGCGCCTTCTCCTCTTCCTTGTGCTTCGCAGCGCGATCACGCTTCCTTTGCTCCGCTTCTTCTGCATATGCCTCGTCGCTCTTGCTGCCCTTGCGAGCCTCCTCCTCGGCAGCTTCATCTCCAATTTCTGTGCGCCGAATGTCCCGTAGCGCACGCTCAGCAGTCGCCATGAACTGGTCAATGTAGGCGTTGATATCCTGCTCGGTCTTTGCGTAGACTTCAGCACGCGAAGCGGCTCCCTCGAGCAGTGGTGCCGCGATGCGCCGATCCGGTCTGAGGTACTTGAGAGAATCGCGTTCGATTTCGGTGGTGGTGAAGGTTCGCAGGGCATTCTCAAACATGCCGCGATTGGCACTTTCGTTGTACTGTTGGAAGGCCTTTTTTCGTAATGCATCGAATTCGCCCTTCTTCTTGAAGGTGTGGAGCATGCCATCAATGGCGGAGTGCTGTGCGCCAGAAAGGGGCAGTTCGGATGTTTTTGGCTTCTTGCGCGGCGGCAACTCGAACTCGCCTGTGCCAGACATGACGATGTCGGTGGCCATGTTCCGCCAGCCTTGACTCTCAAGATGTTGTTACCAAGAAGTTGATGCTTCAGAGGATCGTGTAAGAGGTAGGTGTCGCGTATTCCGGGGGCGGAAGGTGCCGGCGTGCCGCTGCATCAAAGCTTCAAACATGGCTGCATCATGAGAAGAGAGAGAGACCTGAAAGAGAGCTAGACCAATCCTTTTATCACCCAGGTTTGACCTGCTGGACTTACTCGCACGCGACACGTCCAAGTCTTCACATATATATACCTACACCATCGGGCAGGCTCCCACTTTTTGCCCTCGACGACTCCCCACTGCCGCTCCACCTCCAATCCAACCACAGCACATCCGCCATCATGGTCAACAAGATCCTGTTCTGGTCAGGCTTCGGTACGTCCAAAACTGTGCCCAGCTTTAGTCTATTAGGCAGGCTGCGATGATTGATGCTAACAACGGAGAACAGGCCTCGCCGTAAGATTCTGGCAACTCGGAATCGAGATGCGCCCCTTCTTCCAGCGCGAAAACTGGCTTATCTACCCCATCTATGGAGGTCTCGGAGCATCATTCGGATACTGGCTGCAAGGCGTGGACGACAAGCAAATGCGATATTTGGGCGACGCGAGACAGAGACTGATCGAGAAGCGAAAGCGGCGAGCGGAGCGAGAAGGACAAAACCTGGGCTCCGACTTTCAAAAGCACCAAGCTGGCTCGGTCGCAACAACGGAACAACGTGGAGCTGCGGCATAAGACAGTCCGTCTCTCGGCGGGCATGTGACTCCATAATGGGGAGAGCAGGTTGGCGTATGAGTGTTATATGACTTCAAGCAGTACAGAAGGAGGCACCGAAAAGGGCGGAGCGTTCGCATTGCTGTGGGCCGTCAAGCATGATGACTGCAGCATATCCCTCGCTTCTATGATATTCATGAGTGAGGTGTAATGGCAAGGCAGTCTTGAAGAAATGGTGGCATTGCCGTGAAAGATGATGCCTTCTTGAAACTGTACTGTACACACCTAGGTAGTATACTGCCACGAACGGCCACACCTAGCGGTGGCTTACTCGCAAACGGCAACTCCGTTTCACTTCAGAACATGATTGAATGTCTAACCTGACTTCCCAACTTCGGTGCACACCCGACTGCATGCCTGGCTGCCCAGTACGCGCCGTCTAACAGCACGACGCTGACGGACTGGGTAATTTGTGTCGCGAGAAACCATGCAGGCCCACGACTTTGCAATGCGACTCGAGCCTTCAGCATCGCGATCCATATCGCCGGCTCTTGCAGCGACAACACGAGGTGGCATCGTGGTCTTCTCCGGCGGAAGTGCTGCCAACAACCTCGTCGACGTGTTCAATGACATACGCGAGGCCAACAACGCTGCCTTGAGCTATGTCATTCCCATTTCCGACAATGGAGGCTCCTCCAGCGAGATCATCCGCGTCTTCGGCGGTCCAGGTAGGTGCACAACACACCACCACCACCACCTCACCAACTCATCGCCCGCACATCCAACAGACCGAACGACCGGCTCACTCGATTGAACAGGAATTGGTGATGTCCGCTCGCGACTCGTCCGGCTGATCCCTGACGAGGGCGACGAAGCCAAGGCCATCAAGTCGTTCTTCAACTATCGTCTGCCGAAGACGTATGCACAGAGCCGAGCAGAATGGCTCGAGATTGTGGAAGCAACGCACCCGTTATGGCTGGGCATTTCATCGCCCAAGAAAGAACTCATTCGCAGCTTTCTCAACTCCATGAATCTGGAAATCGTGAAGCGACTGCGACCTACCAGCAGATTTGACTTCTCTGGTGCCGCCATTGGGAATCTCTTTCTCACCGGGTACGCGATTCGACGTTCGTGGACGGGTCAGATACATGTAATGGTCACAGAGTCGCTAACATCATCGCCAGTGCTCGTCTGTTCACCGGGAGCTTCGAATCTGCGGTATACCTTGTCTCTAGCATCTGCGGGATCCCGGCCGCCGTTTCCATCCTGCCAGTGCTCAACACGAACTTCGCCCACCATATCGCCGCGAAACTGGCAGATGGCACTGTGATCACCGGACAGAACAACATTAGCCATCCCAGTGCTCCTGCAGCTTCGGTTACTCACATTCCCGTGTCGCCTACACAGCTGCTGCAGGCCGAAACCGAGGAGCACGACAAAGTGGAAGATGCCAACATGCCGGGCACACACCCAGAACTACGAAAGCCGGCGATTGCATTCTCCAAGGAAGGCGAGGAAAAGCTTCCCGCTCGCATCGAACGATTATTCTACATCAACCCGTATGGCCAAGAGATCACAATTCCCGCCAATCCCCGTGTTCTGGAAGCGATCAAGAACTCGTCGTGCATCATCTACAGTATCGGCTCTCTCTTCACGTCTTTGGTGCCTTCGCTGGTTCTCAAGGGTGTCGGAGCTGCAATCTCGTCGCCTGTCATTCGGACCAAAATCCTGATACTGAATGGCACGCTCGATCGTGAAACAGGACCACCCAGCAATCCATTCTCAGCCATGGACTTTGTTGCTACCATTGTCCATGCATGCACCACTTCACAGGCCCGACCTCACGCCCAACCGCACGATTACTGGCAGTACGTGACACACGTCATTCACCTAGACGGCCCAACATCTCCAGTTGTGGATAAGAGTGCCTTCAACAAGATCGGCATTGAGACAATGCGCGTTTATGGTCGATCTGACGAGAACGGAAAGGGTGGCCGATATGATGTGAAGGCACTGACCCAGGCACTCGAGGCCGTGATCGGGCGAAAGGATCCGCGAGGTATGTCAAGGCGCAACACTGCCATATCATAGTGGATATCGTTGTCCATGAGATGATGAGAAGGGGGCCAATGTATCTGTCTGTGGGATGATGCATCGGGACAAAGTCCACGCGAGGCGGCTCCACAGGGTCAAGTGCCCCGCCATACCACCTACAAATGTGTGCAATGATAAGACACAGCCGCACGGCCAACGTTCTGTGAAAAGAGGCATATCACGACGTTTTACAAGAGACAGTACATGTACTACCTACCCGGCCTGTAGAAAAGACTCAGCGTCTGTGCATTGAAAACATGACAAACAAGCCATCCAACGTCGCTGTGGTGGGCTTCGGCCTATCTGCGAAAGTCTTCCACATCCCTTTCATTCAGGCACTTCCAGAAGACTTCACGTTGTATGGCGTGGTACAGAGAACGTGAGTATATCTGCACATGCCCGGCCATGCGTACGCTCCTCCATGGTCATATAGACGCACTCTGATGCTGTATCAGGCCCAAGCCAGGCGATGACGCCTCGCAAGCACATCCAGGGATCAAGAGCTGGAGGTCGGCTGACGATGTCTACGCAGACCCAGCCGTCGATGTGGTGATTGTGACCACGCCACCAGAGTCGCACTTTGAATTGGCCAAAAGGTCTCTGGAGGCTGGAAAGCACGTTGTTGTCGAGAAGCCCTTCGTGCCAACGCCGGAGGAGGCCGCGGAACTAGCAGAGTTGTCGAAGAAGACCGGCAAGAAGCTCGCGGTATACCAGAATAGAAGATGGGATTCCGATTTTCTTACCTTGAGAAAGATTCTTGCGGATGGCTTGCTGGGAGACATAGCAGAGTTCGAGACCCATTTCGATAGCCACAGCCCGGATCCTCCTCCCGAGAGCTGGAAGAGTGAGGACAAACCGGCACACGGAACGATATATGGCTTGGGAACTCATCTGATTGACCAGGTCTACGTCCAATTCGGCATGCCGAAGAAAGTGACTGCATTTGTGGGTAACCAAAGGAGAGGCGTGGTAGGAGGTCCTCCAGACTCGATGAACGTTTTGCTGCACTATGATGGACCACTCCTTGTGACAGTGAAAGCTGGTGTAGTGAGTCCAGAGGCAGAGCAGCTTCGCTTCTGGGTGAGAGGAACCAAGGGCAGCTTCAAGAAGGTGAGTGAGCTGCAGTCTCTCGTGCGTTCGAGGAAGGTAGGCACCAGTCCTGCAGAATTATTCCACTGACAACTACATACCAACAACAGTTTCATTTTGATCGGCAAGAAGACCAACTTCGCCATGAGAATATCGGTCCTGGTCAGGAGGACTACGGCGTGGATCCCGAATCGCATTATGGCACACTCGTCACTGTAGGAAAGGAACAGGCTGCGCCCGTCGTGGAGCGTTATCCTACAGTGCTGCCAGCCACGTATGTCGAGTACTACCGTATCTTTGCAAAGGCGATTCGAGGAGAGGGCGAAGTGCCTGTCACAGCTGAAGATGCGAGAGATGTCCTGCAGATTATTGAGCTGGCCAAGCAGTCTTCGAAGGAGGGGAGGACGATTGAGGTTTGAACATCATGGTCTTCTCAATTATACCAGCTGGGATCGGATATGGTATTGAAGAATGTATAATGTCGAGTCCTTCCATCGTCCATGTTCGTACCATGCTATCCAGGAGGACGTTTTCGCGCGAGAAGTTTGAAATAGATGAGATCGCCCGACAGGTTGGGACTGATCAGCCTTGCAAGACGGCACCCTGCATGATCGACATCCCCGCAACGATCAGAAGAGAAGCACTGGTTGCTGGAAGCATTCTGGGTAAGTTTGGGAATTGGAAGACAGTCAAGACACTGCCCCTCGTGTTGCCGCTGTACCATTCGTCCGTCTAGTACAACCTACCTGTGTACTTATATGTATCCTCTCACACTCTGTACCGCAGCAGCACTACCAATGATGAGCTACGAGGTAGAGGTACCACCGGTGGTACATGGAACATGGAACACCATGTGCGATGATCGTGACATGTGCCAGGAGGAAGGGGAGAAAGATCGGCTCGCTCCTCGATCGGACGTCCCTGCATGAGATGAGCTCTTTCAACCATTTTCTCTCGTGCAAAGTGAAAGTGACTCTCTTTTGATATGTTATTCTATGCGATGACAGACCAAACCTCATCTGAAATATCCTTTTTTTTGGACAGCGCTTCTTCCTCGGTTCTGTGGCAGACTACAGGTCTGCTAGTCCTACCTCCAGCTGTGTGCCAGCTGAGACCTTGTTTCACCTGTTGATATTGCCATATATGGCGTCCATGGAACAACCACGCGCATCCTGCATGTAAATGGTCATTCTAGCCATCGTGATCAACCTACCTATATTCGAAAGTCATCTTGCACGAACCGCAGTAGTGATATGGACTCCTCCATCATAGGCCGCCTTCCGGCAGAACTACGAATCATGATATATGAGTACGCCCTGCAAGAAGGCTACGACGGGGCCGACACCGTATATCTCGAACCCGATGTCAGAAGCAAACTCTCATTAGGCAGGCTGAGGGCCGCGCCCGTACCTGAAGGCGACAAGTCCGGTCCTCTACATGTGTGCGGCCTACCGGCAACCTGCAAGCAATTGCGGAGAGAAAGCCTTGCACTGTACTATTCCATCAATCGCTTCTACATCCAGACGGAATATCTGAAGAGCGACGAGAAAGACGATATCATGGAGCAAATCAGAAACTGGACGAAGAGCATTGGTCTCGCTCGAGCACACGAGATGCGAGATGTCACCATCAGTTTAGCCTCTTTCAAAGATCACCAGCACGGCCAGCATGTTCCTCTCCATATCGAGTGGAACCATATGAGGGACCTTCGCCTTCTCTTTCATCCGCGCGGCCGGCTCGGGGTGCGGTTCTATCTGCAAGGCAGCAAAACGGCGACGTTCACGCTCGGTTCGCGAGCTTCGATCGAGGAACAGCTCGATCGGATGGCAGAGGTGTGGTGTATGAGGTGGCAGAAGACGCGCAAGTATAGCGAGTGGGTGGCGAGGACCATGGCCAACATGGACAGAGCCGATGTTGCGAGGCTGTTTGTTGATATGCCAGAGCATGTTTGAAATGCCAGTTGTGCACTCCCTCACTTCATCTCTCGTTGCTTTGACTCTTTCCTTACCTATTCTTCCACTCTCTGTCTGCGCGCGCGCTTTCTCCTGACTCCAGCCCTCCCTCTGGTTGACCCTACTAGCCGCTCTTGTTCTCTGTCTTTTCTTCTGTTCTTCCGCTGCTTTCTCCTCGGCCCTCGCGCATGTCGGTCATATGGCAGTCGTAAAGTGTATTCCCGCTGGACCTGTTATCTCTCCGTTATCAAACAGCGTCGCCTTGACTTTGAAGCCAACCCTATCTCCGACCAACAGCGAGTCTGAGCGAGAAGTGTTCATCGCTGAGTGGGTGTACGCCAAGCGTCTTGGTCCCGTGCAGCCGTGTTGCAATTCCAAAAAGTTCCTGGTGAGCATCGAGCTCTCCTCTCCACGCGCGTGCTGCGCATGCTGAGCTGACAACTGAGTTTGCCTCGGGTTTGGCATGCGCGTTGATCTGTCAACTGTGGGCGGCGAGCAAAAAAGAACAGAGAGAGAGACAGCTGTAGCGGCACGCAGAAGTGGAGACGTCTGGAGACGAGGCTGTCTTTTGACTGGTCCACCACCTCATCCGCACACATGGCCGCCTCCCTGTCAGCGTGGGTCATGATGATAGGAGCTCCTCTTTCGCAACTGGAGGACAATTGCATCACCGCCGCGTAGAAAAGGTAAGCTACCTGGACCTGTACCTCTCACAGTACTAGAGGTCAGGTACACGTAGGTACATTAATAGATAGAAGCCGTGGCCTCTCCGCTAGATGGATCATCATCACCATTACCTACCTCCTGTGTACTGATTTCCACCAACTCCATTGCCTCGACAAGACCATTCTATCTATTGAGCGTAGGATCATAGCACCAGACCGCATACAGCATGGCAGCACAAGGAACATCAAGCGGTGCACCGATCACCGTCTTGACCGTATGATATTTGCTCGTCCACTCTCGAGAGTACCTCCTCACCTAGGGAACAGCGAAGCTGACCCATCACCTCTAGGCGGATCTTGCACCAAAACTCCCATCCCACAGTTCCCTTCTGTTTGCCGCGAAAAAGGCCAAGAACCTCTCTTTTGAGACCATCGCCCAAGCGATCGGCCGCGAGGAGGTCTCGACCGCCGCCATCTTTTATGGACAAGCCTGCGCCTCGCCCGAGGATATCACCAAGCTTGCTGCCCTCCTCGAAATTCCAGAGCCTACTTTGCTTCAGACGGAGATTGCACACCTCCCAGACCGCGGTAGATCGATGGAGATGCCTCCCAAGGAGCCTCTGATGTACAGACTATTCGAGATTGTGCAAAACTATGGATACGCATACAAGGCGGTATTGAACGAGAAGTTTGGTGACGGTATCATGAGTGCGATTTCCTTCTCGACCAAGGTGGAGAAGGAGACGGACGAGAAGGGCGATTGGGTGAAGATTACGCTGCGAGGAAAGGTGAGTACCTACAATGAAACTCGTGTGCTCCTACTAGGAGATGTGGCTATATGACATGATGCTGACAATTGCCATGTAGTGGCTTCCATACACGCGCTTCTAAGGGATGGAAGCAGTAAAGCCTGCTGAAGATTTGTATACATCAAAAATATCATCACCTGCACATTCCCAATAATTGAGCAGATCCATTCATAGGTACCTATCGTTCCTCTCGTCATACTCTTCCGGATGCTGTTCCATCGCGGAATGCCACGATCAAATGGGTAAACGCACCGCCAATGTTCAACTCCGTACGACTTGGATCCCAGTGCCGCATCGACATGCAAAAATTCGAGGCGTATGCTGACCAACATTCGCAAAATATAGCAGTGTTTAACAGCGCGCCCTTCTATTTCCACGTGAGAGCCAGTAAGCAACATGGATCCCAGGGCGTGTAACAACCGGGTTAGCCCCTGCTCTACGTGCACTTCAGCTCAGTCTGATAAAATGATATACCTTAGCCATGGGATCGTTTGCAAAGTGGCGAGATGGCATGCCTGCATCTCAAGCTTTCGTTATTTAATGCTGCCAGCAGTATAGATTTCGTTGTTGTCCAATGTCCACAGCAAGTATGGATTGCGGCTCACTCTCGGCAGTCCCACATTCCTTCACTTCGCACGTACCTTATTAGGTATTGAACAGAGTGTCACATGCAAAGCGCATTTCGTGTGCTTCAAATTTCACCTGGTGAGGCGCATCCTAATCACATTGAACCCAATCCATTCACACAAGACTTGATCCCGTGTCAAAAAGAAAAGATCATACATTCACTCATAGGTAGGTAGGCATAGCATTTATAGCACAAGTATCTCGAATCTCCGACTTCGACTCCGGTCACTACCTGACAAGATGGGCTGTCTACCCTCACTACCAAGCAAGAAGGCTCAAGGGCTTGAATCGGCGAACATGAGACGTAACGAACTCAACCTTCGAGCCACTGCGCTCAATTATGCTACATGCACCGCATCCAGCCACTCTGAAACGAGCCCATATGGACGGAAGAACATGTTGGAGGAGATCATCGATCCAGACGAGATCCCAGTCGGCAGTCACGTCCGAAGTCCCAGCGGAAACTTGCTCAACGCCCAGGAGTTTCGTGATCGCTCAGACCGTCCTCCATGCATGAGGGAGCGCCAACAGCGGATCTTAGAGAGAACTCGGACGTACGGCAACTTGGCGGAGGCAGCACAGGCTCAGAATACGAAGCGGAGGCGTAAGAGGCAGAACACTGAGGTGATTTGCGCTCCTGATGGACTTGCGAAAGGACTTGGTGCTAACTTGTTGATGTAGAGAAGGATACGCAAGAGTACAGAAATGGGTGACAGGCGGGCCAGGATCATGTGAGCGCTCCATCGAAAGGCAGTTGGGACGCTTTCTTTGGCATCGGCTTTCTCGATCGAGCAAGTTGTGGCGACTGGAGACGGGATTTCCATGGTGGTGAAATCACACGAAAAGCTTTGTATTTTGCCAACAGTGAGAGGAGAAAAGAGTGGAAGTCGGTGTAGGTGGAAGTCTCTGGAATGGTCCAGTAGGAAGTGGAAGGCCCTTCATTCATGGCTCGAAGGGCACTGGAATCAGTCGCGTACCTACCTACATTATCTAGGTACCTTAGGTAAGGTTGGTTATTATGGAAAGAACGACCAACTTCAGGAAGAGACCATGCAGTGGAAGGAGCTGGGTGTTGCCGCTCCGGTCACAATGATTCACGCACAAAGAAAGTATCGAAATTGACGACAGTGAAAGGTTGAAAGGCACGTCTCACTTCGTACTTCACTTTTACCTCGTCTAAGCAATAACTGGCACCGACACCGGCATCGGCCGCACGAACACACAACAAAACATCCTGTCTGAACCGAGATTGGACGGAGAACAAACACCACTCCCTCCCTTCGATTCTGTTCCACTCCGGCCAACGCGCCATCCAAAGACATGCCCGACCACGACGAGATGCCTCGCGGGGAGCGAGGTGTGCCTTGCTCCTACACTGATTGCCAGCATCGCTTCCCTAGTGTAGCGCTAATGAAGGCGCACAAGGTGAAGGATCCTGAGCATTTCTACTGCAAAAAATGCAACGTGGACTGTGCAGACTGGCAGGCTTTGACAGAGCACAAGGTGACCATGATGGCGCCATTTTTGGAGGGCAGGGTCAGGATCCGAGACGAGAAGCCGGTGCATATCGTCTGCGAGTTCTGTGGCGAAGGGTTCCGGAGCTTCGACGGTCGCAAGCGACACAGGGTCTTGGTGAGCAACTTGCGATGTGGTCAGGAGCGCAAATTTGCCAGAGAGAACTAACTTTTCGATGACTGGAACAGATGCACCCGGGTGACCAAGACATCGACTGTCCTGGCTGCAGCAAGAAATTCATACGTGCCGCCCACATGATTGCGCACATCGAGCGCGACGAGTGCAAGCGTGATGGTGCCCCTGGAATCCCACGATGGATGCTTCATGCCAGTATCAACCACAAATACATCATCAAGGAGATCATGACCGCACCGGATGTATTCCACAAGAGTATGTTCTCGCCCCCTGCGGGACAGATGGGGAGTGCGACCGGAGAAGAGGTCGCAGATGAGGACGAAGATGAGGACCAGGAGCCAGGCGGCGTAGCTCTTCTGGACGATGACGATGACGAAGCAAAAATGGGAGGCTATAAGGCGTTAGAGCCAGAGCGAGATATGATTGACCCCTTTCCACGGCGCAATACCTTGACCGAGGCATATTCCATGCTGGATATGGAGCGGACCATGGACATCGCAAAAGAGATGCGGACGATGTCACTCGAGGCGACAGCCACCCATATTCGCAGCGCCCTCGAGCACGAACGGGGCGAGGAGAGTTCTTCCCAAGCTTCCGGTGCGTGGTCTCAAGGGACTGCCTCGGAAGCGCTCAACCCAGCGGCAAAGCCAATTCCAACTCCTAACGCATGGGACGGTTTCTACAAATATCGCACCAGCGAGGATCACGCCAGCAAGGACCGTAATATTCTCGAAACACAGTTTTGGAATCCTTTCCACGCAGACTATCAGATTGATCCATTCTTCCACCCTGTCCTGAAGGCATACACCTGCCCGTTTCCGAGCTGTGTGAGGGACAATGGTAGGGTTATTGTGAGAGAGCACGGCTATCCGACCAAGGAGGGGCTGGAGGAACATATGCGCGACGTGCACTGGATCAAAATGTTTCGTTGCCCCACATGCTCCCGGCGATTTGATAGTGTCGCTGCTCTAATGGGGCACGTCGAGTACACCATGAAGTGCAAAGTGAAAGAGAGCAAGAAGTTTGGAACTTACGTCGCAGAAATCACCGGTGGTTTCCTGACCGCTCAGTCAGTATCGCAGCCCAGGATTCTCTATGCCAATAAGGCCTTGATCGAAAACGGCGGCACAGACGACGGTGACGTGGGTGGAGTACTGACAATGAAGTTTGAGGCCACGCTTCCAGAAGTTGAAGCAAAGCAGAGAAGGGAAAGGGACCTTGTCTGATAGAAGTACAAGTAGGTCAGGTAGGTAGCCGCGTATTTCTTGCGCCAACTGAGGCACCACTGCCGTCGACAATAACCGCTCGCTCACAGAACATGTATTTCATAGAATTGAAGCGACAATGATTCCTAAAAAAGTCATGTCCTGGTCACGGGAGGCGAAGAGTGGGCAAAGAGTGGGCGACGAATGGGCGACGAGTGAGGTGGAAGGCAGAGAGGAGGGAGTCCGAGGGACGTCCAGAGCGATCTGGGCCATTTCCAGGCATCGAGTCCCAGGCGTGGAACGGACCGCTCCTGCCGAGAACAACGTGTATCCATCATTGGTGGGCTAGTTTTTCGCTTGGCGGAGTTGGCTCCAAGGCAAGTTTCGCAACCTAAGGGCAAGCAAGGCAAGAGCAAGGCAAGCCCGCGCCCAAAACCTGTAGAAGTGCCTCCACCTCCACGCTCCTACGTCTGTCAGGAAGACACATATGTACCTTACACGTCAGGTCAGGGAGTGATATCCCGAACCTATGCCGTTGTGATTATTACCTACCTTACCTTACATAGACCTCGCCGCCGCTCCTCCTCCACCTCCCACCTCCCACCGCTCCCTCATCACCACCGTCCCACCCTGCACCACTCCGCCCACAGTGCTCTTGACCCTTTTTACCTGATACCACCACCACCACCGCCGCCACCTCAACTTGTCCGCCCGCCCTCCCGCCTGCAATTAAGCACCATGTCTCCAGACCAAGAAACGCCCGAAGACGCACAGGCGAAGCACAACGCTGACCCCAGTGCTTCGCCAAGTTCCTATCTTGGTCTTCAACAGCCCGCCGCATCACCAGGACCGATGGCCAAATGTACGTCTCCCGCCTTCATTACCTGTGCTCTCTGTCATTCGCTTCACTTTGATCTGCTACCTATCACATGACAATGTTCACATTTCACTTGCCCCCCTGCGATTGTGCCGCTGCTGCTACCAAGATCTACGCTCATCACTTCACCTGTAGCTGTCACGATTGCCCCACATGCTGAGACCATGTCCCCTCTGATACTTGGCAGACAGAAAAGCGTTGAAGACATCAGATCTGGTGCTGATAGTCCCAGGAAACTGTCAGTGAAGCCAAGGTCTCACCGCCTTTCTGGAAGACTTCCATTCACTTCCAGTCCGGGCCTGAAGCCGCTCCCTACTAATCTGGACGGAACAAACGGACCCTCCGAGCATCAGGACGACGGAGAGAATGATCACTACGAGCACCTGGTAGACCAAATCTCCAGCTGGATCGTGGAGAAGCGAGAAAAGCGACATCAACGCAAAGCTCGCAAGGCCGCTCGACAGGAGCAGCAGAACCAGGAAGCTCTAGAAGCTGCCAACGAGATAGAACGCATTCAGCAGAAGCGTCGCGATTCCGACGCCTCCGAAGATTCTGTTGACCTCGACAAGCTCGAGCGCATCGTGCGACAGAACTTGAGCCTCAGAAAATCGTCCACTCGGAAAGCCTCCCTGCTCGGAAGTAAAGCATCGATTCGTAAAATCATGCACGGCCGCAAAAACTCCACCGCTGCGAGTGCCACGGAAACAGATGCTCATGACAACGAGCTCCATGTGCCAACGTGCGAAGTTGTGCTCGATAATTCCAAGACGCTCGCATACTCGGGTGGCGCTTCTGACCTTTCCGACGAAGAATCTGGCAATGAGCTCAAACGGATTGCCTCCCATCGAGACCAGGATGCTTGGGCGAAGTTCAAGTTCGAGATCACCCGTCTTACGCACACCCTGCGAGTCAAAGGGTGGCGCAAAGTGCCTATGGAGTGGAGTGCTGCCATCGGAGTTCAACGATTGAGCGGTGCGCTCACAAACGCCGTGTACGTGGTCTCTCCGCCTGAGGGGTTGCCGCTCGAGAAGCACGATGAGGAGGGCAATGTGGTGGGCGTGAAGAAGCCTCCGCCAAAGCTTCTGCTCCGGATCTACGGGCCGCAGGTCGAGCATTTGATCGATCGCGAGGCAGAGTTGGCGATCTTACGCCGGCTGGGCAAGAAGCGGATTGGTCCACGCCTGCTGGGAACGTTCGCCAACGGCCGCTTCGAGGAGTTCTTCCACGCCAAGCCACTGACTCCAGAAGAACTTCGAGACCCGGATACCAGTCGACAAATTGCTAAACGTATGCGCGAGTTGCACGATGGCATCGAATTACTTGATCAGGAACGCGCAGAGGGTCCATTTGTCTTTCGCAACTGGGACAAGTGGCTGGCTCGCGTCGAGCAAGTTGTCACGTGGATGGACCGACAGGTTGAGGCCATGTCTCCAGACGAAAAGCCATCGGGCAATCGTGCATGGTTGCGCCGTGGCTATATCTGTGGAGTGCCTTGGAATCAGTTCAAAGCTGTCCTCGAGCAGTACCGCGAGTGGCTCACGAAGCAATACGGGGGTACTAAGCACGTTCACGAGGCGCTCGTCTTTGCCCATAATGACACGCAATACGGCAATATCTTGCGTCAGGTGCCCACTGGAGAAAGTCCACTGCTTCTGCCGACAAACACCCACAAGCAGCTGATTGTGATTGATTTTGAATACTCAAGTGCCAACACGCCAGGCCTAGAATTCGCCAACCACTTCACCGAGTGGTGCTACAATTACCATGACGAGAAGAAGCCATACGCCATGCATTCCAACCTGTACCCCACTCCCGAGGAACAAGATCGCTTCATCCGAGCCTACATTCGACATCGGCCACAGTACAATGTCTCGACTCCGAAGCTGACCCCGCAGAGCTCGTTTGTGGACTCGGAGGATCCCGAACCAGCCAAACGATCCACCACCAGCATCTCTGATTTCATGCTTGATGCTCGAACTCCGTCGCAATCTAATTTGTTGTCTAAGGAGAACGACGCGCAGAGAGATGTCGAAGATGCGGAAGTAAAGCGTCTCATGGACGAGACCCGAATGTGGCGACTGGCAAACACGGCGCAATGGGTGGCTTGGGGCATCGTACAGGCCAAGATACCAGGCATGCCGCTCTTTGACGGGAGTGCACACGCCAGCGAAAGCGAGGGCGAGACTCCAGAGAAGTTGTTGGGGGAACGGGCAGACCAGTATAAGGAGCTAGTGAAGGAACAGCAGGGCGAAGAGCCGGTCGAGGAGGACGAGGAGTTTGACTATCTTGGCTATGCACAGCACCGAGCACTGTTCTTCTGGGGCGATGCCTTGCAGATGGGTTTTGTGAAGTCGGAGGATCTGAATGAGGCGACCAGGGAGAAGATCAAGCTGGTGGAGTGCTAGGGTACTGTCTTGGAGGTGCTGACTGGTGTCTGTTCTAGATAGAGCGCGAATCCCTTGGACGTGGGCGTAGTGGTCATGATCGAGACCAAGAAGCCGAATTCAAGACGCCGAGGGTTTACTTTAAACATTATCCACAGTCAGCAGTTATGAGACTTCACTTTGGCCCTCAGGGTATCCTGGGCTACAAACTGATTGCCCGCTGCTCCACAGGGGAGGATACCTGTAGTGTCATTCAATACATCGATTCAATGGAGGGAAACCGAGAGAGGGATCTCGATCCTTGCTCTGAAATTCTGAAATTCTATTGAATCGGGAAATAGTGTCTGTGTGGTGTACTGCATCCGCTATACCTATCTGCTAGGAGGTACTACGCTAGAGGCTTTAGGTGAAGGTAGAAGGTGAAAAGATAAGTCGGATCTTCGTCTTGACTAGACTGAATTCTAGGAGGTAGTCTACTTGAACACGTTGAGCGTCTTCGAGATCGTGGGAGTGATGACCGAGGTTAGATAGTCTCTGTAGTGACATGGCAAACATGAAATGTAGTAGAACTGGTGGTGGAGGTAGGACGATGCGGGGGAGAGAGATCGGGCCCAGAAGAATCTCGGTCCGTGCCGAGCGCTGCCGTGAGCCCTAGAAGCTTAATTCGAAATTTTGGCGACAATGTACTTGAGATTTCCAATACTCTCCATACTCTCCACCACGAACAGAGCCATTGTTTGGGAGCTCTGAGATGGCGATCGACGACCTAATCGGGACTTTATCCGACGGCGATGTGTCCGACGAGGAGTCGGAAGTGGAGGAGGTGGTAGAAGTGCCGGTACAAACCAAGAAGCGCAAAAGAGAGGCAGCTTCGCAGAGTGCCGTAAAGAAGCAGAAAGGCGACAACGACGCGGATCTGGACTCGGACTTTGAGTTTGAGAATGAGGGCGGAGCGGTGGAGCTAGACGATCTGGACACATGGGCACTAGCTGGTAACGGAGAGATAAACGAGCCAGGAAATATCGAAGCAATCATTGCACGGAAAAGAGCGAAAAATGCTCCAAAAGCGCCAGTGGTCGACAGCGAGGAGGAAAATAGCGACGACAGCGAGGATGAAGGGATAGCAGCGGCATACGAGGAGGAAGATGACGACGAGGAGGACGACGACGAAGCCGAGCCTGGAGCGGACGGTGAGGAAGACAGTGAGGAAGAGTTCTCCACCGCCATGGAGGGCTTGAATGGAGACTTCGAGGGAATAGATGGAAATGACGAGGAGGACAGTGGCAACGAAGACGATGAGCTCGATGAGGACGTCGAGGTCGCAGTCCATGTACCGCATCCGGACGACCTGGCTGACGAGTCTGGCTCAGAGGCCGCAGAGGATGTGTTGGAGAAAGAGAAGCGCAACAAGTTCTTTGCCAATGATGAGAAGAGCTCAAATCCTGCTGCGACTGCCTTCCACGCTATGAACTTGTCGCGACCGATTCTTCGAGGGCTGGCGGCGGTCGGTTTCGATAAGCCAACGCCCATCCAGGCCAAGAGTATTCCCGTCGCGCTTGAAGGGCGCGATCTTGTTGGAGGAGCCGAAACTGGTTCTGGAAAGACAGGCGCATTCATCATTCCCATCCTGGAGCGACTCATGTTTCGGCCAAAGCGTACTGCAACTACACGTGTAGTCATTTTGATGCCTACTCGTGAGTTGGCGTTGCAATGTTTCAATGTGGCGAAGAAGCTGGCTGCACATACAGACATTACGTTTGGCCAGGCAATCGGTGGATTGAACTTGCGCGAACAAGAGAAAGCACTGAAGCTTCGACCAGACATTGTCATTGCTACTCCTGGTCGTTTCATTGATCTGGAGAGGAACAGCACCGGTTTCGATGTCAGCACGGTAGAAATCTTAGTTTTGGATGAAGCTGATCGAATGCTTGAGGAGGGGTTTGCTGATGAGCTGAACGAGATTTTGACCAAGATTCCAAAGTCACGCCAAACAATGCTGTTCTCTGCAACGATGACAACAAAAGTCGATGACCTGATCCGCTCTGGTCTCCAGCGACCTGTTCGTCTCATGGTCGACTCGCAACAGCAGACTGTCAAAGGACTCGTACAGGAGTTCGTGCGCCTTCGACCTGGCAGAGAAAAGAAACGTCTCGCCTACCTCATGTACCTCTGCGAGAAAGTCTACACAGATCGAGTGATCATTTTCTTCCGACAAAAGAAGGAGGCTCATCGAGTACGAGTCATCTTTGCGCTCGCAGGGCTCAAAGCTGCCGAATTGCACGGAACCTTATCGCAAGAGCAACGTATCAATGCGATAGAGTCCTTCAGGACTGGTAAGGCAGGCTTTCTCCTCGCCACTGATCTCGCATCTCGTGGTTTGGATATCAAAGGCATCGAAACGGTCATTAACTACGAAGCACCTCAGTCGCATGAGATCTACCTGCATCGTGTCGGACGTACAGCTCGTGCTGGCCGAACTGGTCGCGCATGCACTCTCGCCGCAGAACCCGACAGAAAAGTTGTAAAGGCTGCAGTGAAGGCCGGAAAGGCACAAGGCGCCGTCATCAAGCAAAGAACAATTGAAGCTCACGACGCGGATGCTTGGCATGCACGAATTGAAGCCATGGCAGACGACATTGAGGAAGTCTTGAGAGAAGAGAAGGAAGAGAAGGCGCTCAATATCGTCGACAAGCAACTGACAAAAGCCGACAACATGGTCAAGTACGAAGACGAGATCAAGTCTCGGCCGAAAAAGACGTGGTTCGAAAGTGAAAAGGACAAGCAAGCCGCCAAAGATCGAGGACGAGCTCTCCTCAACGGTGCCGAAGCAATGGAGACTAAAAAGAAAAAGGGAGGCAAGCTCTCCAACAAGGACAGGAAGAAATTGCAAGACAAAGACGATCGAAAATCCGGTGGCGAGTGGAAACTCGGAAAGAAAGCTACTCTGCAGGCCAAGGAGTCGTCTGATAAGAGGTTGGCAAAAGTCAGCAAGCAGCGAGAAAAGGACAAGGCTAGAGGAAAGGATTCCAAGGCCAAGTATATCAAAGGGAGAAAGTGAAGACTATCACCTTGAGAGGATAATTGAAACCTTTTAATCTAGTTAGATATATATCCAAACGCTCTTCCCACCACCTCCTTCCTCATCCTTCAACTGTAAAGGCACGCACGGGCGAGAGGCACATGTTTGTCGAGAAAAGAAGAAAAAGCCACTACCGTGCAAAACGGCCTACTCAGCTGGATCTTATATCTTTTTCAAACATACCTCCTCCTCCTCCGTACGTGCAGCCAGATACTTCATTCGGTTCATTCAACAAGTCAGTAATCAGAGTCTTCGATTTGAGCAAGTCTCTGTCTGCTTCTAGTTGAACCGGCAAGTCGCCGAGGTGCATTGAATGGAGTTCACTTGTAAATAAAGAAAATCAGGGAGGAAGAATCGTACATGTATTAATAAAGATGAACGTATCGTACAACATTTTACATGCCAACAACAACCATGATGCTGCTCTATATACTTATCACACACGTTGCATGTCATAGCCCTTCTACACTTCTCGCTCGCTCCTAAGCAAAACCAGCCGGAGACAGCTCAACCAGGAACGCCGGGAATTGACCACAATGCACAAGCTGCAAGAGAGCGCGAAGCTCGGCAAGCTCACCAAACCTCTCTCGTTCTCTCATCGTCGCCTTGAGCAAGAACAACGCCTCTGATTTATTTAGCCATAACATCCACATACCTCCCTCCCTTCTTCCCCTTCTTCAATGTCCCGCCTTTTCTAGGAACAGGCGGCCCACCCATTAAATCATCAATACTACTCGCATTGGACAAACTCGTGCCAGGTCGACTAGGAGGTTGCATTAATCCACCACCATTCAGAGCAGAAATAGCCGGGTTGGTCAATGCAGAAGAAGTAGGTGGAGTACCAGCAGCGGGCGTACCAACTCTCGAAGGAGGTCCCGAACCAGCAATCGAGGAGGATGTAGGGGGGATTTTCATAGGACCACCAGATCCGGATGTGATTCGACTGGGAGGTCCTGATGGTGGACCCATCATCATGGCACCACTACTGACATTCCTACTCGGAGGACCCTTTGGTGGAGGAGGAGTTGCAGCCGAGGCGGTCTCAGCTCCCTTGGGATCTTTTTTGTTGACCCATTTTCCCAGGTCTTTGTCGAAAAAGAAGGAATTCTCTTCTCCAAGTTTGGCTTTGATGGGTCCGGATTGTTGTTGTGGCATACCTTGGTCGGCGCCCTTTTTGCCTCCAAACCAACCTCCAAGTCCAATGCCCCAGCCTTTCTTCTCGCTGCCTTTCTTGTCGGCATCGCGCGCAGCATCTGCTTCCGCGGCCTTTCGGAAGGCTTCGTCTGCGAGACGATCCGCTTCAGATTTGGACATGCCCGCAGAGGGCGCCGGCGAGGAAGTCTTGATAGCAGCAGCACGGGCTAAGATATCATCATCGTCGTCGTCGTCCATTATGCCTCTCCTGGGCTTGGGCTTGGCTTCAGGCTCCTCGGTGTCGGGCTCTGGCTCGTACGGCACATATGCAGGTGGCTCGTAGCCATAGCTGCTGCCTGGGTCATATCCACTGGCAGCGGGAGGTGCATAGCTGTTTCCGCCATCTTCTTCGGACTGGCCCACAGCACTTGTTGGCAACCCGTTCGGCGTATCGCTGAATGTAGATTGTGGGGCATACGGTGTTGACTCTTGATGTTGTACGAGTGGAGAGTAGGAATGTGAGACTGGCTGCTCTGCAAGTAGAGGTCGCGGCTCGTAGCTGCCACTAGAAAACTGGCCCGAACCTCTCCTCGAGTCATTGCCATATGGTATGCTGTCGTCGGACGTGGATTTATATATCTCGGGCCTGGGCACAGACAAGGGCTGGGGTGATGGCGCATACGATCGTGAAGAGGATGTTCCTGGACGCTGTTCATTCGAGCTCAAGCTGCCTGCAGACATTGGTGCGTACTTGTGACCACTGGCTGTTCCACCAGGTGCATATCTGCTGCTACCTGACGCTGGAGACGGCTGGTATTGCTGCATGGGTGCAGATGACGGCTGGAATTGTTGGGTGAGTGCGGACACTCCGGGTTGGCCATAAGTCGGCACGCCACTGCCCATCATCGGGTTGAACACCTGGTGCATGTCGGAGCTCGACCCAACACGACTGATGTCAGGAGAGTCTCCATTCACGCCACCAAACGGACCGACAGCATCACTGCCTGCGCCAGAGGCATTCGATGTTTGATCATCGTCTCCGGACACGAACTTGGTGAACCAGCTGGAAGCACTCGACGACACCTTGGCTGATGAGACTTTCGATAGCAGACCCTGTGGGCCAGTCTGGGGTGTCTGTGACAAGAATGCGCTCAAGTCAGCCACTGTCTGTGTGAATGTCGGATGGTAGTATTGTGATGGCTTCGTTGTGGATTGATATGCTTTGGTGATATGGTCGCAGTATGCTTGGGCCTGGGATGTGAGTCCAGCAGCGGCCAATTCTTGTGCATGCTTTAGTTTATAGGCCTGTAAGTGAGGAATGTATTCGGCTCTGTGTTGTGAGAGCGACAATGCCCACTCGTAGATCTCCGTGAGGATGATTGAGTCAAGATCGCTGCCCAAAGACTCTTCCGGTCGCTGGTGATTGGCGCCCAGCAGGACGAAGGTCGCCTCTGGATCATCTGCACCAGTATGTTTGGCCAGCACTCGTGCGAAGAGGAAACACGTGTGCGCAGCCTCTGCACGACCATAGCCGCTCAGCAGTTTGCCAAGAGCAAGGAGAGAATTGCCATCAGCAGGTGTGCGATTGCTGGCAATGAGGCCGAGTGTCTCTTGCCACTGGTCCAGTCCTTCGAGCGGATTCTTAGACACCGCTCCCTCAGTCTTTGACATCATCTGGAAACCGGCGCGTGCGGACGGTGGCACGAGCTCATCTACGCACTCCTCGGCATTGTTTGCAAAGACTTGATACAGTGCAGCGAGACTTCGCGCATCGCTTCCAACCGTCTTCACCTGAGACCGCACGAAGGACTGGACAATCTGCTGCCACGTTTCGGGACCCATCGTGGATGCAATGAGCATTGCATGCCCCCACAGCTTCTTCTCCTCAGCAAGCCAGACTGCGCGTTCTCGTTGACCTTCTAATAAAGCCTGTCGTAGCTGGACAACAACAGCTCGGTCTACTCCATCGGCTTGAAGACCTCCGCGCGTGTCCACAGGACTTGAAAGTTCCATGGCTTGACTCATCTGTGCAAGGTTCGGCAAGAGTACAGCCCTGAGCTCTTCTTCAATCTTCCTGTCGCCCTCAAGCTTGCCATCGTGATCCACAAAGATCTTCATGACTTGCCACAGTGTAAGTTTCTCATCAACACGCTTCTTCAGGTCTGGCTCCACATCAAAGTCCATGCGTACAGCGTCTGCTCGTTGGCGGAGAGCTTCAATCTTCGCGCTCATCCAACCAAGGACGTCTTTCTTCTTCTTCGCTTTCCAAGACAAAGGACCTGGGAACTTGGCACTCAGCTCATCCAGTGGCATGAAGGTTGTGGCCTGCTGTACCGTGATCGCACCAGGCGTACACTTGACACTGGGAACTCCTCCGCCGCCTGCCGCCCAGAATGGGGTCTGCTTCGGAAGACTGCTAATCACAACCCCAGAATCGCCCCATTTGAAGATTGGATGTCCCTTCCACCTCTGCAAAGGATCTCGTGCATGTTCATCCTGAGGTGGCACAAAGATGACTTCTCGCGAGAACTGCTTGCGATGTGTCATGTGTGATCGCTGCGATGGTGGTGCAGATGTGATGGTGGAGGCTGGGGCTTCTGTGGGCACTTGCGCAGCATACTTGGATACCTTCATCTGCGTCGGGGGAGACTGTGTCATGGGTCGCTGCGGTGGTGAGGCGATATTGCCGAGTGAGGGAGCTCTCGACGCGCTCGGCGAGTAGCCCAAACTACCAGACCTTTGTGGTGACATGACCGCTGGTGATGCTCGCCCATTCGACTTTGGCGGCGATGCGGGCAGCTGCTCGTTGAGGTCCGGCTGGGGTCTACCATGGAAGGCCAGAGGACTGCTCGTCCTCGGAGCGAAGGAGTGCGCACTCTGGATGGAAGGGCGACCTGGAGCTGCTGCAGCCACAGGACCATACTTCTTGGCAGCAACCTGTGCTGGAGGAGCAGGCGAGTACCGTGCGCTTCCTGCAGGGGGCGCTTGCGCTGACGGAGCTGGTGAGAAACGGTTCTGTGCTTGTGATGGTGCTGGCAGAGTGTTCGGCGAGTATCTCTGATTCGTGGTGGGAGCGGCCACTGGCGGTTGCAGTGAAATGGAGGCAGTTGGTTCATCTGGCAATAATGGCAATTTCTCGGGCTGAGTGAAACCGCCATATGCAGACTGCTGTGCAGGTGTGGGCGGAGCTTGCGGTCTTTGGGGTTGTTGCATTGGGAGTCCGGATGGCCCCTGGGGTGGCAATTGGTGCTGGGGCGTTGACTGTGGCTGTGGGGTATATGCTCCCGAAGGTCGTGCTCGTGCTTTGGACACAACTGGGAGGTCTTCAAAGAAGCCACTAGCTTGCCTTGTTGGAACTTTTGGTGCAGCAACGCCATTTCCAGCTGGTAACGGAGGCACGGGGGGGACGAACCCTGCGCTCACTGGTGGACCCGAAGACGCACGCTGGACAGGCGGTGGTATTTGGTGGGAAGAAGATATGCTGCTACTCCTGGGAGGTGCCACAGGAGCGGCTGGTCGTGGTCTTTGCTTTGGTGCAGCAACGTCCATAGGAAGATCATATGGCGACTGATAGCCTCCTTTTGCTTTGTCCACGAAACTCTGCGCTGTCTGAGCAGCCGGTCGCTGAGGTGGTGGCTGTTGTTGTACAGCTCCGTGACCATACACATCGTAAAGGCCAGTGGATGGAGTGCCCGCTGACCTGCCGTGGTTTTGTTGCTGCGTGAATGAAGAGCCAGGTGCTGCATACGAATTGAGCTGCGATCCCCGTGACTGTGCTGCCGACGGTATGTATGGACTGCTCCCTCTCTGCATGCCAGGGATCGAGTGAACGGGCGGCAGTACTGGAGCGGGGGCCGATACAGGTGGAGTATCTGTGAGCAGCTCATCATCCAGAAAACCTGGATCATCGTCGCCAAAAATGGCAGACATGTCCATATCTTTCGGATCTTCTAGCATATCATCATCGAGCAGAACAGAGGCAAAGGCAGCTGCCAGATCGTCTTCCGTAGTGTCCTCGGGAGCCGTCATTGGTGCTTCAAGCGGCAAAACCTGCTCTGACTGTGCAACTGGTACGCCGGTAGCTGCTGGACTGTGCGAGGTGCCCAGCAATTCACCAAACGCATCTTCGTCGTCCGCAGGGCCCCAAGGGTCACTTTGAGGCTTTGATACCGGATCCACAGCCATACTTTGGGCATCATGTGATGAGGCAGAGTGTTCGTTGTCCAAAAGCTCTCCGAACGTTTTGTCATCCCCAGCTGACGGCCAATCCGAGCTGTCAGGCCTTTGCTCCTCATGCTCGTGCTCCTCTTGCTGCTCTTCCTCATGCCGCGCCGGAGCTTCTATGAAGTTTGTCGTGAAAGAACGATCGATCTGACCCAGCATGGCTTTCGCTTTTGGTAAAGGTGTTCCATATGCTGGCGTACCGTCCATATCCTCGAGCAAAGAGTCTTCTTCTACAGCCTGCATCCTCGGTGCTCGTTGAGACTGCGACGTCTCCTCTTCCACTGTGGGAGGTGCTTCCTCATCTTCTAGAAGTGGCGCCGTTGGCGCTTCGTCCACAGCCTCTTCCATCTGCGTGAGATGACCTTGATGCTCATATGACTCGCCTTGATCCCGATACTTGGCCAGTTCGTTCTCCATCTCGACATCGTGCGCTACGGGCGTAGTCATTCCCGGCGAGCTGATATAGAGTGCATCGGGGTTCAGCGTGAGATGCTCTGGCGCCTGCTTCTGCTCCCCGGCCGTCTCCTCTCGCTGGTATGCGAGTGCCTCATTGTCTCCCAGGATGTCCTCTATAGTGGTGCCAGGCACGCTACTGTCATCGTCATGATCGTCCTGCGTGGCCTGCGCTGCCGCTTCGCTTGATGGAGCTTCTTCCGCGTCGGCCAAAGCTACTGTTGGGTGCTCCAGCTGTTCCGTTGTTTCCTCTACAGGCATGCTCTGTCCCTCTGCGCGAGTTTCTAGCAATTCCTCTTCCACATCTTGCTCCTCCTCTGGGTGCTCTGAGTGCGCTGGCGCTTCTACCGAATGATCCGCCAATTGATCGAAGAAGTCGTCGCCTCCTCTACTAGACGTCGTCCTCGCAGGTCTCGAGTCCGAGTCTGGTCGATGTGCTGGGTTCCATGCGGACTCTCCCGCGGGCGGTGGTGATGATGATGGAGCAGCTAATGTGCTCGTCGCATTGCCGGGAGAGGTGGTGGAATGCTCGTCGTCGTCCATGGTCGCGACTTGGTCACAGGATTATCGCAACGCGCGCAAGATGAAGAAAGAGACTGTGGGGCATAGCGGGTCAGCCTCTCTTCATCATGAATGCTCAGTATAGGTATGGTTGATGAGGTGAAGTGGCTGTTCCGGCCGAGGCCAGGTGGCTGAAGGTGGTACTGGGAGTGGTGGGACCACCCAAACACGGCCGTGAATGATCCTGGCAAGACGTACCTGTGCTGTGCTGTGCTATGCTGCGCTCTGCTGCGCTTATGCTATGCTAAAGATATAGTTACAAGACGTCTATTAGTAGTACATTACAGGCGCGAATACAACGACTATGCAGGAATGGTCCAACCGGCCAGGGGACGTTAAGATGTAAGAAGTGAGAAGTATGGATAAAGAGTGGCAATGTGCTTCTAAAAGGAGACGAGCCGGGCGGACGTGTTTCTTTGGTGCTGAGCTGCATGCGCGCACGACTGTACTAGAACCATTTCTACCTAGTTCAGTAATCGGCCGGTCCGAAAGACGCGAGCCATCCAAGGCTACCTCCTAAGGTACTACGTAGACTGCACTGCATGGGACACATGGACTTTCTCTCCTATACCTTATGATACAGACACAGGTACACGACACGAACGTTTACGAGACCCACGGCCGTCGATTACCCACAGCAAAAAGACCTTCCGCACGACTGCAGCTACAGCATGAGATGAGGCATGAACGGATACCATCAGCCGCACGACCAACATGGCGCATACGACGACGATGACGGTGATCGCGACTCGGACCTGGACCTGGACCTGGATCTGAATGAGCTCGATCCACAACCACGACCTTCGACAGACGGCACGAAAACGGGCTCCCGACAGCCCAGTACGGTGCGCTCCAGCTATGACTTTGGCGCACGAATCCCTCTACGAAACTTGAGATTTGGAGGGAGAAGGAGAGCAAGGCGGAACGAAGAGGATGCAGAGGACTTGGAGGCTCTAGTGGGCGACGACGAGGATGATGAGCCGCAATCCAAGCCGCCGAGTGCAGCCAGCTCCGGAGTCTCTGCCTACGACGATGCGCCGTTGCTCTCTCGGGAGAATGGAGGAGGAGGCCTGCGGAAGTTCTCACGCGCTGCTGGTCTGGATGGCCTGGGCGACAATCGTAAGAGGCGGAAAGGCATATGGCGATACATCCCTTTCCTGACTCCATCCTCCTCCATGCAGCTGCCTGCGACAGGTGAGGATGAGGAGAAGGCTGAGGATGACCACGATCCAGCAGCCACCAGAGATGTCACGGTGGGCCAGAAGCAGACGGCACGCTTTCCCACCAATGCCATTTCGAACGCCAAATACACACCGTGGTCATTCCTACCCAGGACCCTTTTCAATGAGTTCAAGTTCTTCTTCAACATGTACTTTCTCCTGGTCGCCATGTCTCAAATCATTCCTGCCCTCAGAATTGGCTATCTCTCCACCTACGTTGCGCCTTTGGCCTTTGTGCTGATGATCACGCTCGGAAAGGAGGCCACGGACGACCTGAATAGGAGGAAGCGAGACAGAGAAGCCAACAGTGAGCCCTACAAAGTCCTTCGCTTCGATACACCAGGCTCCTTGGGCGGAAGTGCTGGACGAAACAAGCGGAAGATCAAGAGCATATCGGAAAAGAAAAAGGGCAAGCGGAGAAGAGTATCTCACGAAGATGTGCGCTTGCAGGCAGCAGAGGATGAGGAGCACAGTACACAAGACGTTGACGCACCATCCTCAGAAGTCGTCGAAATCATCAAGCCATCTGCACAACTCAAAGTCGGCGATGTGGTCGTACTGGAAAAGGACCAGAGGGTGCCTGCAGATGTGGTCATCCTGAAGAGCTTCTCAACCGACACTGTTGCTCTGGCAAATGAACCACAGCGGCACTCTTCTGATTCAGCACTGCGTGACATGGGAGATGGCGCGACAGTAGCGAGCTCACTTCTGCAAAGTGAGACTGCTAATAGGCAGGACTTGAGCAATGAAACAACGTCATCAGATCCGAGTGGAGGTGGTGAGGCTTTCATACGTACTGATCAGCTTGATGGAGAGACAGACTGGAAATTACGACTAGCTACGCCGCTTGCACAAACGCTGCCCTCGAGCGAGTATATTCGTCTGCGAGTGACGGCAGGGAAACCGGATAAAAAAGTCAACGACTTCGTTGGGACCATTGCACTAGAAGCGAAGCAGCACCGAGCATACGATCCACCTCTAGACGGAGAAGAGGCTGCGATCAAATCAACAGCACTCAACATTGATAACACGGCTTGGGCTAACACCGTCCTTGCGTCCTCAACGACGGTGCACGCGGTCGTAGTGTACACCGGCGCTCAGACCCGCGCGGCACTGTCCACTTCAGCGTCAAGATCAAAGACCGGTCTTCTCGAACTGGAAATCAACAGCTTAGTCAAAATTTTGTGCATCCTGACAGCTGCGCTGAGTATCATTCTGGTGGCCATACATGGTGTCGAGGAACACGACGGCAACAAATGGTACATTGACGCCATGCGATTCCTCATTCTCTTCAGCACTATAGTACCAATATCTCTTCGTGTCAACCTGGACATGGGAAAGAGTGTATACGCCTGGTTCATCCACCACGACGCAGGCATACCCGGCACGGTGGTGCGAACGAGTACCATCCCAGAAGACCTCGGCCGTATCGAGTACTTGCTGAGCGATAAGACGGGTACTCTCACCAGAAACGAGATGGAGCTTCGCAAAGTGCACGTCGGCACTGTCAGCTATGGTGGAGAGGCCATGGAAGAAGTCATCAGCTACGTCAGGCAAGCCTTCACGTTTTCAGAGGATGCACAACCTGGCACTTTGTTCAGTCCTTCAGCAGCGATCAGCTCTTTGAGTGGCGCGACGAGGACACGTAAGGAGATCGGGCTGCGCGTGCGCGATCTTGTGCTGGCTTTGGCGCTATGTCACAATGTGACACCTACCACCGAAGAGGACGAAAGTGGTCAATCCAAGGTGTCCTATCAAGCTTCGTCTCCGGATGAGATTGCCATTGTGGAGTGGACCCAGAGCGTTGGCCTGCGCCTACAACATCGCGATCGGAAGCGGATCACGTTGCAATACACCGGTGATGACCGAATCATTGTCCGAGTGGAAGTGCTCAATGTGTTCCCTTTCACTAGCGACAGCAAGCGCATGGGCATCATTGTTCGCTTCATCAGGGACACCTCACGCAGCCACGATGAGGATGGCGAGATTGTTTTCTTTCAGAAGGGCGCAGACACAGTCATGACTTCGATTGTCGCCGCTAATGACTGGCTGGACGAAGAGACTGATAACATGGCGCGAGAGGGTCTCCGCACGTTGGTGGTGGGGCGGAAGAACCTGAGCGCGCAACAGTACTCTGCGTTCTCTTCGGCCTTTGCCGAAGCCTCACTCAGCTTGGCAGGGCGAGATGCCGCCATGTCGTCGGTGGTGAAGCAGCACCTCGAGCAAAACCTGGAACTTTTGGGCGTGACCGGCGTCGAAGACAAGCTCCAACCCAACGTGAAGCCCTCACTCGAGCTCCTCCGCAATGCAGGCATCAAGATCTGGATGTTGACGGGCGACAAAGTCGAGACGGCGCGCTGCGTCGCAGTCTCTTCCAAACTTGTCTCCCGTGGCCAAACGATCCACACCATCGCCAACCTCAAACGTCGAGACACGGCCCTGGACGCGCTCGGCATGCTCCACAACCAGACCAATGCCGCGCTCCTCATCGACGGCCAATCGCTTGCTCTCTATCTCCGATACCACCGTGACGCCTTCATCAGCCTCGCCGTTCGCCTTCCCGCCGTGATTGCCTGCCGCTGCTCTCCCACGCAAAAAGCCGACGTCGCCCACCTCATCCGCGCGTTTACCAAGAAACGCATCGCGTGCATCGGTGATGGAGGCAACGACGTCTCGATGATCCAAGCGGCAGACGTCGGCGTCGGAATTGTCGGCAAAGAAGGCAGACAAGCGTCTCTGGCGGCAGACTTTAGCATCACCCAATTCGCCTACCTCACCAAGCTCCTCGTCTGGCACGGTCGCAACTCGTACCGCCGCAGCGCCAAACTCGCGCAGTTTGTGATGCATCGGGGTCTCATCATCAGCATCTGCCAGACCGTCTTCAGCATCGCGTCCCGATTCGAGCCGATTGCACTGTATCGCGATTGGCTCTTGGTCGGGTACGCTACCATCTACACCATGATGCCCGTCTTTTCCCTCACGCTCGACCGCGACGTGGACGAGAATCTGGCCAACCTATATCCGGAACTCTACAAAGAAGTCACGTTGGGGAAATCGCTCTCGTACAAGACGTTTTTCATCTGGGTGGCGATTTCCGTGTACCAAGGACTCATCATCCAAGGGGGGTCGGAAGTGCTCGTTCCCTCGTTCAACCGCTCGGACAACAACAACAGCAGCAGCAGCAGCAGCACGACGATTGCCGACTCAAGCTACGCGCCGCTCCAGACGACAGGGTTCCGCAAGATGGTGGCACTGTCATATTCGGTGCTGGTCATCAACGAACTCTGCATGGTGGCGGCAGAGATTACGGAATGGCATTACATGATGTGGGCCAGTATTGTGGCAACGGCGGTGATGTATGTGGGGAGTGTACCCTTTCTGGGAGAGTATTTTGACGAAGGGTTTGTGTGGAGTGGAGGGTTTGCATGGAGATTTGGAGCGATTTTGGGAGCGGCGTTGGTGCCGGTGTGGGGAGGAAAGGTGGTGAGACGGTGGGTGAGGCCACCGAGTTATCGGAAGGTGCGAGGGGTGTAAGTGGTGGAAGAGGTGTACCTACCTACCTACCTACCTACCTTACGTACCTACCTGACCTGTAGAATGGGGAAGGCGGAGGAGAAGTAACAGGTACTCTGTCTGTAGCTAAGGTCCAGTAAGGTAGGTACATAGTAGGTTTATACAAGAGAAGATACCTTACTAGCCTCTCTGCCTTAGGTGTTATCACCTGCATCAAAACTGGATACTCTTCCCCTCGGATTTCAAAGTGCAAGATGTGTATACGACTCAGTACGAGATGCATAGAGGAGGTTAGGTTAGGCAAGGCAGTTCCAACTTCCAGACCGACAGTTTACTACCAGTAAAAACCAGCCCAGCCCAGCCCACATACTGTATAGACGCTTTTTTCTTACCTTATACAAGGATGAAGCTATAAGAAGAAGAAGTTGATTCCCTACAACCAAACAAAATTCTGTGCTAGCAGGCTGGCAGCTGGCTACAGGTAGAGAGAGGTGAGTAGGCTCGGCAAGACTAGGCGTCCGCCCTATTTTATTTTATTTTTTTCTTGGTACCTTTCGTGCTGGACCCTCTCTCTTTTTTTCTTTCTTCTATATACTGTACGGTACCTTGTGTGTATATAAATTTAGGAATTTTCCCTGATTTCCCAGTTTCAAGTGATGAGTCCAACGAGCGTGCATACCTACCTACCTGAGTGTACATGCATACATGATGTGACGACGTGGACTTTGACGTGGAGAGAGCAGGGCAGGGCAGGGCAGGGCAGGGCAGGGCAGGGCATGTTCGGCTTCTGTAACAGGGTCCAACCCAACTCGAGACGAGAGACAACGGCACACTGACAACACTGACAAGAGAATTTGTTCTGCCCAACCCAGCCTGACACAACTTTAAAATCGACTGACAAGAAGAACATGATGCTGAGGTTGTTCCAGGTTACCTTGTTACCTGCTACTATATCGTCGGTTTCATAATAATAATAGGCAACAATTATTATAGGCGAGTCGTTGTTGGCCTGTCTGTCCTGTCCTGTCTGAATCACATGTACATACATACCTACCTGACATACCTAGGTACTTTTCTTGTACGCGATGGATGTTTCGTTACTTTCGTATAGGAGATGAATGAACGAATTGGATGAATGACTGAATGACTGTCGGTTACACTCGGCAAGTCGGGATGATTAGTGAGGTTCCATTTGAATGGATGAATGAAGGAATGACCACTCTCTGGTAAGGTATACATGTCCCTACATGAGCACTAGCCTCTCGACAAGTCGGTCGGTGCAGCAGATGGTGGGTGTTGTTGTCCATCAGGCGTGGTGAGGTGGTATACAGGCACACGGGTAGGGTAGGTATTACCTAATGTGAACGACTCTCATTCGCTCGGGATGCCGGACAGGGATGATCCGCGTGACTGCCCTCTCTCTCCAGTCTCTCTCTCTCTCTCTTTGCAAGTTCGCCTGACCGCTCGACGGGACCTGCCTCTTCTCTCTGCCTCTTCTCTCTGTCTCTCTCTCTGTCTCTCTTGAGATGCTCCTTCTTCGACAACAGGTAGGAAGTAGGTACCTACCTGACGATGAATGTACTTGCCTCCTCCAGGCCTGTCTTCACTACCAACCACCTCACCCACCCCATCACTCACTCACTCACTCACTCGCTCACCTCCCTCCCACCCATCCATCTATTTACCCATCCATCCATCCATCCATCCATCCATCCATCCATCCATCCATCCCTCCCTCGGGCCATTTATTATCCATCTATTATCCATCATCATCATCACACACACACCGCATCAACCCCGCAATATCAACATGCTCTCCAACATCACGCGCGCAATGGACAAGACAAAACGATGCGCTTAGTGACTGCATAACAAGAGGCAATCGGCAAAACGTGCCAGCCATGAGATGCTAAGGTAATCATGGGAGGTATGTACCACCTAGGTAATGCTACTCCCACCGCTGCACCTGGCCCTGCATGCAAAACAAACTTTCCGACGAGAACACTCCACTCCACTCACTACACTCACCACCGACTGGCGACTGTTGCGAAGTGTACCTCCTACTTGGGTAAATGAGAGGGTGCCAGCCACATGACTCGAGCCAAGAGCCTTAGCCTCCGAGCCTGACCTCGTTCCTCTCCTCAGCACCTCCTACTGGTGCCAGGTGTTGATGATGATGATGATGATGATGATACCACACACACACTCACACTCACTCATACACACCCAACGCACCTCCTGCACTGCACGACCCTGCACGTGAAGAGAACACTGAGTCGTGTTGTGTCGAATGCCCACGGAATGCCACTGCCACGGCGCCTATCCTCCGAGCCCAGTGTGCTGTGCTGCGCTGCGCTGCTGTGCGTGCTGACGATGCTCGCCCTGGCCAAGTGTTTTCATTTAATTAGCAGGTATGGTGCTACTACTGGCCATCATCATCCTACCACTGCAGCAGTATGGATCCAGGAACAACGTATATGATGTGCACTGCCGATTCCCGAGTGCACGGCCGCCATCCGACCATAGGGCAGACGGGAGACAGGCTTCTCCGAAGCTCTCCGGAACCTTTCCAAACGGCCGGAAGGGTCTCCCTGAAGTCGCTTACTCCATCATACATGTACCTCCTACTGTAGGCTGGTTGATCGATGGCCACCTACTACCTTTCCAGTCACCAAGGTATCCTTGTGACCACTCCCGACGTCAGTGCTCTCCACGCAACAAATGCAACTGCTCATGTGTTCTCGCAAGAACTGCTCATGCTCCGGAGCGTGATCGACTGCACAAAGTCTCGTCGTCGAGCGTCGAACACGATGGCGCTTCGTATAAAACTGTCGCCTCTCCCAGCCCAAGCACACACCACTACCACACATACATACTTCTCCTCCCTGTCCATAGGCTCTGCTTCGCCCGTAACAGCTCCGACCTGAAACCGTGTTGTAGCCTCTCTCCCGCAATTGGGATTGACCTATTATAGCTGGTCCAACTCTATTCTTACATTAGCAATCTCACCCAGGCCGCACCAAACTCTCCAATATCTCAAACCATTTCAAAGAAAAAGAAGGGAGGAGGACGATCCTCTCGAGTTTTCGATCAAAACTTACCCATCGACGGACCACAGTACCACTCCCCAGCAGCATCAGCATCAGAATCAGCATCAGCATCAGCATCAGCATCAGCATCAGCATGTCCTCGTTAGCATCGACCTGGCTCCTTGCCGCACTATGTATACTCTCTAGGTTCACCACCACAGCACATCCGTTGCAGAAGCGAGCAGACCTGAGACCAGTCATTTCTACAGATGTATGTTCCCCCCTCATTGATGTGTTGCAGCATCAGACCACGATTGCTGGCCATGCACTAACTCCCATACCCGTCGTCCATCACAGTTCCCCGATCCATCGATCATCAAAGTCGGCGACACCTGGTATGCCTTTGCATCACAATCCAAGTATGACTTTCTCGATACCAAAGTTCAAGTGGCAACATCGCCAGACTTTGCCACTTGGACCCTCACCGGCCAAGATGCTCTTTCCGTCATGGCCCCATGGGCTGTATCTGCCGTATGGGCACCCTCTGTGAGCAGACGAGACGACGGGAAGTATCTCATGTACTACTCTGCCGTGACCAACACGGGCGGAGACGGTCGATTCCATTGTGTGGGCACTGCAGTTGCCGATGACGTCCTCGGGCCATACGTCTCCAACTCGGACGAACCGTTCGCCTGCCCCCTCGAGCAAGGCGGAGCACTGGATGCATCCTACTTCAAAGACGGAGATCGTCACTTTTCCCTCTACAAAATCGACGCCAACTCGATGGGGAATGGCGGCTCGTGCGGGAATACCGTCGACCCCATTGTCACTACTCCCATTGTGATTCAAGAAGTCCAAGCCGATGGCACCACCAAAATCGGAGACCCCATCACCCTCCTCACCAACTCCCAATACGACGGCCCGCTGGTCGAAGCACCGTACATGTATCGCAACGCCGACGGCATCTACGTCTTGTTCTTCTCCTCCAACTGCTACGAGACGGACCTGTACGACGTCTCCTACGCCACCAGCACGAGTCCCACGGGTCCCTTTGAGAAATCTTCTACGCCTTTATTCATCACGGGCACCCAGGGTCTGATTGGCCCTGGAGGCGGCAGTTTGGCCGACGATGGCACGTCGTGGGCGATGCATGGCTACGAGTCCAGGGAGCGCGTCGGGGGGAGGAGGAGCATGTATGTCACGACGTTGACGTTGACTGGTCGCCAGGTTATTTCCAATGTTTGAGGTGGGAAAGATGGAGAAGGAAATATGGAAATGAATTTCTTTTTGTTGGATTTGTTTTGTATATATCTGTGTATAGTGGAAATACCTATTTGAATGGTAAGTATATGATGATGATGATGACGACGATGATGATGAATGTAGAGAGATCAGAGAGATGAATGGATGGTTTTTATCGATTTCCTTTTCTTTTTTTTTTTTTTTTTCCTTTTTTTTTCTTTTTTTTTCGTCAAAAAAGAAGTCAAAAAAAGAAAACTTCCCATTCAGCCTAAGGCGGCGCTGTCTTTTCTTGATTTTGGCCTAGTACAAATACCTTATGTATATACCCTATCTTACCTACGGTACAGGTACCTAGGTAGGTCGGCTCAGGTAAGGTAAGATAAGGTACCTACATGACCTGACCTGACCTACCTTGGGTAGATATATCTACCTGACCTACCTTACCTATTAGAGTACTACCTTACCTAGGTAGTATATCTCAGTAATGTATATAGGCAAGGTCAGGTAAGGTAGATGGTTGAGGGGTGCACTTTTTCTGGATTGGTGCTCAGTCTATGATGGGTACAGGTATTTTATAGGCATGGGCGACGTACCTGCCTCCTTCCTTAGACTACCGGTTTTCAACAATGTACCGATAGGCAGGTAAGGTACCTTCCTAAACAGGTGCTTACCTTAGCTAAGGTAGGTAGGTACATGTACCTAGGATACATGCTTCGACCCGTTGATTCCATTGACTCCATTCACACTCTTTACACCATTTTCACTCTTCACACCCTTCACACCACCAGCAGGAGCAGCACTAGCAAGACGCTCTAACCTCTCTCCATCGACCCTCAATTGTACCCAGTCCACCATCTGCTCGGCCCCCAAGGACTTGTAAAAGGCCAAACTCGCAGTATTCGATTTCAGGCAACTCCACTCCAGTCGTCCACCGCCAATCCTCACCACTTCCTGTGCCAATGCCTGTATCAATGCCTTGCCATAGCCCCTCTTGCGATATTGTGGTTTCACGAAGAGATCTTCGAGGTAGACGCCCGGTTTGCTACGCCAGGTGCTATAGTTGTTGAAATACATTGCCATGCCCGCTACAGCGCCCGGCGTGAAGTTGGCAGCTCGGTCGGATTCGGATAGGCTGGTGGGAAGGCGGAGAAGGAGGGTTTTCGCATAGCCTGGTGACGCGTGTTCTATTGTTGTTGTTGTTGTTGTTGTTGTTGGTGATGCTGTCGAGGTGGAGGATATATCGGTTGCAGGTGTGGCGAAGATGAGGGTTTGGAGGAGGGACTCTTCCGTCGCTTCTACTTTGCTGGACGCGCTCTCGTAGTCTGCGAGTCCCTGGATCATGGCGAGGATTTCGGGAACATCTGCGTTGCGATCAGGTCAGGGTTCGGTGGGAAAATGGGGGTGAGAATTGGAGGAGATAGGTAAAGGTAGAGCTGACCTTCTCGGGTAGCGTGAGTGACGGAAACTTGGTCAGCCATGTTGTAATGATGGAGTTTGCAGGTGGCTGTGGTTCTGCAGGAAAACATTATTTGTAGGTTGTGAGGTTGGCGGTGGCTTTCTCTTTATGGACCTGTCTGCAAGGTAAAGTGAGGTGGTTTCAAGGTGTCCTATCGGAGTGTCGGAGTACTGTCGGAGAGATGCAACTTTCCTTAGTATCCAGTCATTCCTCTACCTTACGGAAGTTGCGCAGTGGAGAGACTCGCACTGTCCGTATATGATCGAGGAAACGACTCGAATCTTCGAATCTACGAGGACCTGTTGACTTGAGGTGTAGACAATCGTCGATGAATTCCTGTGCCATGACCAACATCGACGTGGCGAGTTCATGATGACCCCACAGCACACGCCACTCCTTCGTCTCGTCATTATACACCATATACGGGCTGATGGAGAACACCGTCGCCCACAGGCGTTGCATGTATCGAGGCGTGATTTCGTGCGCCTCCCGATTGCCGTATACTGCATTGTCGATTCGGCCTTGCAGTACGGTAGCCTCAAGCGCGCTGTATTTCCCAAAGTGAAGTCGCTCGGAGGCATTGCGGCGAGGTATAACCAGGTCGGGGAGATTGTGGCCCTGGGACCAGTCTCGAAGCTGTTGCCATTCCTTCGTGGGCAGTGGAGGGAGTAGTCGATTGAGGAAGTCCGCGTACCATTTCCGATGCATATTCTTGATTCGCTTCTTGGGCATGGGAAGCATTCGATTGTTGGTTGCCGGTATGATGGGCTCCAAATGCCGTGGATTCTTGCGCGTGTGTGTCGGAGGATTGGCCTGCTTTTGAGACTTGGCCAAAGCATAGATCTCGGGGGTCAATGCTGGCAGATCGTCACCGCCGTCGAGGCTGCCGCCGCCGCTGCTGCTGTTCTCCGTGGAGGCGCCGTCGACTTCTGGCCCATCCAGAGCATCATAGTCTTCGGTACCAGTCGCTGGCGATTCGCTCCGTGGTGACTTTGTAGAAGAGGGTTCCATCAAATCATGTATCACACTCCTGTCGGTCTGGTAGAGTGGCTTTAACAGCTCATACCGTCTGCTTCCAATCCTGCCATAAGTCATCAACAGCACGCGAAGCAATCGGCTCCGCTCGCCTTCATTGGCTCGGCGCAGTTGGTTCAGCGCTTTGTTCGCTTGTTGAAGAGCAAGTTTCGTCCACTCCGCAACCGACGTGGGGTTGTCACGATGCTGCCGTATGCGAAAGGCATTTTTCCTAGTCTGGCCCAGAACTTTGGCGCGGATGAACAGTCGGGCATTGGGATCAGGGAGGTAGCTGGCCTCCCGTAACAACGATCTCACTCGGCTTCGAGAGGCTGTACTCAGCTGTCCATGGCTTCCCCACGAGAAGAGTATCTGGCTGCCCCTTTTCAGAACGATGCTCCTCTTCTCCTTCTCCTTCACCTTCACTCGCGCTGCAGCAATACCATCATTGGTTTCCCATGGGGAACGAGTCCTCCGTCGTGATACACTCCCCGACAGCCATTCCGGTGGTCCATGAGTGCCCAGGACCAGCGTGCGTCGGGGCTTAAGACCGAGGGTCATGTCATCAGGAACAGGTCTGCGTAGAAAGAGGAGTTGATGTATCTTCCAGGTACCTGTACACACGGCAATGGATTTCTTAAACGGCTTAGGTAAGTTAGCCTAGGTAATCCGGACGCCGAGAAAACGAAACGCTCGGATCATGTCCTTTTCGCGTCTCCACGCGTCACTTGCTTGCAGTCACGTTCCCTACTCCCGACTGAAGAACGACGTCGCTATCGCATTTACCGCTCGAGCTTCATACATGACATTTGCATACCTGACCTGATTGAGGTGTCCCTCACCACCACCGCCGCACATAGCACCCGACCTACCGCCTACCGCCTACCGCCCACCTACATGCCGTAGCTCTTCGGTCCTGCATGTCCCTCCCTTGCATGCGCCCTCCCCTCCACCGCCGCCATGCCTCCCTCCAACCACTCTTTCGCTATGGCCCACCAGTCACCACCGCCGCCACAGCAGCAGCACCAACAGTCCAGCAACAACAGCCAAGCCTCGTATGGCGCGCACCACGGCTACAACTCGAGCTTCGATAGCAGCCAGCAACAGCAGACTCACGCGCAACCCGCCCCGGCCTCATATGCGCAGAGCTTTCCCAATGGCCCCGTGAGCAACCCGGGATACGCGAGGAGCTTTGGCGACGGCGCCATGAGCCACATGCGCCAGTACGATGAGAAGCCGCAGATATATACTGTACGTTCATGGTGAAAGAGAAAATGCGCCGAGACCAGTGTGAATCGAGATGTTCCTAACCACCTTGCTATCCAACAGGCTGCCTACTCGGGCGTGTCCGTCTACGAAATGGAAGTCAGCGGGGTCGCTGTCATGCGCCGTCGCAGTGACGGATGGCTCAATGCGACACAGATCCTCAAGGTCGCGGGCGTCGATAAGGGAAAGCGCACCAAGGTCCTCGAGAAAGAAGTCCTCACGGGCGAGCACGAGAAAGTGCAGGGTGGCTATGGCAAGTATCAAGGCACCTGGATCAGCTATCGCCGGGGTCGTGAATTCTGCCGCCAATATGGCGTCGAAGATGTCCTCCGACCCCTCTTGGAGTATGATGTATCTGCCGATGGATCTCAAGGCCAGGGCGCGCAGGACACCCCGACCAAAGAGCAGGCCATGGCTGCGCAACGGAAGAAGTTTTACACCAACTCGAGCCTCGACCAGAGACCGAACGGCCAATCCGCCGCCAATGGCACCTTCTTCTCCAGCATCTCCCCGACCACTAGCGTGGCCTTGGCTGCCATGAACAAGGCTGCGAGACTCAACTCGCCTGCGCCGAGAAATACAAGCACGCCTCGACCGTCGAATATGCGCCAGTCGCTACGAGAGCCCTCGAATAGCCAGCAAAGTGCGGCATCCGATGTGGACCACAAACTGGACTACTCTGGCTTCAACAATTCACAGACCAACGGCGAACCGCCCCGGAAACGAATGCGACCTGACAGTCAAAACCAAGACATGGGCCCTCCCAATCTCCCACATGATGTATCCATGCGGTCGACCACGCCGACCGAGCCCAACATGAGCTTCTACGAGCAGAAGCTCATGCAGGAGTCTGTGAACGCACATGGCGAGCCTATTGCATTGCCTCCTCTGCCCAGTCCCGCCACGGAACGTGACCAGGAAAAGATGAACTTGATCCTCGACCTATTTGCGGAGCAAGGACGTACGGATTACGCCTCGCATCCTGCACTGCTGCAGCTTTCGAACGATGATCTCAACATGCCCCTCGACGCTGCGGCCAATAACGCCCTGCATTGGGCGGCAACGCTGGCGAAGGTGCCTCTCCTCAAACTGCTCATACAAAAGGGCGCGAGCATATGGCGAGGTAATGCAGCGGGACAGTCGCCTCTTATCAGCGCGGTGCTGGTCAACAATTCATGGGAGCTTTCTTGCTTTCCTGACATACTCGACGTACTCGGGCCCCTGATCGAGGTTCGCGACCTCCAGGGTCGCACCCTTTTGCATCACATTGCTGTCTCATCAGGTATCAAAGGACGTGCACCGAGCAGTAAGTACTATCTGGAGGCGCTTCTGGAGTTTCTTGTGAGGATTGGCACCAAGTCAGATACTGCCACGGGGCCTCAGGGAGCATCGAGCGTCGTAGCACTGGCAGCGGCGCAAGCGACCCACCAACAAACCAATGGCGAAAGTGCCTCCAGTCAGGACACCGAGAGACCATCGGAATTGAGGGGACCAATCAGCTTGGTGCGCTTCCTGTCCCAGATTGTCAACGCGCAAGACAAGGCGGGCAATACCGCCCTCAATCTGGTTGCGAGAATCGGGAACCGAAGTATCATTCAGCAGCTACTCGAAATCCACGCGGACCCCGGTATGCCGAATCGCAAAGGCATATCAGCGAAAGACTTTGGTGTAGGGCTTGGGCCTGGCGAGCATCCTCGCTTTGCCGCTGGGCCTGCTCCGGCCAGCTCACAGTCCCATCCACCATCCTACCCAGGTCTAGCAGCTGCTGACACCGATGGCGAGCCCTCCTGTGGCGCACCGACGAGCCAGGCGGAGGTTTTGGGGCAGGAAGTCATTGCTTGTGTGTATCCACCTGCTTATTCCTTCATGAAGAACCGAGCCTAACTGACACTAGACTGTAGCTATGACATCCATGCTTACGCAAAATCTTGCCTCTCACAAAGAGCTTTTGCGTTCGAAGACGGAAGCGATTGATCGGCTTAATGAGCGGATCCGTGAGCTGAGCGCAATGCAAAAGTCTGATTTGGAAAAGCTGCAAGAGCTCAAAGACCGCGTGCGGTTGCGCGCAGAGCGAAGAGCGAAGATTGCCAATCTGCGCAGAGAGATTGAAAAGAAGAAGGCTGCGAACAAGAAGATGCAAAATCGCAGAAAGTCACAGACTCCCACATCCGAAATCGATCTCGAACCCGACTGGCTTACAGATTTGAACGACAATCTCAACAGCACACGAATGGATGCCCATCAACGAAAACTCATCACGTCGAGTCTCCCTGCACCACACCTGATCAGAGCTCGCTTGAACGCGTATACGAAGTCAAATGCCAAACTACAATCGCAAGCAGATCAATTGCGGGCCAGGTCCACAGAACTAGAGGGTCTCTATCGAAAAGTCGTCGCGCTTTGTACAGGTGTCCCCGAAGAAAAACTCGACGAAGCTCTTCCCGCTCTCGTCGCGGCTGTCGAGAGTGAACGAGGCGGTCTCGGCGAATCCGATGTTGGTCGGGTGAGAGAGTTTCTACGCAAGACTGATGGCGGCAGCAGGGAAATGGAGCAGCAAGAGGATGGTGTACGACTGATGATCAATCCGACTGTCAGTGCTGCTGCAGAACGAGCACATCAGGACCGGCTGGCTTCGCAGGCTGCTATCAGGGCTGCTGCTGCCGCTGGTGCGAGAAGTCGTCAGGCATGATCAGTATGCTGAATCTTCTTCTTGTTGCTGTCGTTGTCGTTGTCGTTGTCCTTTTTTCTACTCGTAAAGACGAGCAGCAGCGTGGCGTTGGAGGCTTCCTGGGGCTGTTTTGTTTGGACTGCACGTATATAAGTGTATCCTGACGTATGTGCGTCGTGTTGAAACTCTCTCTTTCTCTCCTTCTCTGTACAGAATCCAAGGCTGAAGTCAAATCGTGATGTGATCTCAGAAATTAAACAATAACAAAAAGAAAAAAGAAGGAAAAAAGTAAAAAGATAACAACAACTCAAACCTACCAGGTGAGTACGTTTTTGACTTGCTTGCCTTGACTTGCTTGCCTTGACTTGCTTGCCTTGACTTGCCTTACAATCATGAATGACCGCACAAAGAACCAAACTAAACCAAACCAAAGCAAAGCCTTGCCCCCCTTCCCTCCCTCACTCTGGTGTAAGATGTAAGGAGTTATTACCTTACTGTTGCTGTTGTTGCTGTTGTTGCTGTTGTTGCTGTTGTTGCTGTTGTTGCTGTTGTTGCTGTTGTTGCTGTTGTTGCTGTTGTTGTCATTGTTACTGCAGCATAAGATAAGACATCCCTTCTCCAAAGCTAATATCGTACCGGTCGTAGTAGACTTTTGGTCTTGTGTTGAAATTGGAAGAAAAGGAAAAGAGAAGGGAGAGGGAGGCATCATTCAGTTTAGTCCAGTCCAGTCCTGCACCTCACCTCCTAGGAGTAGAGAAGATACCAGGTAATAAAGAGAGAATGACACCAAAAAAAAGTCGCTGCGTTTGTTGTACTTTTTGGTTTTGATATTCGTCCGAGGCGTTTCATTAAATTAACATATGTGTGTTATCAAGGGAGGCTCTGTTTCCCTTACTTTCCCTCCTACCAAATCTTCAGCAGCACCCAAAAAAAGGAGTGACAATATTCTTTCCCTCCCCTGTGATGTTTCACAATACTGTGGTAAACACTGATCACTTCAGTGAGTCGTTCTGTACTTTCTTTTACTTCTCTTCTCTTTTCCCTGCTCCTCAAATGTTCGATTAAATAATCATCCTCGCCCATCACTCCGCTGATCTCCCCATAAATAGGAAAAGATTGACCACACATCATCGTCCAACACCTCCAATGCACCAGTTCGTCCCGAGCTCCTAGCACCAGTCAACATACGATAAGATTCCCGTGCCCCTCCAAGATTCCATCTGGGTGGACCATTGGAACACGCGCCCCAAGGCTGGTGCCTACATAGACGCGAGTTCTATATCAATTTGTGCATCGAGGAAAGCTCTCTTCTCCCCAACCAATTGACATTGCAACTTCTGTTCAGCAAGTGCTTTCAATTGCTTCTTCGTGACGCTGTCCAAGTCGACCTCGTTCAAGCATTCCCGAATCGCCATCGTGATGGCATCATTGGCGGGTCCTTGGGTTTGGAAGCCATGCAACGACACGGGGTGTGTGCTGCCAGGTCGGCTACCATACTGCGGCCCGCCTCCGAGTGGTGAGCGAGCACGATTCTGGTACAGTGGAGGGGACTGCATACCCCCAAGCAGATTGTCAGTGGACTGATGTTGTGGGCTATACTGCGGCCTGTACTGGTTGCTCATTCCGCCCATCGACATGAGTCGTTGTTGCGACTCGTGAGGGCTGGGCTGATCGTGGTAGCGTCCAGTCATTTGCGAGAAGGTCGATTGCCGGCCCATCATGCCGCTGTACGGCCCTGGCGATTGCGGCGGCATGAAGGATTGATGTTGCGGGAATCCAGCCAGGACAGTCGAAGCCGGCTTGGCGCTCGAATAGACCGAACGCATGTCATCCATTTCATAGCCGCCGTCGTACATTTGCATGTCCTTCTCTTCCATCATCGCACGGCGTCCGGGCAGGTTGTTGGCAGTGGCATAGTCATCCCAGCGCTGAAGAGGAATGCTACGAGGGTCAAAGCCTTCGTCATCGACTGCAATGAGCCTACGGTCACCCTTCTCTCCCACGACAACACGCGTGTTACCCCACGAGAAGTCATCCTGCTTCCAAAAGGAGTATACGGGCAGGATGAACGACCAGATCGGATAAGCCATGATGTAAATAATCATCCAACCAATGTGCTGCCATTGTCGCTTGATCAAGAAGATGATGGCCTGTAGACCGTACACAGCGGCAAGCATAATGATGGAGATCAGCGGGAATTGTCCCGTTCCCGAAGCCACAGTATAGACGAGATAGACCAAGTAAGCACAGGTAGCGGGCAGGATGACGGTACCAAAGAGATCAATGAACACCACGAATCTCATGCTGAAGCAGCAGAATCCGCAGAGGTCGACTTGCAGCATCTCAGCCAAGTTGTGAATCGTCGAGTTAATCCAGCGACGACGTTGGGAAAGCAGGACGCTCCATTGGGCTGGTGCTTCCGTGAGAGCATACGCATCCGGAAGGAATTTGTACGACATGGAGGGGAAGTGCTTGCACATAATGGTCGTCAGGTAACGATCCTCACCGAGTGACAACAGGTTCTTCTTGTGTAGGGTGTCAATGTTGTTGTCCGCGTACTCCGTAATGATTTTGTCCGCAATGATGAGGGGTCGCCCTTTGTCGGAGGTGCGTAATCGGTACATGCAGAAACTGGGCAGTAGTATGTTAGCATGATTCCAATAGATTAGCGCCAATACGGGCAACACTTACCATCCAGGCAAACAGGTCACACTGCCGAACAAACTCTCGAAGGCCTTAGCCAGATGATGAGAAATGTAGTACTCGTACACCTGAATCATAGTCCACCACGACCGTTCTTCGTTCTCCAACGACGTCTCACCACAGATACCGGCGATCTTCGCGTCATTGGCACAAGCGGAGACCAATCGGTTCAGGGAGTCTTCCTTCACCTTGGTATCGGCGTCAACCATGAACAAGTATTCGTACAGCTCCGGGTCAACACCAATGATGTTGTTGATCTGATGAAACATCTCGAGTTCCAGCGGATTCATGGCGCTGCGATGATGGACGCGGTTCAAGAAGCTCATGAGCAAGATTTGCGAATCACGCTTACCACGGTTACCAGGCTTGGACTTTTGCTGCTCAGATTCCTTGCCGACCTTGACGACGACAATGTACGGGACCACATTGCCTTCGTACTCGTACAGACCGGAGTAGACTTTGCCATAATTGAGCTGTTCGCCTCCCAGACCCAGCGATTTGAATGGCAACGCAGGAGGATCGATTTTGGGGTCGACGCCCAGGATATCCAGCACGATTTTGGGGGTAGGGCGGTCGTTGCCACCTCCGACAATCATTCCATCACAAATCACACAGATGAGCTTTCTCTTGTTGTCGTAAGCCAGAGCAGTGAGCGAGTCCAGGCCTTTCCGGAGCGAATCTTCACCCTCGGTATAGGCTGGGACCTGGCAGATGACGAACTTGTCTTGTTGAGACGGCCGCTTCTTCGAACCCAGCTGCAGTGCTGCCAAGAATTTGACCAGAATCACAGCGCACAAGATGATGGTAAATCCTAGCAAAATGTAATTGTTGACCTGACATTTGGCAGACCCGCGGAAATCTGTTTCGCCAATGTAGAACATATTGTTGAGGCAGTTCATGCTGTTTTCGCGGGTGGTGAAGTTGAGGTTCTTGTTCCAATCATCGGTAATATCGCCACCAGGATTGTTGGTCACAAGGGTCGTCACATCCTCGGGGAGAAAGCTGTAGCTGGGAAGATTGTTCTGGCGATCCAGAGTGTAAAAGTAATTCGTCAGGTCGTAGATCTTATTGTCAATAATGACCCACTTGCGGCTGTTGAGCTCGCCGTCTTTGCTCACGGTAGACTTCTTGTACACCAGCTTGCCCTTGTAGTATTCCTTCATACGTGGTAAAAAGTCGTCCACGTACCAATTGATGCTGTTGAGTTTCGAGGTCCTGTCCGGCTGAAACTGGGGACCGGAAGTGTGTTGAGCATTGGGGTAAATCAGGGTGTTGTTGCTCTGGAGTTGGATCGTGTTCGAGGTGACCAGACCAGGACAGGCGACCGTGAGTGGCGGCACGATGTACTCCGTCACATCCGTGCCCGCGAACGGCTGCATATTATCTTTTGTGGTCTCGATGTTCGTGTCCGAGTGCTGGAGCTTGTAGAACTTGGACAGATCGTATACGCCGCCGCGGAAGGACACATAAAAGTCGGTATCTCCCTGGTGGTAGGACACTTCCTTGGTATTCCATACCTTGTCTCGATTCGGACAGAGCAACTTGCCAAAAGCGATGATGTAGAAGACGACCGTCGCGTTCATGATTGCGATCAGCATCACCAAAGCAAGCTTCTCCCTCCAGGCTTGCCTGATGTCCCTACGCTTCATGCGGCCAATGGCGCTGAGCAAGAACGAAGGGACCCACCATGTGAGAGCCCAGACAATGGCGACCCAGATCTTTCGAGCCTTGGTGATCTTCTGGACGACGAGCTCTTTGCCAGCGGCCTGTTCGGCATCAATCTCGCCTTCGAAGCCGATGTAGTTGCGTTTGTCGTCTCCCTTGAACCCGAGACCATAGTCACCGCCGCTGGCACTGCGCATCGTGGGCGCTGCGGTCGGCGCCAGGGATTTGGCGCCCATCCTGCTCGGTGCCACTTGGCTAGGGTTACGACCGTGCATAGTGTCGCGGGATTCATTGTAGAAGCCGCCGTTCTCCGTGCCTGGAGCCGGGCTGTTGTAGCCTTCCACGCGAGCTGCGCCGACCATGCCACCGAGCATGCCAGAACCCGACATATCATCTGTTGGCTTCATATCAAGCATGCTTTCCGCTTCCCAGTATGCATTCTCGCGCATCCAGATACGTTCGTGTCCAACCATGACCTCGCCATTACTCCAGCCGCGTTCCATGATCCAGCTCTCCACTCCCTCTCTGCCATCCTGGCATCCAAGACGGCGATAGCGATCGACAAACTCTTCCACGTCAAAGTCCGCAGTGAAGTCGAGCTGTTTGTTTCGGTAGTTTGCCCACTCGGCCAACCGCCACTTACGAATCTGACTCGACACACTTCCTGCAGACCATGTCACACTACCCGGTGCTACATTGGCAAAGCGCTCCGGACGATCATCGCTGGGGTGCAAGCACAGCTGGAACCAAACTCTGCTGCTACCCAGAGTGTTCATGAGATTGAATCGTCCGGTGGTGCCGAGGGATATGCCGTGTCCAGTAACGGGGTACAGGATCTGGCGTAAAAAGCTATCGTCTTCACTTTCGACGCCAACTTTCTCGAGAACGCCCTGCCGACGGTCCCATGCCACATCGCGTTCTCGTTGCGCGGGTCCATCAATGTTCAGATCTGCCTCCGATTGCTGGACAGCGAGATCCATCTCTTTGATGACGGAAGCGCCGGTGGACTCTATCATCAAGCCATCCTCCTTCATCTCCAAGTTGATGCCAACCCGATCGTCGAATACAGTCTTCAAGCTCACAGCCTTGCCTAAAGTCTGGCTAGGAATCTCGATGAGAGTGATGCTGACACTGTCGATATCATCTGCACTGGGCGGCGTCAGAATACCATTGTCACTGCCACTGCTGGATCCAATCGCTCGTCCAGTCTGAATGTCACTTCGAATGGAATTGTTGGCTTGCAAGATGACCCAGTCTACCAGTGCTTCGTAGAGTGCGCCAATGAGAACTTCACGCTCTTCAGTGACGCATCGCTTGAGAAGAATGTCCTCATCGATATCTAGCAAGCCGGCAACTTCTTCGCACACTGTGATCAACTCGTCCTGCTCGATGAGATATCCCGTGCCGTCGCCCAGCCGAAGAACGGCAGACAGTACAGCGAGCAGGGAGCGGAGGCTCTTGCCCTTGATACCAATCGCCTTGAGCGACTCTCGAAAGTCCTCCGCTGCTGCTGCATCGTCGGCAGTAGGGAGGAAGGATGGAGCACTGTAGGTGCCCGTCTTGTTCAGCAGGGCGTATTCGTGTGGCTGCCTCAGACTCAGAGCCTCCCGCTCTTGCTCTGACTGGGCATGTAAGAGGTAGTAAAAGACATCGAATGCCCTGTATCCAGGCTCTGCTGGCACATTGACCAGACCGGCCTGGGTGTCGATGCCTGACTGTGACAAGCTAATGATGGCACCGGTGATCTCACCCGTCAGGGCCAGAGTGAAGTTGGCGGAGAGGGCGGAGTATCGGGGTAGCGAGGGATTGAATGGCGTGACTGTGCGCAGGAACGGCTTTAATGCGTCGAGTGCGGTGTAGAAGGTGCCCGGTACACTCAGTGGGAGGGCTGAGGCGAATGGAGCGAATAGAGATGGTGTAGACTGATGGAGTGAGCTGTGGTATGGGTTAGCACATCTTGCCACCAGTTCTTCTTCTTCTCCTCGTGGGCTCTCCCCACTGCTGATACGTACCCGAGTACAATACACGCATCTTCTGCTCTCCTCCGAGCGTGCTCCCAGGCTCTGCGTGCCAAATCAGAATCGACAGTGCCGCCATATCTGCCATCCGGGCCGGTGCTGCATCCCGTCACCCATGTGTTGACCACCAAGCTCGTACTGGCCTCCAATGCATATGGCGTGCCCTCCTTGAAGCAGCCGTGGAGAGTGTTGAGCAGGGTTGTGGTTGAGACCTGCGATGAAGTCTGGTTCTGCTGCATCGTGTTGGTCCGCCCGTGGACTGCCGACGAAGCATTCGAATAGGTGGACATGCGGTAGCCATGCTGCGCCATCGCGGAGGAATGTGTATGCCCACCAGGGGGCTCTTTCAGGTTCGTGAACCGCTACTGCTTTCGATTGTTGCCTCGTGAGGAGGCGCTGGTCTCGAGCTCTCGAGCACTGTCCCGTCCCGTCCTGTGTTGTGTCGTCTTTTCCTGTCCTGTCCTTTCAGGCGTCGTCCTCGGAATACGGCGGATTGTGAGACTCGGAAGATCGATTGCTCAGAAGCGAGTGTGAATCATCGGCCAAGCGAATGTGTGTTGTTGATACAGATACAGATACAGATGGTTCGTGGAGAAGAATGGGTATGTCGGTTTCACGAAGCGGAAGCCCAGGTAGCAGAGCGTCTGGCGAGAAGCTGAAGCATCCACAGTAATCCACACACAGTCCTCCCTGAATGGGCGCGATCGAACGTGGACACCAGAGTGGACGAGTGGATTACCTCAGCACGCTAGAGACACGGCATAACAAGGGGCAGGTCAGGCCGCTAGGCTGAATGGAGACGGCACTGCAATAAGCATCGCAAACTCTCAGCAGAAATGTGTTTCAATTCGGGACGACAACATCGTCCATACCCAAGATCGATGACACTGTGACATATGCTTCATTACAACGGCTGTCATCCACCCGCATGCTCTCATTCTCACTCATTAGGTATCCTACGCCAGTCGTCATCGTCGTCGTCGTCGTCTGGCGTCCATGCTCGTATTCAACTCCATCGATACAGGAAACAGGCCAGGTTTGACCAGACGGCGGTGGCGAAACATGGCGAATAGCTCCGTGTGGCCTATTTTTGGCGCTCCTTTATATATACCCATTATACAACCTGCATACACCTCCTACAGCCATTCATCGAGCGGGTGTGGACGGCGTGGATGGCGAGTTCCCTGTGCTTTGTACGTGTGTAGCAGGTGAACACAAGAGCTCAAGCTTGCAGCTTCTGCAGCATCTTACGCGTCCCCCAATGTGTGTGGCAGGCTAGTGCTCACTGCTCAACTCACCCAAATGCACTCCGCACTCTACCGTATGGCGTGGCAAAAGATCATTGTCCACAGTCGACGTCGACGAGAATGTCATCTTCATCCTGCCTCCTATATTGACTGGCTCGCCCTTCGCACCGTTTTGCCCTTCACGCAGGTGAAACCGTACAGACTGGGCCTTGGGCCGGGGAGGCTAGTTCTCGTTCTAGAGGCTCTACCTCCTAGCAGTAACTGATATAGTGGACGATGCCGCGATCCCGCTTCGAGACTGGATCTGCGCGACTAGTCCAGGGAGGTCGTTCTAGTGCGGACTAGTCGACAACAACGAAGTTTTTTTGTTGGCGTCGAGACGACCTGCAGAACGCCAAGACCACGCCACCAGGACCCAGGCACATGCGCGCGCCTTGACAACGGACTTGTACCCCCTAGTTTTGACGCGTCGTCGTTGTTGTTTTTGTGGTTGTTCTTGTGGTTATTGTTGTTACTGTTGCTGTTGCTCGAGCGGTACGGTAATAAGCAGATGGTCGGGACGCACACGATGGACCTCGTGGGATGGTGCTACCACTGTCCCGTCGCCGTTACGTATGACATGCAGTGCCCCCAAGCACGAACACGATTGGGGTGGATCGAGTGCTAATAAAAACACGCCGTCGCATCGCAAATAGGAGTTGAGGTCGACATGGCATCCACAACCACAGCCGCAGCGCAGTGGGGCGTGGACGGGTGTTCCGCTCAGGAGGCGTCGGCAGGGTTTGGCTTTCCTTAGCGCTTCTCCGACGAGGCTGCACACTTGGCTCAGTGTGGTCACTGGTGTGGTCGTCGTGGACATGGTTCTGCTCTCAACCACGTCCTGGATGTGCTGCTGCTGGTGCTGCTGTTGTTCTTCTCTCCCTGTGTGCTTACCTACCTCTTATTGTGTGTCTGTCTGTTGTCGTTTTCATCCCTACTAGCCCTTGCTGTCGCTATACAGCATCCCACACGGTCGTTCCCAGTCACTCTCGCTACTTGCCAGGGCAGCAGCGCTCCAGGCGAAACACCCGGACGCGAGAGAGAGAAAGAGAGAGAGAGACCGAAACAGAGTCGAGTCCTGCCCGCCGCAGCCCACCTGCACCGAACCACACTCGCTGTCTCCATACCACCGCGACAGTCACAGTCTTACGAGACCCTACCGTACATCATCAATACTGCAGTCGTCACCAGGAGACTGGCCGTGAGGCCCTCGAACCTCCAACATGGCCACTAATCAGCAGAATCTGGCAGCCTTGCCCGCCCATTCATTGAGCGACACCAACCTCACATCTCACATTGCATCGCGCTTTCACCAGCACTTACCCATCACCACGCTCTCGTCACAGGGCTACATCTCAGTCAACACATACAACTCCGCCATCAAAGGTCCCAATGGCGGCAAGGAAGGCAGTGCCATGGGCGCTGCCGAAGAGCTTGCAAGTCGGATGTGGACACGACTCGGGGGTCGACAGGAGAACCAGGCGGCCATCTTCCTGTAAGTGCTGCCTCTGTGTGGAGTGCGGAGCAGACGGCAACAGCCTGGCTAACGGGTGGACAGCGGAGAGTCGGGCACGGGAAAAACTACCATCAGATCGCATGTTCTCAGCAACCTGCTACAGTACAGCAGTACACCACTATCGAAGAAGCTGTCCTTTGCAGCCTTCGTGTTCGACTCGCTCACCACAACCAAATCGATCACTACACCCACTGCTTCCAAGGCAGGTTTGTTCTTCGAATTGCAATATGATACAACTTCTTCTATCCACCCCACTCTTATCGGTGGCAAGGTGCTCGATCACAGGCTCGAGCGCAGCCGGGTGGCCATGGTGCCACCGGGAGAGCGTAATTTCCATATTCTCTACTACCTCTTAGCTGGTACCAGTCCCGCTGAGAAGGAACACTTGGGTCTCGACCTGAACGGAGCCATCACAACCGGCGTGGCAAACAGGACGTCTGTCGGCAATGGTCTCAAGAGATGGCGCTATCTGGGACATCCTTCGCAGCTCAAGGTCGGCATCAACGATGCTGAAGGTTTCCAGCACTTCAAGACTGCCCTGCGCAAGCTCGAGTTTCCTCGAGAGGAGATTGCCCACATGTGCGAAGTCCTCGCAGCGATACTCCACATTGGTCAGCTCGAGTTCATGACGTCCCAGTCGACCACCCCTGCACCGGACGAGAGCGGTGGCTACGGTGCCGAGGGTGGCGAGGAGATCACAGTCGTGAAGAACAAGGAGACTCTGACCACCATCGCGGCTTTCCTCGGAGTCGGTGAAAAGACGCTCGAGCAGTCGTTGGGATACCGCACGAAGATTCTGCATCGCGAGCGTGTCACGATCATGCTGGATCCCAAGGGAGCACGTGAGAACGCAGATGAGCTCGCCAGGACGTTGTACAGCCTGTTGGTTGCACTGGTGATGGAGAAGATCAACCAGCGCGTCTGTGCGGTGGAGGATCAAGTGGCAAACACGATTGCCATTGTGGACTTTCCAGGATTTGCCCAGACTTCGTCGACCGGCAGTATTCTGGACCAGCTCCTCACCAACGCCGCGAACGAATCCTTGTACAACTTCTGCTTGCAGAGCTTTTTCGAGAGAAAGGCAGAGTTTCTGGAAACCGAAGAGGTGCAGGTGCCTGCAACCAGCTACTTCGACAACAGCGATGCAGTCAAGGGCTTGCTCAAGCCTGGCAACGGAATCCTTGGGATTCTTGACGACCAGATGCGGCGTGGCAAGACGGATATCCAGCTGCTCGAATCGCTGCACAGGCGCTTCAAGGGCAAGAATCCCGCCATCGAGGTCGCCGATCCCACCGTCGTCCTGCCCGGCACCAACTTTTCGACGCCAAACCAGCACCCCAAATTCACTGTCAAGCACTTCGCTGGTGAAGTGGAGTATCCTCTGGCGGGTCTGATTGAGGAAAATGGCGAGGTCATCTCGGGAGATTTGATGAATCTCGTCAGCACTACATCGAGTGCCTTCGTTTCCGAGCTTTTCGGTCAAGAAGCTTTGAACAAGACTCTGCACCCGCAAGATCGCACCGCCATTACGCAGGCGTCCGTGGCATCAAAGCCTTCGCGCATGCCTAGCACGGTCCGCAGAAAGGGCAGTAGACCGGCACGATTGCAGGCACGCGATGACGAGAATGGAAGCGATGAGGGCGGCCGGACGAAGAGCTTCTCGCGCTTCAACAATGGCCCATCGGCCGACGCCCAGCAAGGCGCTGCGGCGCAATTCCTCCTGTCGCTAGACATCATCAACAGGGCTCTGACATCGCCAAACACGAACCCATACTTTTTCTTCTGTCTGAAGCCTAATGACCGGAGAATAGCGAACCAGTTTGACAGCAAGTGCGTGCGGACACAGCTCCAGGTGCTGGGGATTGCTGAAATCGGTCAGCGACTGAAGAACGCCGACTTCAGCATATTCATGCCCTTTACGGAGTTTCTCGGCGCTGCCGAAGGTGACGTTTCCGTCGTTGGAAGCGACCATGAGAAGGCGGAGCTCATCCTGGAGGAAAAGAGCTGGCCGACGAACGAAGCCAGAGTTGGCACTACCGGAGTCTTCCTGAGTGAACGCTGCTGGAGACAAATTACAAACGCTTCAGCGCTGGGGGATGTACCACCCGCAGGACCATATGGCGACGATTCCTACGCCAACTCGGGTGGCCTCACTCCTGATATGCGGAAAGGATTTAGTGAATCCAAGGTGCAATTGCTGCAGACTCCAGGGTCTGGATACATGGATGATAAGATCGCTGGATACTTCGGCAGCAGGGACTTGGATGCCAAGTCCGAGGCGGGAGCCTCTGCCTTCCGTGAGGGCGACATGTTCCGGAACTTGGAAACGCGATCACAGATGGCCGAGAAGGGCAATGAAATCAAAGCGGTCGAGATCGAGGAACGTCCGGCCAGTGGCAGCCGCATCAGATGGCTTGCCATGGTTTACTTCTTCACATGGTGGATGCCCGATTTCTTGATCAGGACCGTGGGTCGCATGCCACGCAAAGATGTTCGCATGGCATGGCGAGAGAAGCTAGCCATCAACATGATGATCTGGCTGTCCTGCGCCTTCGTCGTCTTCTTTATGGTCGGCTTCCCGGCCCTCATTTGTCCAACTCAGCACGTCTATAGTCTGGAGGAGCTGACGTCTTATGACGGAAAGGATGACCACTCGGCGTACATTGCGATTCGTGGCGTGGTGTTTGACCTGGACGCGTTCATGCCCTCTCACTACCCATCAATTGTGCCTCAGTCCGCCTTGAAGAAGTACGCCGGAACCGAAGCAACGAACCTGTTTCCTGTCCAGGTGTCCGCCATGTGTCAAGGTATCAATGAGTCGGGAATTGATCCAGCCGTCCAGTTGAGTTTCGTCACATACAATTACTCTGGATCCACAGCCGCGATCAGTGCTCAAGATCAGAATGCACAATACCACGATTTTCGATGGGCGACAAACGACTCTCGACCCGCCTGGTTCGTAGAGCAGATGATTATGCTCCAGGGGCATTACCGGAAGGGCAATATAGGGTATTCGCCTCAATATCTGAAGACTCTGGCCGACAAACAAAACTACATTGCACACATCAACGGGCGTGTCTATGACTTCACGGACTACATCGCTGGTGGCAGAGCACCGCAATACCCGGCGGGCGTGGAAAGACCTGCAACGCCGCCCAACTCCAACTTCATGGACGACACCGTGGTCGATTTGTTCCAACAGCGCTCGGGTGAGGATGTGACCAAGTACTGGGACAACCTCCAATTGGACCAAGGACTGCGGAATCGTATGCTGACCTGCATGAACAACCTGTTCTACGTCGGAAACCTGGACACACGAAGCAGTCCGCAATGTCAGTTTGCGAAATATATCCTCCTGGCCATCTCGCTGCTCCTGGTGTCGGTCATCTGCTTCAAGTTCTTGGCAGCTCTACAATTTGGCAAAAAGAATGTGCCCGAGAATCTCGACAAGTTTGTCATCTGCACTGTTCCCGCATATACAGAAGACGAGGATTCCCTCCGTCGTGCTATCGACTCCGCAGCGCGCATGCGATACGATGACAAGCGCAAATTGCTCTTCATCATCTGTGATGGTATGATTATTGGTCAGGGCAATGACAGGCCTACACCACGCATTGTATTGGATATTCTCGGCGTACCCGAGACTGTTGACCCAGAACCACTCAGCTTCGAATCTCTCGGTGAAGGCATGAAGCAGCACAACATGGGCAAGGTATACTCTGGACTCTACGAAGTGCAAGGTCACATTGTGCCCTTCATCGTCATTGTCAAAGTGGGCAAACCATCAGAAGTCAGCCGTCCAGGAAATCGTGGCAAGCGTGACTCTCAGATGATTCTGATGCGCTTCCTCAACCGTGTCCATTACAACCAACCCATGACACCGCTGGAGCTGGAGCTACACCATCAGATCCGGAACGTAATAGGAGTTAATCCCACTTTTTACGAGTTCTTACTGCAGATTGATGCAGATACGGTCGTCGCTCCGGATTCCGCCACTCGCTTTGTATCTGCGTTCGTCAACGATACCAAGCTCATCGCTGTGTGCGGTGAAACGGCTCTCACGAATGCCAAGGCATCCTTCATTACGATGATGCAGGTCTACGAATACTACATCTCGCACAACCTGACCAAGGCGTTCGAATCGCTCTTTGGATCCGTCACTTGTTTGCCAGGTTGTTTCACCATGTACCGCATTCGAGCTGCGGAGACGGGCAAGCCATTGTTCGTCTCCCGCGAGATTGTCAACGACTACTCGGAAGTCCGCGTCGACACGCTGCATATGAAGAACTTGCTTCATCTCGGAGAAGACAGATACCTGACGACGCTACTCATGAAGTACCACTCCAAGTACAAGACCAAGTACATTATGCGCGCCCATGCCTGGACCATCGCCCCCGACAGCTGGGCCGTCTTCATGTCGCAACGTCGTCGATGGATCAACAGTACTGTACACAACCTCATTGAAGTCATCCCACTCCAGCAACTTTGCGGTTTCTGCTGCTTCAGTATGAGATTCGTCGTCTTTTTGGATCTGCTCTCGACAATTGTACAGCCTGTCATCGTCGGATACATTGTGTACCTGATTGTCATCGTCGCAATGAACCCTAGCACCATTCCCACTACAGCCTTCATTCTGCTGGGAGCGATCTACGGTCTTCAGGCAATCATCTTCATTGTGCGCCGAAAGTGGGAGATGGTTGGCTGGATGATCATCTACATGCTCGCCACCCCCGTGTTCTCCTTCGCTCTGCCGCTCATCGCTTTCTGGAACATGGACGACTTCTCCTGGGGTAACACGCGTATGGTTACTGGTGAGAAGGGCAAGCAGATTGTGGTGTCTGACGAGGGCAAATTCGATCCAGACAGCATCCCGAAGAAGAAATGGGAAGAATATCAGGCGGAGCTGTGGGACGCTCAGACCCAGCGCGACGATACACGCTCGGAAATCAGTGGCATTAGCTACGCTACTAAGAGCTGGCATCCTGCTGCTTCCGACTATGGCGGGTATCAGCCGCAGGCTGCCATGAGCCAGTTGTCTGTTCCCGCCATGCATCCGAACGGCTCGCGCATGTCGCTCGCTTATTCTGATAACGGTGTGCCAATAATGCGCAATAGCTCTGCCACTGATTTTGGTGACGTTTCCGCCGACATGCCGAGCGATGACGCGATTTTGGCTGAGATTCGTGAGATCTTGCGTACCGCAGATCTCATGACTGTCACCAAGAAGAGCATCAAAGCGGAGCTAGAGAGAAGGTTCCAGGTGCCCATGGACTCCAGGAGACAGTATATTGGAAGTGCCACGGAGGCAATTTTGAGTGGTCAGCTTTAGAAGAGTACGGAAGAAGATGACTGGGCCGGGGTTCCAAGGAGCGGGGGAGTGCAGATCTGTTGCAGTAATGAGATAGCAACCACACCGGCGAGCGTGGTGGGGCCGAGGGAGCGTGTGGTCAGCGGCACCCCTTGGAAGTGGAAGCAGAAGATGTATCAGCTGTTCGGCCATTCGTCAACGCAGACAGGAAACGGTGCCTCAGGAGTACACGTACGTGAGGCAATCCCGCTGCAATCACAATCCACGCCGTATGTCCAAGAGGCGACAAACGTCTCCAGGCTCGCCTCGTGTTGGGGTAGAAGGCGAAAGCAGAAAGTTCGCAACGATCAAACAGTTCAGCAGGGGACTGACAGGACCAACGAAGAGCTTGTAGTGTGGGACCGACAGTACGAGGAGAGAACAGGTGATCACCCTGCCATGCAAAGCCCAAGTGAGAGTGAGATCATGGCCGGTCAGAACGTGGCCAATGCCAACTCTCGCGAACAACTTCAACGCCCGAGCATGACGACTGAGCAGCGCGCTATGGCACGGAGCACTGGCCCACTGCCAGATCACAGGACATCATAGCCTGATAGCCGTGGTGCTAGTCTGGACTCTGCTCGCTCTCCAGACAGTTCAGGGAAACCGGTCGACGCGAACTCTCGCGAGCAGCTTCAGAGCACCAGCATGACTACTGAGCAGCTGGCCATGGCGAGATGCACTGGCCCACTGCCAGACTACAGGACATCATAGCCTGATAGCCGTAGTGCTGGTCTGGACTCTGCTCGCTCTCCAGGCAGTCCAGGGACAGCGGCCGACGCGAACTCTCGCGAACAGCTTCAGAGCACCAGCATGACTACTGAGCAGCTGGCTATGGCGAGATGCACTGGCCCGTTGCTGCATCATAGGACATCCTGGCCTGACAGTCTCGCAGACAGCCTGGACACTGTGCTGCCAGTGGGCGCACCGAATCGCGCAAGGTCCCGTAGTCTGCGCTCACACAGATCGCAGTCGCTTGTAACGGACACAGGATCTGGTCAGACATCTGGCAGGCTTGACTCTGCGAGTCCGACGAACTCTGGCCGACCTATCGCGAATATCACCAGACCACACAATGAGGCCGAGATGCGATAAGAAGGAGAGGCAGCCGGTCCTCAAGCCATTGATGAATTACTTGGACGCGTGTGATGTTTTCGGGAACTGCAGCTAGTTTGTCCCATCAGGAGGGAGTGTGCATATGGAGGTTTTCAAAAGGCGTTTGTTGGACAGAAAGACGTACAGTAATGAATGACAGTCACAACAGAGAAAAGGCGAATAATAATAGGGGACTTGATCGTGTATCAGTAGAAATCAATAATTGCAATGACGACGCTCGTTTGACGAAGCCAGCCTGGTATATCTTCTCACTGTTTCAACGATCTAATGTTTGATTGAGGTGTGGAAGTCAAGTTGACACAAGGTAGCGGACCGTCAGGCCCGAGCCGCGAATCCCATGTCTATGACCTCAAGTGAAGAAGAAGCAGGCCCCGGCCTGTCCCACCTACATACATACACTTAGGTACATGTATGTATACATGTAGCAGTACTTGCATGTGATATATGTATATCATGAACTCGCCATGACTAAAACCGCGCTCGAGGTAGCATACCAGAGCCTCATCGCCCGCAAGCGTCTCCGACCCGACAAACACCAACACGCTCTCGTCACGCGTCTGGCCACGCTACAACAGGATCTCGTTCGAATTTATGGTGACGAGAATGATTATAGCCATAACAAGAAGAAGAAGAAGAATGGAATGATAAGAAACAATCATCAGCATATTTCCACCTACTTCCCCAATCCAAGAGGCCTCTACATCTACGGTTCCGTCGGCACAGGCAAATCCCACCTCGCAGACCTCTTCACCTCGACTTTACCGTCCCATATTCCTCGCCAAAGACTGCATTTTCACGAATTTCTCAACTCGATTCATTATCGTTTACATCTTGCTCGTTCCTCCTCTTCTTCTTCTTACAAAGGAGATCCTCTCGTCCAAATCGGCCACGAAATCGTCCAACACGAAGCCCGCGTGCTATGTTTTGACGAATTCCAATTGACGGATATTGCCGACGCGATGATTTTGCAACGCCTTTTTGGCGCCATGTGGATGGCTGGAGGCGTTTTGGTGAGTACGAGTAATCGTGCTCCGAGGGATTTGTATTTGAATGGCTTGAATCGAGAGGTTGTTGTGCCGTTTTTGAGGGAGGTAGAGAGGTGGTGTGAGGTTTGGGAGATGGGGGGAAGGGAGGATTATAGGATGGCTGGGGAGGAGGGTGGTGATGGGAATGGGGAGGGGGAGGGTGACAAGGGGAGGATTCAGACGTTTTTTGTGAATGATGAAGAAGGGTTTACGAGGAAATTGGAAGAAGAGATTGCAAAAGTGAGGAGAGGAGGGAGTGGTGGTGATGGTGATGATGATGATGCCAAAGACCCTCTCAAACTCATCTCCCTCCCCGTCTACGGCTCTCGAACCCTCCAAGTCTCTGCCCTCCCATCTCCCGCCTCTCCCGATCAAAAATCCTCCACCTCCTACACCCTCATAACAGCCACCTTCTCCCAACTCTGCGAATCCCCTCTCAGTGCCTCCGACTACCACACCCTCTGCACAGCCACTTCACACCTCTATCTGCACGGAGTACGAAAATTTCTCACGGGCGAAAAAGACGCCGTGAGGAGATTTATCACGTTGATTGACGTCGCGTATGAAAAGGGTACGAGGGTGATTTGTTCGTATGGTAACGATGAGGAGAGTGATGGGAAAAAATCGTCTTTGGTGGAGTCTTTGAGAGAGGTTTTTGAGAATATCGTGCCGTCGGCGTCGGCGGCGTCGGCGGCGTCGATGATGGGAGGAGAGAAAGAAGACGAAAAAGGAATCAAAATGACTGTTCGAGCAGGAGGGGGAGCTTCTTCGAGTATGATGAGTACATTCATTGGAGAAACAGAGTGGTCTGCAACAGGACTGGCAGAGGCTTCATTAGCGACGGGAGGGGCAGGAGAGACGGATGTGGGGTTTGCAGTAGGGAGGGCGATTAGTCGGTTATATGAAATGGGTTCGGTAAGGTATGGAGTTCGTGAGTGAGTGAGTGATTAGACGATCGATGTTATAAGTGGATACCTACCTTTAGGTAGACAGATACATGTACTATCTACCAAAGGTATGAGAATTTGCTGCTTACTCTATTCTTAGTAAAAAGTCTATGATCATTGATTTGGCCCTTCACTGGGGGCACTTCTGGCATGTAAAACCCCCCACCAGCCAGTATTGGGGTGGTATAATGTCTTGTTGAAACGCAACGCTCACAAATGGTCCCCCAAAACACCTCCGCTGATCAAAAGAAAAGAAGAAAATACCACACCCTTTCTTTAAAATTCTTTTCTTCTTTACCGCACTCCTGCTAATCTCTTCTGTCGCTTCTCCACATCTCTCATCTCATTCAACATGTCGTTGTTGAACTGTTCATGCCCATCGAGATAGACATGATGTCCCGCCTTTCTCGTGATGATGACTTTGTAGTCACCGTTCTCCAGCTGCTTTTCTCGCTCCGATGCGTTTTCTAAAGCCTTTTGCTTCTCAGCATTCATCTTCTCTACACTCGCATGCCCACCCTTCACGTCCATCCAGTCGTTTTCGCCATACATGAGCACCACCGGGATACCAGTCTCGCGTAGCCGTGCTGCATTGGTGTTTGCACTCTTGGACGAAGCATTGTCAGGTGAAGGGGTGGCGTGAGGCTCTAGATATTGCCTCCCCACGCCTTGGATTCTGCGAATCAGAGGTGACCGGGCAAAGGCTCCGGGCGCGAGGACGTGTGCGAGAGCGTACTCGCCCGAACCACGCTGGCGAAATAGGGAATAGGAATAGTCATGAAGCGCCTGAGCTTCCTCGTCAGGGAGGTGTGAAAATCTTCGACTCGTCCAACCAGATACGAGACGTGGCCCGAGCGGTCCTGATAGTCGCACAACTGAAAAGGGAGAAATGTTGGCGTCCCATAAGCTCGTGAGCCACCACGGCATTTTCCTCTTGGGTGGTTGTGCTTGCACCTTCGCAGGCGATGATGTGCTCTGGCCTTGGGATTGCGTGAATTCGCTCTGCATCGTGCTGCTCTCGGGCTCCGATGCATTGTCGTCTACCGCATATGGGTCCTCCGGTATGCCCACGGGACTCGCCAAAATGAGCTTGTTCAAATGTCCCGGATACTTGAGCGCATAACATACTGCCATGTATCCTCCCAGACTATGCCCCATTAGTGTCATTTTATCAATGCCCTTCTTCACTCTCCACTCTTCCAGAGCATCCACAAACCACGACTCTGCTTCCCTGGCCTTCTCTTCACGACCTTTTGCCTTGACACTGAATGGTGGTCGACTGGAGCGGCCCATGCCCAGCATGTCCAACGCATACAGTTTCCAGCCTGCTAACCGACTCAACGCCTCGAAGTTTTTATAGAAGAAGCCCAAACCAGCCCCATACCCATGAAGCATGACAAGGTTGTTGTCCACGTCTTCGCCAATCCGCTCCACACTGAACTCATTCAGATAACGATTCTTGCCCTTTAGTGGGACCATCTCACTCTGCCATTGCCTCGGACCGTACGGATCCTCCACGCTCACTGTCCGTTGCATGGACGCGTCTGCTGCGTTCGTTGCATTCTTCTGGTCCACACTCGTCGTGCTGGCGTTGTTGCTGGCCGGCGAACTTCCCGCGGGCGAGGCGACTGTGGGCGGACTCCGCAGATATGGGATGAACGACATGACTCGGTGCTCCGTCACTGCTGGCGTCAAGGACGTCCACCATTGCGAGTAGGCTTCCTTGTAACCGAGCGGGAAATAGGAGGCCTTGGGAGGAGGGGCGTCGCCAGACATTTCGGCCTCTTGTTTCGCTCGTTGTCTCGCCAGTATAGGCTTCGGCAGAGTGCCTGTAGGTGCTGTAGGTGGCTGATAGGAAGGATGTTCGTCGTCGTTGGCCGAAGATGCAGTGGCCATGGTGTTGTAGCAGGAGGATGTTGTGGTGTAACTCCTAATCGGGACGGTATGTGGCGACCAAGCAAGGCGACGGGTATTGGAGCGGATATGGGCAAGGAGATGTGCTCCTGCAAGTGAAGCCACCTTGGGCTGCTCTATTTGAGTGCCAGTTCTCGTCGTCGCAGCTCGGTAGTAGCAGTGTGGTGGCTGTCGTCGTCGTCGGCGGCTTCTGTGTGGGTGAGTCGGAGGTGGAGGTGGATGTAGATGGAGGACAGAAAGCAGTTGAGGCAAATGACGAGCGAGGTGTGTTATCCAGGGCAGATAAGGTTTAGACTTCTCCGGGCTCCGACCCGCGCACCTGGCACCTCGAACCTACCCTGCCAAGCTTGCCCTGCCCAGCCATCACAAGACAAGACAAGCACGTTCCCTCTGCCGGCCCTCTTCACCGACAACCACAACCTCCCAAAGACTCACCGAAAGAAAAAAGTCGATCCGTCTACGCGGAGCTGGCGGTGAACAGCGTGGCCTAGCCTAGCCTAGCCTACCGCACTACCGAAAGACTTCTTTTTCTGAGTCCTGAACTTCACTCGAGGAAAGACGGGGTCAAGTGAAGTGAAGTGAAGGAAGAAGAAGAAGATGTCAACATGTCGGACCCCATCGACCGCATAGTGAAGGGTGCACCGCCTCCAGATGTGTCGGCAGAACAGCTTGCAGCGAATGCGCGTGCCTCGACATCCTCCAAACGAAACAGTATCACCGCTCCCATACCGCCGGATGCTTCACCACAGCAGCAGCAGCAGAGTTACAGCAATGACCCGCGGGATGCCTTACCGAGCAGTCCGCCTCAGATCTACTTGAACCTGCTCATTATGGAGTCGAGCTTGAGACTGCAATACATCAGCCTTCGGACACGACTTCGACTGCACTTACTGCTCTTCATTGGTCTGGTCGCCTGGACCGTGACCTTTACCTATCTCCTCTTCTTCCGTCCCCGAGAAGATGGCTCGGGAGTGGGGGGAAGTGTCTACTGGGTGCTGGAGACGGGAGAGAAGATGGGTTGGTGTTCGGGCTGTGTCACTCTGCTGCTCTTTTGGGGTACCGGCATGTATGAACGCGGAGTGCGATGGCCGCGCAAATTCATCGGCACGACGAACCGAGGACTACGTGGTTTCAACCTCAAGGTCGTCCTCGTCCGTGCGGGCATGCTTCGAGAAATCGTATCGTGGTTGGCGATTCTGGATCCGGCAGGTTGGTTCCAGGAAGAACGCGTTCACTTTCAGATCGTGCCCAAGGACATCGAAAGCGTGGCGGGAGATGCACAGCCGGGGAAAGACCATCTCCATTGGAATGCGCATGCGGCCAAGTATGGCCTGCTCGAAGAAGACATTGCGCCTGCGGGCGATGTGCTTCGAATCTTGCTCCTCCCTAAGCCCTTCTCACCGGACTTTCGAGAAGGGTGGGATACATTCCGCTTGGAGTATTGGGAACGCGAGAATGCCCGGCGAGCCCAGCTTCGTGCCGTCGTCCGAGCCCGGAAGCGCGAAGTGGCGAAGCGAGAAGGCGGATGGTTCTGGTGGACTGGATGGCGGGGCTGGCAGAACGTGACAATGAATCCGTTCCGTCGAAGGAAGACTCGTCGGCAACAGGAACTCGAGCGATTGGCATTACGCGAGAAGATCTCGACCGAAGGATCCAAAGCTCGAGTATTTCCCGGTGGAGAAGCAGCACGCAGAAGAAAAGGCTCACTCTTGCAAGGCCAGCAGCCGATGAGTCGAAGTGGTTCGCACAGCCGCACCAACAGCAGAGCTTCGACTCCTGGTCCCGATGGCGACTCTCGTCCCTCCACCGCCACCAAGGAAGGCCGCACGCGACGTGGTAGTTCTGCGAGTAGTGTCGGCTCGCGTCGACCACGCAAACTCGCCTCCTTGAACGAGCCCTCCCGACTGTCTGCGACCGAGACACTGATGTATATGAATGACGATCCCTCACGAGACACAACACCGGATGGTCAAGACCGACCTCTCCGCAATGCCGCTCGACCCACACGGAGAGGTTCTTCGAAGAGAGATAGTACCATCAGTACAGGAAGTTCGGATTTGGACTCGCGGGATAACAGCTTTGATACGAGAAGTACCGAGACTGTAAATACTGCGCGGCATTCTCATCAACATCATCATTCTACCAGGCAGACGAGTAGTATGGAGCCTATCTTTGCGGAGGAAATCAAGCAGGAACCGGAAGAGCATGAGTAGCTAGCTATTCGGTTCAGGTCCACTAAGTTAACTGTGCAAATGAGAACAGTCTTTGAGACAGTTTCGACTGTAACTTTGATATCTTCACGAGCCAGATACGTATATATTCCTTGTTACACAATGAAATACTAGGAGTAGTACACGTTAATATCAAACTCGATTTTATGCAAAGCAGGTATTTATGCAAGCAGAGGTCTTATACAAGGGTAAGACTTAGTACAAACTTACATACAGGAGGGGGTTTGTGTATCAGACGGTATCTCTGGAGAAACATCATCTAACTAGGTAGTTAGGTAGCTAGTCACGAGAACATCCTTCTCAGTCTGTCATTACCTTGCGCACGGATTGTGCTTTGAAGTATAGCGATTACAGATGACAATCCGAACAAGACACTCGTAACCAGTAACAGCAAAGACTTCCGTAGTAGTAAGATTGCAGAGCGGTCTTCAGAAGCAGTACTCTATATTGACAGTTTCAACGCTTGGAGGATGAAGCTGTCTGAGGGACCTCCTCCAGCTAGATCGACTTTGCTGCGTCCTCTAGCCCTTTTTGCACATCGTCCTGCGAGCCTTCTTTCTTTATATAGGCATCGGCCATGACGGCGTGAGTGCCACCGTTGGCATCTCTCCATGCTTTAATAGAGGATGGGATTTTCCCGGCGTTGGGCTGCATTCGGAACTTGTTGTATACACCATCTGGTTTAACGACCTCCCCGTCGAAATCCCAACGAACTCCAAATCGTTCCTGCTCCGCCGGGCTTCTAGGAAAAACCGTTTTGCCTCTGCCCACAGAAACGTTTGTGAATTTCTTCCACATGTTGCCTTCACTGGCGCCATTGATGCCCGGAGTGAGTGCCTTCTTCATTGCGATAATGGGGGTCTGGATTTAGAGTCTCAGCTGTAAGTCATATCCGATTCTATCGAAAGTCTTCACTTACGTCTGACACAGAAGCCGCGCGGGAAAAGCTTGGGATTGCGCTGCAAGTGGCAGATGCTGAACTTGGAGATGCTGAACTTGGAGATGCTGAACTTGGAGATGCTGAACTTGGAGATGCTGAACTTGGAGATGTTGGATTTGGAGACGCAATTTATTAGGCATACTCTGAACAACTTATATACTCATGTGAGAATACTGAAAGAGACCCTGAACCGCTGAGCACGCTGAATCCTGGAGGCTACTAAACGCCTTCCGTTTCGATCACAAACTGGAACCTCTAGAACCGCGCGGTAAATGCGGCACAGTCCTATCATATCCCTTTGCTCGACCCTCGTATCATCGTATATGCATACAACGACCTCAAGCGCCGAAGCTATCGGGTCTACGCAGCTACTTTCGATAGCGCGTCGCCCAGCGTATAGGAAGTCGTGTTTTTTGATCGTTGCCGGGCTCAAGATGATCGCGAAATATCTTTATTTGCCGACTTGCAGGGTACAATAACTCCACTCTGGCGATCCTCGCGAGGGATCAAGTGATTATGTAAATGTAACTGCTGCTTGATCCATTGTATGTATCGACAAAGAGCGTAAAAGTGTATAGAACTGCAAGGTGCGCATAAACTCGTGCGCGTACTAAGGAGCCAGTAAGCCTGAGCCTCACTGCCGTAGGTTGTATAGTATACGTTTCATGAGAATGATCAGATGATACTGCGCTTGCACCTACTAGGTAATCTTATCGCGTACCTATGAGGACTTGCCTTACAACCAATATAAAGGCATCGGGGATGCTGAACAGATTAGCCCCCTAACCTTGAAAAGGGGGGCAAAGAGTCGAGAGGGATATTCTTCGAGATGCAATGTGAAGTGAAGCAGTTCTTCTTCTATGTGGGTCAGTCACCGTTCACGTGCAGCCAAGAGCGACCCAAGCGCTGTACTTACCTTAGTCAGCATGCTTCGCAAAGTTGTACCTCCTACGCCCTTGCCTTGCTCTCCTTGACCGCGACACTCGCCATCGTCTTCTTATATGGCGTCCCTCCGATCCATCACCCGCCGAATAACTGTTCCTCCATTGAACCCTTCTCTATTCTCACGAGTGAATACATCATTCACCACAGCCAACACTACCCTCACCGCTTTGATACATTCTCGTGGGCAATGCTCAATGGAACCAGCGTCTGAGCTGTTTGAATATACGTCAGGGCGATGGATGTCAGTTCACTTGCCCCCCCCCCCCCCC